GTTTTTCATCTATATATATAATCTACAAACTTAATCTAATCTCACTTCAAATATTAATATAAATGATAATTTACATTTATGAACTTACTTTAATCTCAAGTTAATATCTACTGTAATATAATTTAACATACTTAAATTAAATCATATAGCATACAAACAATAATTATTCATTCAACATTAACATATACATATTGAATGAAAACAATTATATTAAATTTACTTATTTCTTGAAGCACAAAAAAAACACCAAGCACCAACACCACGAGCATCACAAGACGAATGATCATCACTACAACCTACGATAATGAACACACAAAGACTACCTACCATGTGACCAACCAACCACTACCAGCAACTCACACAATGAACCACAATACAAGGATCACAATGACTTGATCACTTCATGAATGCATAAACTACAATACAATACACGTCAAATTCACATAACACTCACATGAAAATAGATTCTTATTGAAATAAAACGTGGTCAAGTCATAAACGGAGAATCTATTCTCATATAGATTCTTATTGTGAAAGTTTTGTAACTTTCATTAGTATGATTTTAATTCCTAAACTTAATAATTATTAAATATACCTAATCGTATATTTACAAATTTGATCTATCATCTTTTAATATTTATTTATTATTTATTAATAATATATTATTTGACCTCTTAATATTAATGGTCAAGATTCATAGTCTCCTAACATCAATTTTCTTTGTCTGGAAACTCAATTCTCTAGCACCAGCGCACACGTCACATACAAACAAACACCCTCAACACTCAGCCTCGCAAACGAGCCGTAAATTTATTCCTTTAAATGAACGAGAAAACCACAACTTTGACACCCGCAACTTAAACACATAGTACCCAACCACTCCATTCACAGTGTTGTAAAAAATCTTCTATCATCGTCAAGAGTGTTGTTAAAAATCTTCACTGAATTTCATGTGGGTGGGCAGGAATCTCTAGAACAATTCTTTATATATAAGCTTCTTCTTTTTTTTCTACCATGCACACTTCCTTCACGTGAAATTGAGTCAAAGAAGGAGGGACAATAATGTAAATACATGCTAGCTGAGGTATCTTTTTTTCTCATCTCAACGAGGGAGTTCGATCTACTCTCTCCCTCAAATATGCTTTGGCAAATATATATACTCCCATTGAAAATAAACATAATTGACCCCTCTTCTATCCGCCTGAATAATAAATCAATGATGCAAACACAAAATTATAGTTATACATTTTGGAGTTGATATAAAGGATACACGAAAACCAACTCTTGCTAAGGCTATGGAAAGATGCAAAAAAATGGGATCATGTGGCCAAAGGCAGACGTGGAAGTATCACAATATATTCTTGTTGCATATGGTCTTTGATTAATTTTTTAATATAGATATTCACTTAAAATTTCCTTTTTTTTCTTTTGTTTTATTTATCTTTCATTATTATAGATTCTTCTCATCTCCAATTTATTTTTTTTCTTTCATTTATCTCTCTTCAAATGTTTCCTCACAATTAATCTAAAATAAAAAAATTAATTAAATTTTTGAAAAAAATATACTTCAAAATAATTTAAACTATATTTGAAGCTTTATTTAAATAATAATATAATTTAATATATATCTAAATAAAATACATATTTTAAATAAATGAATCATTGAATATATTTTAAATTATGTTAAACTAAGATATTTTAAAAGTTATATATAATGTGAGTGTCAACTCAATAGTCTGATGTGAAAAATACTTAATTATTAATGTCAAGCAAATAGTTTATTAAATATGAAATAAATAAAATATAGTTAATTATTTATTAAAAATTATTTTTGGGTTATTTGTGAGAAATTAATTATAGAGAGATAAAATTTTGAAAGTGAAAGAATAATTGCAACGAGGTAAGAGAAAACTTGATATGTTCTCATAGTGAAAAAAACCTAATGAGTTATATTTGTTGGGTGGATATATGTAAATATCACGTGTTAGGTGTGTCTTCATCTCTCTATGCTCTTATTCTTCCACTTGACTTTAATAAAATAAATTTAAAAAGGAATATACTTATGAGACAAAACACACAAAAATTTAATGTACTAGAAAGGTAACTTCCAAAATTTTTAGAAAAGTCATAATTGTGGTAACATCACACATCTTCTAAATTCTAATGAGTTTTTAAGGATGATAATTTTATCATAAGGGTGTTGACAAGAGATTGACCAGAAAAATTGAACGGTTGATCAATAACTTTTATTAAATCTCTCTTATTATGGTCAACAAAGTCTTTCATTCAACAAAAATGTCTATATAAATGTTGACCTCTTACATTTTTTATAAAGACAATAACATCTTTAAGTAATAGTTTCAGTTATAATTAGTTATTTTGATTTCTTGATAACATGTTTAATGTCCATCCAATTCAAATAAAGAAGAATTTTCCCATTCCAAATCTTAAATTATCATCTTTTAGTTCGTAAATACCACCCTATATCAAAAATATGTTTATAATAATTTGAGATTATAATAAATATCATGTTTCATCAATACAAAATATGTACAAAATATGGTAATATTAAACTTGTTGATAGGCTAAAGTTATACTCAATTAGACTCATATAAACAAAATTATTAAATTATGTTTTTTTTTTTGAATTCTTATGGATAATTTAAGAAATATAATTCAATATTTTATCTTAATTAATCAAATAAGAAAAATTTATGTGTCATCTCTATTTATCTAGAGGTTACCCCTCCCTTTATATTATATTTATATTATTTATTACATTCTTTAAAAAGTTGAATTATTATTAGAGAATTGTCACTGATAAGATTCAAACTCAATATCTTAAAGTTAGAGACTAATACTCCAACCACTAGGTTACTAAAATTTGTTAATAATAACTTACAAATAAATTATATTTATATACAAATAAATGTATATCCGTGTAAATATATAAATATAAAATATATAAATACAAATATATTTATATATATTTATATAGTTATATATTTATATGTTGGATGTGAGGGCATGCTCGACGGTGAAAGTGTGTGTCGAGTGAGTTTTTAAAATTTAATGACAGAATATAATCTTTATAATTTATTTATATAATGATATAAAATAAATTTTTTTCTTTTTTATTTTAATTTATTCTTTTTTTCTTGTATTATTTAATTAAAATTATTATATTAAAATGATTTTTCAATATTAAAAATACTTAAATATTTATTTTTAAAATTATTTAATTTAATAAATTATTATAAATTAATCTAATTATGATTAAGGGTGCAGCTATTTCAACTTGGGCGATGGAGATTGATTTGTCTGTAGTTTGGTTCGCAGAGTGAGGGACACGAGGATGGATGAAGGGAAACGGAGGTTAGGGATTTGATTGGGGAAGGAGATTGGAGGGACGGTGGTTTTCGCAACTCGCGATGGGGGCAAGAGAGTAGGCGAAGAAGGTTTTGGTGAGGGGATAACTGGAAGTGGTGGAGTTGGGTTCCGATGGTTAGGCTGGGCATGACTGGCTTGCGGTGGACAATTGATGTGGTGCGGTGAAAGGGCAGGAGAATGGATTTGGGAGGTTGGATCTTGGAAATGGCTGGAAATGAGGAACAATGGAAGAATGAATGAAAATGGAGGTTCCCGTGGAGGAGACGAGCCTCGTAAGGGAGACAGTGTAGAAAGTCTATTTAAAATTTTTATTAATTATTTTTTTAAATAAAAAGACTTTCCACATCAATTCATCCAGAAACCGATGTAGAAAGTCTTAAAAAAATTTCAAAATTGTCATCGCATCACTTTCTACATCGATTATTTAAGAACCGATATAGAAAGTCTGATGTAAAAAGTAGATTTTGTACTAGTGAACTTTTCCACGTCGGGTATACTAAAATCGATGTAAAATATCATATATAATATCGATTGATTAAAAACCGACGTAAAATGTGTTCAACATTCAACTTTCAACATCATTTTTTAACCAATCGACGTTGAAATTATATTCAACGTCGTCTCAGCTTTTAACCGACATTAAATAACGACGTGGAAAACATATTCTATAATAGTGAATCTTTCATTACATGATTAATTATAATTAATATTTATAATGTGGTTATAAATATTAATCAATTAAATATATCGTGATTATTTTCTAATTTATTAAAATTAAATATACAACTCAACGTTAATAACTAAATATTTGCAACAACTTCCTCTATAATACAACTAAATAAATAATAATACTACATAATTATAGTTTTGTATGTATTATACATACAAATAATCAACCATAACAGTATGTATTTAAATACAAATAATTAATATGTAGCTTAGTTATATCTTTATATATATATATATATATATATATATATATATATATATATATATATATATATATATATATTCAATTTAACATATTTGAGTTAGGTTTGAAACTCTTCAAATACACCTAAAATATCCATATTGCATTAATGAATTCCATATGCTCTTATTATTTTTAAGACAACCAAAACCATGGACGGGGATCACAAAATTTATGTCCACTTAGATTGGCAGAGTAAGCTGTTTATTCTCGTTTCCCTAAAAATTAGGAATTACTAACATATAAATGTAATTAATTTAATGTTTTAATTATCTAGTTTAGTTTTGATTTTACTGTTCTGGATTAAAAAAGAGAGAGAGAGAAGTGAAGTCATATTAGTCAAATTTGAATAATTTCTTTAAGATGTATTTGTAAACAAAACATTTTTAGTATTTTCGGAGGCTAATGAAATTAAGAAAGTAGGTTTTCGTGTTTGCTTTACATCCCACTTTTCTCAAACATTCATCCAACAATACATTTTTATATTATTATTTATTTATTTTATTTTAATATTTCTCTATTAATTAACTAAGAAAATAATATTTTAAGATTAGATGTTTGGAAAATTTGGATGTAAACAAATCTTTTTCAAATTTATAAGAAAGCGAATGGATACGTGTAGAAGCGTGAAAAAGGAGCGATGGGAGTGAAAACGTAAGCAAACATGCAAACGGGAGGGAGGGAAAGAAGGTCTGCAAACATGCATTCAGAAAAAACTAAACCAAACAAAATGAGGTTGGGTTGGACCAAAAATCTTTATCCATCCCTCGTACACTGGGCTCAAATAATAGCCCACCAAATATTAAAAAATATAAGCTCTTTCTTTTTATATATAATTGATGTAAATTGATGAAAATATTTTTTTATTAATTTTTATTTAAAATCTAAGAGTTTCTTCTCTATCGTTACTCTACACCTATATGAAATTTCATTGTTTCTATAATTTCATTTTCTTTAAAGATTATTTTTATTACCTGAGTATAGAAATCTAAATTACTCAATTCAAAATATATTTTTGAACCTGAAGGTGAGTTCAAGAAAATTCAATTTGTAATGCATTTTCAACAGAACTTATATGGAAATATATTTTATATTAAGTGTTCTATAATATATTTTTAGATTAACTTTTTAAAAATGCATTTTAAATTAAATATTTGAAAATGTATTTTAAGATTGACTATATTTAGAAATACATTTTCAACGGGGTATTTTAAAATATATTTTTGGATTAATTATTCTATAAATACCCTAAAACATATAATCTTGAATGAATATTTGAAACAACTCATTCAAAAATAAATTAAAAAAAATGTAAACATGTTTTGATGAAAGATAAAATATGATTATTTTAATTATAAAATATAAAATATATATATAGAAAAACTATAAAACAAACTATAAAAATAAAATAAAAACACCAAAAATATACATATATCTCTAGTTTAAAACAAATTTTAAAAAATAAAATTATGACATAAACAAATTTTAATTTTAAAATAAATAATATCTCAATTACCTTATGAATTTTGAAATTAATATTTTAGTTACAACATGTAACAAATGGTTGAACATTTTATTCATTTCGAATTCCTAAGTTAACAAATATTGTAAACTAATATTTTGGTATTATAGAAAAACACTCTTTTAAGGTACCTAAGTGATTAATTTATGACCTATACACAATAGGCAACCAATTTAGTTTTTGCATGAATATTCCTTTCAAATGTGCACCCTTTGGTTTTGCTAAAGTAAAATCAAACATGTTTGGAACTTTTCAAACCAAAATAACAAAAAGAAAATAACAGAGTTGACTGCTGTTCCTAACTTCAGTAAGTACTAAACTGTCACTTATTATCATACTTACCTAACAATAATTACTATTTGTTGGATAAATTCTATGATAAAAAATACCTTAATACTTAAAATAGGTAGGAACAACTGACAACTCTGTTATTGACTTTCACCATTTGAATTTCAAAAGTTTTAGAATAAAAAAAATATCTGGTTGATGATGTTACTGCTAAAACAGCCCCAAAAGGTTAATTTTTAAAAAAGAATTATAATGCCAAAAGAAAGCTGGTTACAGTTGTATAAGAATATAAAGGCCATGTAATAATCATGCAAGCACCTTAATCATTTTTAAACGGAGTTTTCGCAACAAATTACTTAAAAATAAAAATAAAAATAAATATTTTATTATGAATTTTATTGTATAAATAATTTTTTAATAAAATATTTATTTTTATTTCAAAACCACTTTTATTAACATCTGCATTTAAAAATATTCTTATATTTCAAATAAATATCATAACATAATTCAAGACATTAAAAATGACAAATTAGTATAATCAAAAATCTTGTTCGAGAGATGAAAAAAATAACAAAAAGAGTTCCCAGTTCAGTGCATACGTAATTTGTTGATGAACTTTATGTGAAATGTAAAATTTGGAGAATAAAAGAAAAGAAAAAAATTATGCATTGAACTTCTCCAAAGGGACGAGTGAGGAAGAAGAATCCTTACTTGGAGGATAAAATGAAATCAAAGCCTATTCGGAGAAGTTATAAAAATAAATGGAAAAAGGAACGAAATAATAAACCTAAAATTTGCTTTTACAATTCCCCCAATAAGAAAAATGGAAGAATTAAAATTACAATAAGTTTTTTCTCAAAATATTGAGAGAATTTGTAAGATATAGAGAGAGAGAGAGAGAGCAATGTGTCCCTAGAGTGGAAGGTATTTATATTGGATTGAATGTGAGAATCAGAAAAATAAGAGTTAGTAAAAAATATTAAACAAAGAATTAAAGATAATTTATTTTTGAGACAGAAATTTATTAAAAAAATAATTGAATCTTTTATTATTGAAAGAAAGAGAGATAAGTTATGATAAGACTTAATAAATATTTTTCAAGAGACCAGATAAATATTTTATTATATATATAGAGAGAAAATAAATATTTTATTTTTTATATATATAGAGAAAGAAAATTCCGTTAATAAATATTTCTTTAAAAGAGAGAAAGAAAAAATAGGTTATAATACGACTAAAATAAATAATTTATTATATAGAAAAATATAAATCAGTTATAAGAAGACCAAATAAATATTTTATTACGTATATAAAGAGAAATAGGTTATAATAACATCGAATTACTAATACTTTTATGTAAGAAAAGAAATCCATAAAATAAGAGGAAGTACTTTATTATAGTAATTCGTTAAACTGAATAAATACTTTATTATAAAAAAATTCATAAAATAAGAGAGAAATACTTTATTATATAACAAAAATTCATAAAGAGTAAATATTTTAATATAAAACAGCAATTTTATTACATGGAGAAGGAGGTATATTATAGTCAAACTGAATAAATATTTTTATGATTTGAAAAGAAGAGTTAGGACAATTTATTCATTTTATATTTAAAATAATTAACTGATAATTAAACTAACGTAAATTTTCAGTCATAATTAAATTAATTTACTTAATATTGAAACTTATACTATATATATAATGTTATACTTGAATTATAATTAAATTAAATAAATATTGAAATTAATATATATTATTTTATCTATAATTCGTTCAGTTAATATACATTACTAAATAATATATTCTCACGATCTTTTACTATTAATTTATGTTTATCACAGCAATAAAATTTTGTTTAGTCTAACTAATAAATAGACTATTACATATTTTTTACGATAATAATCAATGTCAAGAGGTATTATTATTAAGGGAAAACTTGAATACAAAATAAATAATATTTTTTTAATAATGTTAATGATTGATTCGATTTTTTTATCAAAATATTATTTAAATCAAACATAAAAATAATTATATTTAAATTTAATTCAACTTTAATATAAAATAATTTTAATTTAATCTAAAATCTAATGTGAAAATTTGAATTATTTTGTGATTTTTGTTTTTCCAAATGATTAAATATTTTATAATAATAAAGAAATATATTACGTAATTTTTATATGATTATTACTATATTTATAAATTTTTTATATTTATAAATTATACAATACTATAATTAAAAATTAATTAATATATTTAATAATTATAATTAAAATATAATTAATTATAAAATAAATTTAAAATAAACAATTACATGTATTTATTAATTGATACTTGATTTTAAATATATAATATTATATTTAAATATAATAAACGAATTTTTAATTTTCAATCCAAAATTCAAATCTATAGACATAATTTAAAAAAAAAGTGATTTTTTTTATTTGATTTTGATATCTCTACTTTTTAACACAGTAAAATATTAGTATAAAGTCAATAATAATAATAATAATAATAATAATAATAATAATAATAATAATATTAATAAACTTTACAATTAAAATTAAACAAGCAATATAATAAAAGTAGAATATTTTAATTTTATTATTGTTATTACTATTGATACAACATTGCCTATCACCTAAGCTTCCAGCAAAATCAATCAGCTTTGTGTTCTTCGGTCACTGCTGCAACCCTTAAACCCATCATTCCATTTTTCTTTCTCGGCCGCCGGGAAAACCCCAAGTTACGGCGAGTCTCATCCTTCGAGTGCTCTCTGCAAGATTCGGCATCTCAACTCGTCGGTGTTCAAGTTCCTCCTTTTGATTCTAGGTCTGTGGGAACCAGGGCTTTTTATCTGTTTTGTAAGGTAAGTCTAATGCCGCCAATTTAGTTTTATTTTTACTCTAAATTTGAATACTTTTAGGTATTTGGATGATTTACTGTTGGTATCATTTCGGGTGTCTTTGCTTCGAACTGGCTTTTTGCGATGGTTCGGTTTATCTGTTGTTGCGTTGGGATTTTTTAACATACTCTTATTGGTGGAGTTTTTGGCGTTTCTTCCATGTTTATTTTATATGCAATGGTTGTTATTTGAATGTTTACATTTAATGTAGAATTATTTTGTTATGTATTTGTGAATTTTTGCTAGTTTTCCTTTTAGCTTATTGTGATTGCAATGGTTGAGTACCTTCTAGGTTTTTAACCACTTGGTGGCTGGTTGAACTTGATACAGTAGTAATATGCTTCAAATTTCAGTTCCTTGATTGTTAATTTTATGAAGATGATACTTTTGGTTTAATTGATTTTTCTTTTACTTACCCGTCCTGGTTTTAACTATCGAACTTTTCGAGGATCTTATTTTTTGCTTCGTGAACTAGCCTAGTCGGTAACTACTGTCTGAAAATGTAATGCAGAGTTGGTTGTTTGGGAGGAATTCATGGAAACACAATCAGATGGTAATGAGGACACTATAGCTGCCATTAAAGATATGAGACAACAGCTTGAAGCTCGCATAGAGTGCCAACACAAGGCTCACATGGAGATGCTTGCTTCTATACAAGCCGTAATACCTAATCTTGTTTCATCCCTTGACCTTTCTCTCAAGGTTGTGTCTTCTTTCAACCATCGTCCTTTTGCTCCTACACCTGCTCTGCCTCTGCCTGATCCTAAATTGAACCCCAAAAAACCTATTGAACTAACTCACCGTTCCAATTCTGAGTCCTATGCTGATGGCTCTACTGAAGCTGACTTGACAAACTCCAAGAATCAAAAACTCAAAACATCTGTCGATTCAAACCAAGCATGTCAAGTAGATTCTGAGAAGGTTAGTCCATTAGCGGTGGTTCGATCACTGGTTGCTGTTTGTCTGTTAGGGCGAGTACCCTTCTCACCAATTGATTCGTCCACTGTGTCAAGGAAATTGGAAAATGATCAGACGGTGACACCAGCGGAAAAGGCTGCGCTTCAGGAACTTGGAGGGGATTCAGGGGCAATACTGGCAGTGGAGATAGCTTTAAGGTCAATGGCAGACGATACTGGTGGTGTTGAAGTGGAGGAATTTGTGGTGAGTGGCAAGGCAAGAATTATGGTTTTGAATATAGACCGAACCCGACTTCTGAGAGAATTGCCAGAAAGTGCACAGTATCAGCAGCTTGAATCAAGTTCTGGAGATGGGAATGTTAATCAAAATCAAGTTCAGCACAACAATAACAGTGGTACTAATATGAATGGTAGTTTGCTTGGGATGGGAAGGCCAGTTCTGAGGCCAATGTCTGAAATGTGGATACCCCATGGGGACCCTCATATGTCAGGCTTGCAGCCAATGTTTTCAGGTGGACCAAGGGGAGCACCCAGAGTAATGGGCATGATGGGGACACATAGAGGTATGAGTATTCCTTCAATGCACAGACTCCCATTGGTGCCAAATGCACAAGGGAGTAGTCCTAATGCAATGTCACAAAAACCAAGAACTTTAGAGGATGATATGAAAGACCTTGAGGCTTTGTTGAATAAGAAATCATTTAAGGAGATGCAAAAATCTAAAACTGGTGAGGAGCTTTTGGACCTCATTCACCGACCAACAGCAAGAGAAACTGCTGTAGCTGCTAAGGTTTAAAGTCACTGCCTATTTTAATAAGCTCTATGCTAAAATTTCCCTTGTGCTTGTTGTGCTTTGGTGCAATGTTTTACAGTTTAATCTAATTCAGCTTTTTTACAATGAATTGTTTCAGTTCAAAACAAAAGGTGGTTCCCAGGTCAGGCAATACTGTGACTTACTGACTAAAGAGGATTGCCGACGTCAATCTGGTTCCTTTATAGCATGTGATAAGGTTACTTATAAGGATAATATTTTACTGTTTTTCTATCTCTTAGATTTTATTTCATACTTTTTGTATCTCTGTGGGCCCAAACTAATAAGCCAATTATTTTGTTTTTTATGGAATCTAGCCACAAAGACGGGTGTTTACTTTTTCTATTATCTTTTCTTGACATGCTTTAATGATCCTTCTCTTGCCAGGTTCATTTTAGACGGATCATTGCTCCTCATACTGACATCAATTTAGGAGACTGTTCTTTTCTTGATACTTGCCGACATATGAAGGCATGTTTTTTTAACGACTCTATCTTTTTCTTTTTAACTGATTTTCGTTTTAGTAAGGCTTATTCTTAGTTTCAGTTTTGTGTTGTTCTTTTTGTCCTTTCACAGACATGCAAATATGTTCACTATGAGTATGACCCCACACCTGATGTGTCTCCAACAATGATGGGTGCCCCTCCTCCCAAACCGCTAAAGCCTCAGCGTGCTGAATATTGTTCTGAAGTGGAACTTGGTGAACCACAATGGATCAACTGTGATATACGAAACTTTAGAATGGACATTTTAGGTCAATTTGGAGTAATAATGGCAGATCCACCATGGGACATTCACATGGAACTGCCTTATGGAACAATGGCTGATGATGAAATGCGCACTCTTAATGTCCCTGCTTTGCAAACCGATGGGCTTATTTTTCTATGGGTCACTGGACGTGCAATGGAACTTGGACGGGAATGGTACTTTTTGTGTTTGGTTATATGCTGATTGTTATTTTGATTAAAAAAAAAAATCTATTATCTGTTTTTCATATGAGGCTGCCTTTTCTAATATTCTGTTTGGTTTCCATATTCCATATGCTCCATCCAGCTTGGAACTTTGGGGATATAAACGTGTTGAGGAGATTATTTGGGTGAAAACAAATCAACTTCAGCGAATAATCAGAACTGGTCGAACAGGTCACTGGCTCAATCACAGTAAGGAACATTGTCTTGTTGGAATAAAGGGTAATCCTGAAGTAAACAGGAACATTGACACAGATGTTATTGTTGCTGAGGTCCGGGAAACAAGTCGGAAGCCGGATGAGGTTTGTGTAATATTCACCTAAGTTTTGATTGATTTTATCTCTGTAAAAGGTGGTCAAGAGTAGTCATGGATGTCGTATCTAGAAGGATGTCATGTTCTCTGTTAAGTTTCCTTGTTATCCAAAAAATGTTGCTAGATATTATAATGACTTGGCCAAGGCATCTTTATTGAAGGCCATCCCATGCTATTTTTTTCTGATTTCCTTTCCACATTCCTGATTGCTGTTAATTACTTTCCGTGATCTCTCCAAACCCTGTCCCCTGTATAAAGAGGACATAGTTTAAACTAATAACAATATAGTTCTACTGTTCCTGTTGTTAAAATTAAATAATTCACATGATTAACATTTTCAAAGCTGTCCATGTATTCCCATAGATGTATCCTATGCTGGAGAGGATAAGTCCAAGAACAAGAAAGCTAGAACTATTTGCTCGCATGCACAATACTCATGCTGGGTAGGTTTTCTTGACTCGTCTATTTTCCTTTCAAGTTTTTGTTTCATGGTATTCATGAAATAGTTTGATAGAGATTGAGGATAGTCTAATTATGAAAAGGTTTTTGATGCTTTGTACAAACTTGTACAAACGTAGAAGTAAACTAGTTGTCAGTTTAGGGCCTAACCTAAAATTCATGTAGATAGAAATTATAAACTGTGTTCTTTATTGTTGATTATGTTTTTCCTGGTTCTCTATCAGATGGATGTCTCTTGGTAATCAATTGAATGGTGTAAGGTTGGTTGACGAGGGGCTGCGAGCTAGGTTTAAGGCTGCTTATCCAGATGTGGAGGTGCAGCCACCATCACCTCCCAGAGCTTCTGCTATGGAAGTAGACACTAATGTTGCTGCTCACACGAGGATTCCATTTGCAGCCACAGAATCAAAGTCCAATTCAACTCAGTTCGCGGAGCCTGCAGCAGCTCCAGAAAATTCCTTTGCTTCAGAGGATAAGTCAATGGCCATTGATGTTGACATCGGTTAAGTTTCCACTTCTGATCATGCTTAGTTGGAGCAATTCCCTGACAAAGCTGAATGCAGAACAGCATTTTGACCTTTTCACCAACGTTAATTTGTACTCTTTCACATTTCCTTCTAGATAAAGATTAGAGTAACAAAGGTATCTGGGAGGAAATACTTCTCTTAGGCGAGGATGCTTTTGTAAATGAAATAATCGTGTAATAGTTTTTAGTTTTTAGTTTTTAGTGATGAGGAGTGTTCTAAAAGTCTCATTCCAGTTGTAGCTGACTACACTTTTCTTTAATGTTCAAACATCAATTTTGTTAATTTGTTAGGTTGATTCCAGTCTACTGATTTTGTAATCACAGGAAAACTAACAAGATGGATTCATGAAAATTGAAAGGGATCATGTTATTGAGTTGAAAACCGAGGGAGCATATGTTGCACAGGTAAAGGAAGAGGTCCTTGATCAGGTAAATGGCCAGGCATAACTCTAATGAGTCTAATTCATCGAATGGAGTAATGTCACAAGTAATATGAGGGATTAAAAAAGAAGGGGTTGCTCAAGCTTAGTTAATTATTTAAATAATAAAATTTAAAGCTTGGTTTTAGAGTCTGGATTTGGTACATTAGTTTGTTTATCCAGTGAGAGTATAAGACAACAAAAAGTGGTGTTAGAGAGAGTTGTATGTATTTAAGGTGGGTTTTCCCATGTGAAGTTCATCTAATGCTCAAATGAATCTATTTCCTCCCTTTGAAACTTTTTATTGAAAGAAAAGAAAAGGTCATGTCAACATAGAATGTTCTATAAAACACAATTCTTTTTAATAATTTATAAATGATACATTCATTATATGAATTAAGCAGATAATCTAGTATCAGAAAATAACTTAGATCGCAGCTATATTCATTTGAACCCTGGACCAACAAATATAGCCTTTAAATTTGATATTTTGTATTGACTTAATTGATTTTGTTTTTACTATTTTTTTTAATTTTATACATTTTACTTGTACAATTTTAATTTAGCTAATTTTTTAATCGTTAAATATTTAATATCTGGATAATATCACACAAGTGAAGACTGAGTTGCAATCGGGTTGAAATTAAGAAAATATGAATAAAACATTTAATGTAATAAACATTCTTCACATGTTCGTACCTATAAATTTTTAAAAATTATAAAATATACAAAATAATCAATTAAATCAAGTAGAACCTATCATATAATCAATTATTTAACCTAGAAAAATAGTTAAAAAAAATAGTATTTAATCATTTAAAAATAGAAATCAACAATTATATATATATATATATATATATATATATATATATATATATATTTTTTTTTTTTAAGTTTCTCAATCAAATATTTGTTTTTGAACTGGTTACTTATTTACCTATTAATAATGTTTTTAATTATATAAGTTTGCCCATTTTAATTAATGTTTACATAATTAATCATAATTTTGATATTTTTTAATATTGAGTTAAGGTTTGTTTGAGAAACATTATCCTACTACTCTAAAAATAACATAATAACTACCTTAATCGTATTTATAAGTCGTAAAAGTAAAAATTATTTTGAATTTGACTAATTTTGAACGGACAAATATTTTATTTTTCTGAAAAATTATATTAAAATTCTCTCAAATAGTATAAAGTAATTGACTAATTTATGCCATTTAAACCTATAAAAGTTTGTAAAATCAGAAATATATTAATTTTATTTAGTTGATCAATAAAAAAAATATAAATATGGTTAAAAAAACAAGTATCCATCTTTTATCAAAAATTTAAATTGATAAATATATATTTTTAATAATGATTAAATATTCAAATTATAAAACAAATACAGATACTATTATAAAGAACAAATTCAATAAATATAAATATTGTTCGAAATTTTTAAACAAATTGTGCTTTAAAGCTTTTTATTTAAAAAATGTTTTCTACTGATAAGTGGATTATTGTGTTGATTTTAAAACTAATAACATTAATATATTGAAAAATAATGATAAAAACATTTACAATAAAAATTAAGCAATATAATAAAAATAGATTATTTTAACTTTATTATTGTTGTTGATCCACCATTATTTTAACCTTCCCTGAAAAATCGGCCCAATGGTTTTTTCTGTCACTACTTTAACCCTTTCCTCATTCTATGGTTCTTTCTCCGCCGCCGGGAAAATCCCATGTTCCGGCGAGTTTTCACCTTCGAGTGTTTTCAGCAGGTTCCGGCATCCCAACTCGTCGGTGTTCAATATCCCCCTTTTCATTTAGTTCCTTAGGAATCAGGCTTTTGTGAGGTAACTCTTATGCCGCCTGCCGCCAACAAAGTTTTTTTTTTTTGCTATAAATTTAAGCACTTTTTGGTATTTGGGTTACTGACTGTGTTGGTATCAGTTTGGGTTTCTTTATTTATATTTTTATTTTTATTTTGCTTCGAACTTGTTTTTTGGGATGATTCGGCTTGTCTATTGTTGCTTTGGGAATTTGGCATACTCTTATTTGTTGAATGTTTGGGGTTTCTTCCATGTTTATTTCATATGCAATTGTTGTTATATGAATGTTTACATTTGATGTAGTATTATTTTTTTTATTATTATATGAATGTTTGGAATTTTGCTAGCCATGATCGGTTTTGCCCGTTTTCTTTTTGCTTAGTGTGATTGCAATGGTTGAGTACCCTTTAGGTTGTTAGTTACTAGGTGGCTGTTTGAACTTGAAACAGTAACAATGTGCTTCAAATTTTAGTTCCTTTGTGGTTATTTTTATAAAGATGATACTTCGATTAATAATTTTTCTTTTACTTTACCCGTCCCACTTTTAACTATCAAACTTTTTCGAGGATCTTGTTTTGTGTGTATGTTTTGCTTGGTGAACAATCCTTTTGATAATAAGAATGTCTGAAAATGTGATGCAGAGTTGCTACCGACAACTTGTTCCATTCCCAGAAAACATGGTGTCCTTATATAGTTTTTGGAGATCTTTCTGTATTTCTGTTTAAAATATTTCGATCAGAGATTTTCTTTTTCGTCTAAGTTTTTATTTTTGACTGTCATTTCAATTTAATCTTAGTTAACACGCTCTTGGACGGATAATACTTAATGGTTCACACTTCACGGTTCATTCACATTATCTAGCAGGAGACCTGTTCAGCCAAATGCTTAAGATTCAAACAAACTCAAATATTGGAGCCATCTGTCTTGTGAGGAACTAGCGTTACAAAATATACCATTTTTTCGTATTGTAATATAAATTGAGGTTATGATGGGTACTAAAACTCTGTTCAAGTGGCCAAAGAAAATCACGAATTCCCTAGTTGTGCAGTTAATTAAAGCAGAAAAGGACGTGCACAAAGCTGTTAGTTTGTTTGATTCTGCAACTGCTGAATATAGTAGTGGGTTTCGTCATGATCTTGAGACTTTTGGTCTCATGATCTCTAGGTTAGTTGCTGTGAATCAGTTTAGGTCAGCAGAAGGAATGATGGAGAGAATGAAGCAAGAAGATTGTAAGGTTACAGAGGACATACTTTTAACTATATCCAGGGGTTATGGGCGCGTGCATAGGCCACTTGATGCCATCAGAATCTTCCACAAGATAGAAGGTTTTCAGCTTAGGCCCACTGAAAAGGCTTACCTTACAATACTGGATATTCTTGTGGAGGAAAACCATGTAAAGAGGGCTATTGGTTTTTACAGGGAGATGAGAGAAATGGGCTTTCCACCCAGTGTTGTTTCCCTCAATATTTTGATCAAGGCCCTCTGCAAAAGCAAGGACACTGTTGATTCTGCCTTACGGATATTTCGGGAGATGCCAGACCGTGGGTGCCAGCCTGATTCATATACATATGGTACATTGATTAATGGGCTGTGTAGACTCGGAAGTATCGGTGAGGCAAAGGAACTATTCAAAGAAATGAAGCAGAAAGGTTTTGCAGCTTCTGTTGTTACCTATACTAGTTTGATACATGGATTGTGTCAGTCTAATAATTTGGATGAATCTATTGGATTGCTTGAAGAAATGAAAAGAAATGACATTGAACCAAATGTTTTTACTTATAGTTCTCTTATGGATGGTTTATGCAAAGGTGGTCATTCATTACAAGCAATGGGGTTATTGGAAGTGATGGTCAGAAAGAACCATTTGCCGAACATGGTTACTTATAGTTCTTTAATCAGTGGACTGTGTAAAGAAGGGAAGCTTTGTGAAGCTGTGGAGATTCTTGATAGGATGAGGATTCAAGGCTTGAAACCAAGTGCAGGGTTGTATGGAAAAATCATAAGTGGCTTCTGTGCTGCAGGCAGCTATCAAGAAGCTGCAAACTTCATTGATGAGATGGTGCTAGGTGGTATCTCACCAAATCGAGCAAGTTGGAGCCTTCATGTTAGGATGCATAACATGGTAGTCCAGGGCCTTTGTAATAATGTTGATGCACCTCGTGCATTTCTGTTGTATCTCAGTATGCGTACTAGGTGCATCTCTGTTGAAATTGGCACTTTTGATTGTCTAGTCAAAAGTTTTTGTAAGAGAGGAGACTTGCACAAAGCTGCTCGGATTCTTGATGAGATGGTGTTAGATGGATGCATTCCAGACGAACAAATATGGAATGTTGTCATCGGTGGAGTTTTGAATCGAAAAAAAGTGAGAGAAGCCACTGAGCTGTTACTGGTTGAGCTGAGGCAGAAGTTTGTTGAAGCTGAAAGTTGATGTCTGTGTTTCCAAACATTACCGATATGCATTGCATTGTTACTTACACACAACCTTTGGTATCACATGATCCCCTGATGTTTCTATTCTAAAAGGTTGTTATTTAGTTGTTAATAATGCGTTAGGTGCTGAAATCTAGGTTATTGTTTATTATTGCAGTGTATCTTTTGAAAGTTCAATAAATGAATTTTAGTAAATTATAGGTTTCTAAATTAACTGTGTGTTTTGATCTACATCAAAGAACTTTAACATGGATCAGTGGAAGCAACAATGAGTTGCTTTTAAGTAAATTCTGACGATATTTTCATCTAAACACATATCTTAGATGGACAACTAAACATGCTCTAAGTGTATACAATGACACAGACAGGAATTCAATTCTAGTAATCTTTTATGTTTTTGGAGTTTCATATTATTACTAGTTCATGCCTATTGCATCATGAAATTTGAAGATTTTTTTTCCTTGAAAAAATAGTTTTATCTTTAGCTTTTACAATTTTGACATTGCAGGCCCAAACTAACATTTTCCCTATTTTTCTCAGTGACTGAAGATGTGCTGCCTTTTCAATTCATGATCTCACTTCCTCATCTCAAATGGTTGACATCTGGTGATCAGTGTTTCTGTGATCTGATGGTTTGAGCTTCAAATTGAGAGTAAATATGCCATGTGTAAGATTTACAAATAAGCTTTCCATGGGAAGTGGCATTTCAGATAACCCCGCTATCTCTTCCTTGGGGACACTGCCTTGATTCTTCCCGAGCATTTCTTATAATGCGGAACATGTTTTGGGAAAAGATTTTCCAAAGTCCTGACTGTCTCGGCAAGGTAAACTTTGGTAATTGCAAAACCGTTACTTGTGGTTGAAGTTGTCAGTTCCTAGAAAACTTTTCAAGTGTTCTTTAGTGTTTTCATTGGGTAATCATCAACATTTTAGTTGACATTCTTGATTTGCAGATTGCAATAATATTTTATGGCCTGATTCCTCAGGCATTGCTTTATTAGAATTTCATTTAATGTTGGATTTACATTACGCACACATGTTAGATAAAAGGGGAGCATTAACTACTAGATAGCAACTTAACAATGATAAGTTAACATTATCATTGATTTGCTGAATAGCCACTCTTGAATATTTATAAATGCGGGCTGAATACTATCAAGTTTTTCTGGCTATACTATATACATCTAAGTCTAAATTAAGCAGTTCGCCCAAAATCAGATAGAAGATATTGAAGAAAAACATTTTCTTTAAGGTAAAATTCAATTTGTTGAAAAGTTGCTCAAGCAATCTATAAATCCATTAAAAGGAAAATCAACTTGGTGTAAAACATTGCTTGCCTGATTAAGACAGTACTTATAAATTGTAACAAATGGATAAATCAAGAACTTATAGTGTTAGGTTTAGGTGAGCTTTAAATATATTGAATGAAAGTATTTCTTCTTTTTTTTATAATAATATAAGATTTAAGTATTGAATTTCGATTGAATATATATGTAATTTGTTCTGGATGCAACACATAAGCAGTCCAATTAAATTATTAAAATGGGTAAAAATATTGAATACAAACAGAAGAAGACTATTAATTTCTTGGAAGGGGGAAGCCTGTTAGAATTATTATTAGTTAGTGGTAAGTGGTTAGTGGTTAGTAGTTAGTAGTTGGTGGTTGGTGGTTGTTAGTAGTTAGTGGTTGTTGTTTTAAATGTTGTAATCCTATATATATATATATGAGATCATAGAGTGGAGTAAGGATCCCACAAAATTAGAAATCTTCTTTTCATTCTCTTTACTCTCTTAACTTGGTATCAGAGCAGGTTGGTCCTGCTCTGCCTGTCCGGCCATCGTCCGGCCACCATCTGGCCACCGTCCGACCATTTTCCGGCCACCGTCCAGCCATTTTCTGGTCACCGTCCGGCCATTTTCCGGTCACCGTCTGACCATTTTCTGGCCACCGTCCGACCATTTTCCGGCCACTTTCCGGTCATTTTTTGGCAACCGTCAGTCCCCCGTCCAGTCACCTTTTTTTGCTGCCGTTCGACGACTTTTCCGACCACCTTCCAGTAACCTTCAGGCTATCTTGGGTGTTCTCTTTCTTACAGGTTCCATTGTTTCCATCTTACATCTACATTATTTAAAACATGTCGTCAGGGCCCACAACCTCCTTTTCCGGAACTCCCACGATAACGGCTGAGAAATTAAATGGAAAAAATTACATGTCTTGGTCCTCTTCAGTGGAACTTTGGTTCCTTGGACAAGGGTTTCACGATCATCTAGAAGAAGACGGAAGTAAGATACCAGAAGATCAGGCTCAACAATGGAAAAAACTTGATTATCAACTCTGTGCTCTACTGTGGCAATCAGTAGAACCAAATATTTTGAACACTCTCAGATCCTTCAAAACATGTAACTCTTTCTGGAAAAAAGCTTAGAATATCTTCGCAAATGATATCCAACGTCTCTATGATTCCGCTAATCGATTAGCCTCTCTCAAGCAAGTGGATAAAGATATGATGACCTTTATTGCTGAAGCTCAATCAGCAGTTGAAGAATTAAAGATGTTCCTAGAGGTGGATTCGTTAGAGGAGATAAAGCAAAAGTTGGATAAATTATATATGATTATGACTCTCCGAGCTATGAATTCAGAATTTGATCATGTTAGAGATCAAATTTTAACTGGACAAGAAGTTCCTTCTATGGAAAGTTTGACTACAAGACTGCTTCGTGTTCCAACTCTCAAAGGAAAAAATAATCAAGAACTTGTTGAATCTTCTGCTATGATTTCTACTCGTGGAAGAGGAAGTCGCGACACTTGAGGAGGACTTGGAGGTAGAGGACGTCCTCAGTGCACTCATTACAAGAAAATGGGTCATACAGTGGAAAATTGCTACTCTTTGCACGGTTTTCCTGATAAAACTGTCAATTTTTCCAAATCTGGAATGGTTGAACCCAAGTTCTCTCACGAAGAATATCAGGAATATTTGAGGTTGAAATCCGAGTAATCTAGCACGAGTCATCAACAACCCCAAATTCATCAACAGCTTGCATTTCACAATCTGTGGAAAGTCAAAATCCATGGATTATTGACTCAGGTGCTTCTAATCACATGTCCGGTAATGCCTCTTTGTTCTCTTCTCTCTCATTTCCTAAAACTCCTCATCTCATAACCTTAGCCAACGGATCTAAAGTAGCCTCTAAAGGAACTGGTCAAGTCTCCATTTCTCCGTCTTTAAACTTAAAATTTGTTCTTTTTGTTCCTTCATGTCCCTTCGAGTCTCATTTCTCTAAGTCAATTAACCAAATTATTGAATTGTTCAGTAACCTTTAATGCCAACTCTTTTGTTATACGAGGAACGTGGTACGGGTCGACAGATTGGCGAAGGACATGAATCCGGAGGCTTATACTACCTTGGGACTAAATCATCTGTATCTTGTGTTGCATTCTTGTCTCCAAAACTATTACACGAACGGTTAGGGCACCCTCACTTATCAAGATTAAAAAAAATGGTTCCTGAACTTCAGACTCTTCAAGATTTTGAATGTGAATCATGTTAACTAGGGAAACATACTAGGTCCTCTTTTCCTAAACGTTCTAAATCTAGATGTGACTCTGTCTTTTCTCTTGTTCATTCTGATATTTGGGGTCCTAGTCGTGTCTCATCCTTTGGCTATAGATATTTTGTTACCTTCATTGATGAGTTTTCTAGGTGTACTTGGATTTATCTAATGAAAGACCGTTCTGAATTATTACCTATCTTTAAGTCTTTCCTTAACAAAATCAAAAATCAATTTGGAAAAGTAATCAAAGTTTTACGAAGTGATAATGCTAAAGAATACTTTTCTACTGATTTCTCCACTCTCTTAAGCTCCCAAGGCATTTTACACCAGTCTACTTGTCCTCACACACCACAACAAAATGGTATAGCAGAACGAAAAAATAGACATTTGGTTGAAACTGCTCGTACCTTATTACTTGGTGGAAATATGCCCGTTCATCATTGGGGAGATGCTATTCTTACTGCATGTTTTCTCATTAACAGAATGTCATCTTCTTCTCTTAAAGTTCCACACTCTATTCTATTGCCAAAGGACCCACTCTTTCATGTTTCTCCTCGTGTATTTGGTTGTGTATGTTTTGTTCATGATATGTCTCCAGGTTTAGATAAACTATCAGCTAGAGCCATCAAATGTGTCTTCTTGGGATATTCTCGTCTTCAAAAAGGATATCGATGTTATTCTTCTGAAACCAAGAGGTACTACATGTCTGCTAATGTAACTTTTTTTGAGTCAACTCCCTTCTTCCCTTCTTCTATGCAGGATATTAGTTCAGTCCAAAATGTCCTACCTATACCCTTAGTGGAGTCATTTGTACCTCCTCCTGACACCCAAAATTTCACACAAAATACACCGGAATCCTCATCACTGCCTCTTATTACCTATCAACACAGGAGCCAAATGATCAGTCTCATGTCCCAAGATGAGTCTTCCTCAGCAGATCCTTCTCAATCATCCCCTGATACCACGATTCCTGATAATGGTGACTCAAGTTGGCCCATTGCCATTCGCAAAGGTACTCGCTCTACTTGTAATCCACATCCCATTTAGAATTTTCTTAGCTACCATAGATTGTCTCCTTCCTATTTTTCTTTTGTTTCTTCTGTATCCACTATTACTATTCCAAAGAATGTAAAAGAGGCACTTGATCATCCTGGATGGCGACAAGCCATGATTGATGAAATGCGAGGCTCTTGAGCACAATGGTACATGGAACTTAATTCCTCTTCCACATGGGAAGAAGACTGTTGGTTGTCGTTGGGTCTATGCCATTAAAGTTGGACCAAAAGGTGAAGTTGATCGACTCAAAGCTAGATTAGTAGCAAAAGGCTATACTCGAGATCTATGGCCTTGACTACGGTGATACTTTTTCTCCTGTGGCCAAAATGACTACTGTTCGACTTTTCTTTGCTATGGCGGTTATCCGTCATTGGCCTCTTCATCGGTTAGATATCAAGAATGCGTTCTTGCATGGTGATCTTGAGGAGGAAATTTATATGGAGCAACCTCCTGGTTTTGTTGCTCGGGGGAGTCTAGTTTGGTTTGTAAGTTACATCGTTCTCTCTATGGTCTCAAACAATCTCCACGTGCTTGGTTTGGAAAGTTTAGTCACATTGTTCAAAGTTTTGGATTAAAACGAAGTGAAGCGAGATCATTCTGTTTTTTATTATATTGCTTCAAGAAAATGTGTTTATTTAATTGTATATGTAGATGATATAGTCATTACGGGGAATGATGTTGATAAAATTTCTTTGCTAAAGAAACATTTATGTAATCACTTCCAAACTAAGGATCTTGGTTGTCTCAAATACTTTCTAGGGATTGAAGTGGCTCAATCAAAAGAAGGCATCGTAGTCTCCCAAAGAAAGTATGCTTTAGATATCTTGAAAGAAACAGGCATGATTGATTGTAGACCGATGAACATGACCCTATGGATCCAAATCAGAAATTAATGGCGGATCAAGGTGAACCGCTCTGTGATCCTGAGAGATATAGAAGACTTGTTGGGAAACTCATTTATCTCACCATTACCGGACCTGACCTATCTTTTGCCGTTGGAGTTGTGAGTCAATTTATGCAAAATCCGCGTACTGATCATTGGAATGCTGTCGTTCACATCCTAAAATATCTCAAAAAAGCTCCAGGACAAGGTCTGTTGTATGAAGATAAAGGGGATACCCAAATATCTGGGTATTGTGATGCTGATTGGGCTGGATCCCCTGTGGATAGACGCTCCACTACAGGATATTGTGTTCTCATTGGAGGCAATATTATTTCTTGGAAAAGTAAGAAACAAAATGTAGTGGTCCGGTCTAGTGCTGAAGCTGAATATAGAGCAATGGCATCTCTCACTTGTGAACTAGTGTGGGTGAAACAATTCCTTCAAGAACTGAAATTTTGTGAGATCCAACAGATGAAGATGTATTGTGACAATCAAGCAGCTCTCCACATTGCCTCTAATCCGGTGTTCCATGAAAGGACCAAACATATAGAACTTGATTGTCATTTTATTCGTGACAAATTGTTATCTAAAGAAATTTGCACTGAATTTGTCGGGTCCAATGATCAACTTGCAGATGTGTTGACAAAGTCTTTAAGAGGACCTCGAATTGAATTTATTTGTTCCAAGCTTGGTACATACAATTTGTATGCTCCAGCTTGAGGGGGAGTGTTAGAATTATTATTAGTTAGTGGTTAGTAGTTAGTAGTTGGTGGTTGGTGGTTGTTAGTAGTTAGTGGTTGTTGTTTTAAATGTTGTAATCCTATATATATATATATGAGATCATAGAGTGGAGTAAGGATCCCACAAAATTAGAAATCTTCTTTTCATTCTCCTTACTCTCTTAACTGCCAATTCCACGTCTGTGGGTAGGAAATGCAACAAAGAACATGCTGTGAGGATTTCCTGTATCTCACTTGAAGATGCTAGAAAGAAGCAATTCACCACATTCTGCTGCAAATACCAAAACTGACATCACTGCATGCATGAAATCTATTAACTTTATGCTATATTTTGTGGCATGTTGGGGTGGAAGGGTGGTTGATCAATCAACCCACAAGGCTCCGAGGGTGGCAAACCCGTAACAGATGTTCCCCTTTTTGTCTCTGAAGTTATCAGTTAAACATAATAGGAAGCATGAGGCACCACCACATAGAGGTACAAGTGCAGTAGTCATAGTCTTACTGGCAGAGTCACAGTTGCCAATATTTCTTAAGATTAGAGAGAGAAGTTGGAAAGCAAGGACTGTGCCTGTTGGTAAAAGGTTGGCCAAATGGGCAGTGCTCTGAAATGTCTGATGACTTTCTAATTTTTATGGATGATCATACACAGATACAAGTGTAGCAGTCATGACCTTGCTGATAGAGTCACAGTTACCATTACCAATATTTGTGAAGACTGGAGAGAGAAGTTGGAAAGCTAGGACTGGGTCAGTTGGTAAAAAGCTGACCAAATGGGCAGTGCTCTGAAATGTCTACCAATGACTTTCTAATTTTATGGATGATCACTTTTTGCAGGCAGCTTCTAATTTTTTGTTTTGTGGTGTTGCTAATGTTCCCTTCAAGTTTGTTGGATTGCCAATGGGTGTCAACCCTTGGGAAAATCTAAGACATTGCAACCATTTGTAGACTCTTTCAAGAAGAGGCTAGCTTGGGAAGGAAAATAATTGTCTTTCGGAGGTAGAATTACTCTCCTAATCTTTGTACTTTCAAGTTTGCCTCTATATATTTTATTCTTCTACGGAGATACCAAGAGCATCGGTAAAACAATAGTTGGTTTAGGAAGAGAATTTCTCTGATGTGGGTTAGATGAGAGTAAAAAATTCCATGGATTAGTTTGGATAAATTTGTCAACCTAGAGAGTGGGGAGGTTTTGGGGTTAAAAACATTTGTTTAGTATTAGCTCTGACGTTGTCTAGATGATAAAAAAGCTCTTTGGTACAATTTTCTTAATCAGAAATATGGTGATCTGAAGGGATGGGTTTGAAGAGAAGGATGATTAATAATCTTGAATTGGTTGGGTGGCAAGACATTGTGAAGTGGTAGGTGAGGTAAGTAGAGTTCAGTCTGAGGTTTTAGAAAAATGTGTCAAGGAAAGTGAGAAATGGGAAACCTACAAACTTTTGGAAGACATATGGATAGGTTAACTCCCGTTAAACTTATTTTTCCTAGGATGTATCAAATATCAGAAGACAAGCAAGCATTTTTATCTTTGAAATGGAAAGGGGATCAATGATGCTGCAATAAGAAGTGGCATAGGGATATATCTCTTGCATCTTTCAAATCTCATTTCATAGGTGAATTTATGCAAAGAAGAGAATGATTATTGAATTTAGTTAGAAGACAACTCTAGGTATTACTCAGTGAATTTGGGATATTCCTTTTCTTCCCAAACAAAGGAGCGCATGTGGAGAAAACTCTTTCTGCAATTTTGTGTAGAAACATTTCGAAGAGCTTTGTGTCTCGGTGAAAGTTTTCTCTTAGAGACTATAGTTGTACAGGTTGCCCACTGAAATTGTTCTTTTTGCAAGACATTTCTTTTTTCCCATGATCCCAAGAAACCCTATGCTGTTCGTATCTTAGTCATTAAGAAAAATGCATTCATCTATTCTTCCCATGTTCAATAGATTCTCTTGTTTGGTATCATATATATGCTTGGACATCTTTTTCCACAGTTCTACCCCAGTTTGGAGAAACTCATTTTCTTCAACATGTAGGTCTTCTAAAAGGAAAAAAGGTTCAGAAGGCTTGGTACGTAGTTTGGTATGCACTTGTGTGGTCTATTTGGTCAAGCTTTGTTACTTTTCAACACCAAGCTTGGACTTTTATGGATTTGGTGGATTTCATTACGGTTAATTCTTGGTCTTGGTTAAATCTCTTGGCAAAAAAACTAATTTCTTTCAGGTTGGTCCATGAATCCATAGCTTGTCTCTCCAGCTCATCATGACTTTTCTCTTTACAATTGCTCGGTGCCTTGGTGTTTTTAGTAATGGAAGGTGGAGCTACTCGGGCCTGTAGCAACATTGTTGCGCATGATGGAGTCTTTGTTTGTTTTTTGTTTTTTTCCTGCATAACTATGTATCATACATCTTTTAACTGGAATTGTCATTTCTTATGCCTTAGTCCTTTTTTATTTCTTTCAATAAATTTATACTTGCCTATAAAAAGATGACATGTAAAAACATGAGGTGATTGGAATGCATTTGAGGTGGAGCTTTATGCCAAGTACGGATGACAAAGCAGGTAAATTTATTTATCAATCATCCATCTGATTCATTCACAAGTAATTTCATCCCATAAACTATAAAAAAATTGAATCGGGTCAAATTTATCTATTGAGTGAAACTCTACTACTGCTCTTATTTGCCAACAGATTTGAGTAGTAGAGTATCATTTGCATGTAGAACATCATTCATTTGATGGTATACTTACTTTTTATTACTATTCATAACTCAATTTATATACCAAGATTTTGGAGATCTTATGAGAGTTCAGAAATATTCATTTTCAAGAAAAATATTAACATTTTCTTTTTGGTAGGGTTACATTCTACCAATGTCCTAATTACTGGCCCACTCATACTCATTTGTGTGCCATATTGGCACTACAAATCTATGATAGCATATGCATAAGTCATTTGCCATCATAAAAGTGCACGGCAATCATATTCGGTCGATTGATAACTGATATCAAACAAAATTCTATCCTCATGATGTCATACTGGTATGAAAAGGAAACTCGCCACAATTAGAAAATTCTATCCGCTTGAGAGTATCAACCACTGAATGAAAATGGTTTATGCAACAAAGGTTTCACAATTAGAAATTCATTTTAATTACTATGTTTTCTCTCCCTGCTTCGTGTGCATCACTTCTGCATATCTCTTCTACTCATCTACAATCAAACCTTTTCCCCTCCATTTCACTTGTTATCATTTTGTGAACCTCGACAGTGCAATCAAAACATAATTAAAGCATGCGCATCCTTGCATGCAATTTTTCCACTTTCACGTGTGCATGCCCCACTCACTGTTTTGGTGACTCGTTCTTTATTAGTGGCATCTAGATGATACTCAAACAAAAGATCCAAAGTTCAAAAAGGTGTCTCAAGGATATCTAGCAAATCCTCGAAGAAGATTTGCTACATCAGCAAGAAAATGGGATAATTAATTATCTACCAACCCAATCAACTTTACCTGCTTAGCTGTAGCATTGCATGCATGCTTTATTAGATCAAACATATTTGCATGTACTACCTCCTCCCATAATATCATGTATATAAGAGTAACGTGATTAATCATTTTTTGTTTTTTTTTTAATCGGAATGACTGGTTGAACTAGTAATGGGAGTAGAAACCAACATATTATTTCCAAATTACTATATTTTAATTAGACCAGATAAAATTGACTAGATTTTATGATATTTTGATAAAAAAAAATTGGATCAATTTTTTTTAATTTAATTTTTTTATAAAAAATGTAATATGATTTAAATTTTTTATCTCATGTAAACTTTAAATAAAATTTATTTTATTATTTTTTTAATAATTATTTATCTTTCATTTTTTTAATATATTTTATATTTATAATTTTTATTCCGATGATCATAATTTTTATTATTATTTTTTTATAAAAAATATTATTACTAATAAACTTATTATATATTTATTATATTATAAAAATATTATTTTGTTAAATCAAATTGAACTCGGTTACATTTAAATGTAAATAAAATTTTATAAACTTTAAATTTGAAATACTATATTGAATTTAAAATTCAAGAAAAAAATAATAATATCATAGAATGTATGCGTATATATTGAAATATAATATTTTTTTAATAAAAATGAATATTTCAATACTCAATTTTTATATTTAAAATATATTAAAAAATTATTTTAAAAATCAACAACTAAAATTTTGAATTTAAGACATTCAAATCTACCTTGTTCAACCTACTGCATTTCAAATTCATTACATATTAAGTGAACTTGCTTGTGTATTATAACTATTTATACACCTACTATTAACTCAAATCATCATATATTATTACATTAATTAAATTAGTACATGGACAAACTTCTCCCTACATGTTTTTAAGAAATAAAAAAAAATTATATACTAAAATTAATTTATACACAAATTAAAAATAAAAATAAATTTTTACAAATTAATTAATTTAAATTACAGAAAAACTCAATTACTTTTTCACTTAAAAGTACTAATGACTCCAATCATACTGATCATGTGATGGAGTAAAGTACAGAATGAACATGATCCAACCCAGTGGATAGTGTATAAATAAGCTTCATATCATGCAAATCATATATGTTCAAATTAAGGGCAAAAGTTATAGAGTTTCATTTGTTCTTCTTTAATTTCTGAGTGTTTGTGTAAGATCTTTTTAACACTCTCCTAATATCAATGGCACCAAAGATAGACATTCAGCAGATTTTATCACCCATCCGAAAGCCACCAAGTAGTGGAAGTGGGAGTGCTTCATCCTCCAGTTCAACCTGCAGTACTTCCAACTCCACTTCCAAGGTGTTGACAAAACCATTAACTATTCAGCAAATCTTTGGCAACAAACAGAAGTGATGCTTCATAAGAACCACCCAGCTGTGCTTTCTTTGTTTTCCTAGTACTTTGTTTTTCTCTTTCTGTCTTGTTCGAATGTGTTGGTCTTTGCTTTGTTTCATTGAGTGGATGATGTCCAAATTATCATGGACTACGTGTACTTTCTGGTTGTTTTGTATGAAGTATAAAGAAGTTTGTGTTTGGCTGCGTTGATGCATATATAGATGACAAGCCATGTGTCTGAGCCGAAGAGGAGGTACCTTTGTCTCTTGGAGACCAAATTGCACCTGTGGCTTTAGGGTAAGCTAAAGTTTGATCTTTGCTGCTAAACTTTCACCACTGTCATACATATATATTTCCAATAAAAATATGTACAAATATATATTATAATATAATGTATTTGACTTTGATCCCTCCCTTTTTTTCTGTTTTAGATTTTAATGATTGGTTGAATGTGTTGGATCTCAACTGTGGATTAATTCTTCTATATATAGACACAAACTTAACAGAATTATTAATTCCTGAACACAAGACAAACGACTAGCCCTAATATCCACAAGGTGTTTCAAATATGAGGTCTGAAGTGTAGCAAAGTGTTACGAACAAGATTACGACTATATGCAGAGAAAAAAAAAAAAAAAAAGTGTAGCAAAGCTTGAGTTTATTGGCTGATGGAGGTGGAAAGCAACCATGAATTCATGTGATATATTTTATCTTTCCGGTAATTGGTTTAATTTCTCTTGCATGAATATTGCCGGTTCAGTAAAAATAACTAGCAGTCACAAGTAGGAGGAAAAATATATAGCAATTTTTGAAATGTTCGATTTTAACTCATTGCTTTGGTTAGGTGAAGGTACACTTTTAACTTCATTGTTTCTGGTTTAGTGGTGCTATAACAGAAGCACCACATATATTCTTTTAGATAAAGCAAAATTTATTGGTGATGAAGTACAAGTAATACCCTCCTTAATTACATGTGAAGATCATAGAAGGAAGATCTTAAATTCTAGTATAATAAACATAAAAGAAGACTGGTGTTGCAGTCCTTTGACTCCACCAGAGGCTGTTTCTTTTTTGTGTTTGATTTGCTTATGTAAGTCTACAATTGGAGTTACTATTTGCTTATTAATAAAAAATGTTTGTATATTTTAGAAATTACCTGATTAATTAGTGATGCATATAATGTTTTTGTTCTTATTTTAATTGAAAGAAAAAGGACTACAACATTTTAATATGTTGCTTTAATTTTTTATGATACTATTTGATAATAAATTATATATATAATTAAATGTAAAATATTTTTGAATGTATTTGCATATATTAATCCTTCACTTTATTTAACTCTCAAAACTTTGGTTCAAGGTATACTGCTTTTTACCTTTAGTTCTTTTTTTGCACACTGATGAAAAGAACTGGGAAAATTTGCTAAAGATTGCACATTCGTGCTATCTCGGGATACGATAAGCTGAATGATGAAGCGTATCCTTCACAGATTCATGTTCCACATGCAGACTTTTCAAACTAAGTGGATTTAAAATAGAAAAAAAAAAAACAGAAATACTGTGAAATGTAGCTTAGAAATGATAATGATAGGATTATATTCTTATAATTCTAAGTTTAGATATTTGAATTGAAGTAATTGAAGTATCATTAGCCATTTATTTATTTATATATATATATATATATATATATATATATAAAGTTTATGTCTAGTCTTTGTACTGAATATTTTCTTATTCAGGAATTTCACTGGCATCCATTATTTGAAGTTGGGACCATAATTCGTCTACGACACTTGGGAAATTAGAGCGTGAGTTGACAGACATGGAAATTAGGGTGTGAGTTTGCGAGGAGTAAGAATAAAAATAATTGAATAATATATAAAAAGAAAAAAATTATAATTTTTAAAAATTTGGGATGAAGTTGTGATTGACTTATATTATATTTTATTGGTGTTATTATTTTAATTAAACTTACTGTAAAAATTTAATAATAGTAAATAATTTTGATCGACATTAAGATAAATGGTGATTTTTTTTTTAATTGAAAATACGATGGTTCATCAAATTTAATAATTATTAAATATAAATTTGTATATATTTATAATTTTTTTATTTTTTTTATTTTTTAATAATATATTATTTAATTCATTACCATTTCTTCTGTTACATTTTCTTATCTACATAGGATCACTACAAAATCATGTGAGGTAGTGGAAGAAACCTAAAATGTTGGATCTTAAAAGAATATTTAGATATATCTATAAAGAAGTAGAAACTCAGGAATTAAAAGGATGCTTATATAAAAGAAAAAGTGATATATTTACAAATTGAAATATAAATTATAATGTAGGCCGGTTGAAGATTCCAAAAGTTGAAAGCAATTTTATATTTAAAAAACTAAAGTAATCGGCTCTTAATTAAACTTTCAGACACTAAAATAATAATTGTCTAATCTTAAATAAACACCATTCGAATTTCGAGAATTCATGAACCTGTCTGTTAGCCGTAACAAAACTTCACCCTCCACATTTACCTGAAAAAAATTAGCAAAATGTATGCATGAGCTCTTGTGAAATCTCAAATGAGGGCACAAGTGAGCTTCTGCATACTGGTCGAAGACAATATTTTTGTCCTGCACATACATATATGTATATATTTTTTAAGCTTTGGCATGGAAACCCCTTGACAATAGTGTAGAGATATACAAATATACATATGTAGCTTCATTTTTGCACTTTTTTTGTTTTCCCCAAGAGGTGATTAGTTTTACAGGTAACTAGATTGGTTTATGCCTGTGAAGCATGCTGCCCTCATCCGTGTCGGAGTGTCGCGGACGTTTGGGACACCGACACTGCCACGACACTTCGCGGAAGCATGTCCGACTCTTTTTTGCAGTGTCCCCTACACCAAAAACGCGTCGCGAGGCTTCGATTCATGTGGACACGGTGTGACCTAAATCCGACACGGTGTCAGACACGGCTCCGACTCGGGTACAACTTTTATAAAAAAAAATTGAATTTTTTCTATTTACTTTTTTCTCCAGCTTTTCTTCCTTCCTTCCTCTGCACGTATCCTTCCTTTCTTCCTTCCTTCCTCTGCACCTTTCCATTTCTGCACCAAAGCTTTCCTTTTTTCCTTCCAGTTTTTCTCTGCTGTGTGCTACTTGGGCAACCATGCTCTTCTTCATGTTGTGAAAGAAATTGGAGCACTTACTCTTTTATTCATTCTATGAAAAGAAACAAGATGACACCATATAGGGCAGAAGATCTAGTATTTGTTCATAGCAACCTCCGTCTTCTTTCAAGGAATTCTCCACAATATAACCAAGAGGAAACAAAAATGTGGGACATAGCAGGAGATGCATTTGGATCACTGGATGAGAGTGGAATGCTTGAAGTTGCTAATTTATCACTTGATGAACCAGAGTTAGAGAGTGTATTTTTCAATGATGATGATCATGAAGACCACTGTCTTTAATAGATTTGATTCATCTTCTTATTTTGAGACTTTCTTTTTGTAAAAAGACAAAGTTTTTATATTGTGAAATAGTAGTTCTTAGTATTTTTTGGTTAGGATATCATATGAAAATTGTAAAATCTAACAACTTTGTCTTGAGAAGATGAATGAACAAATCTTAATTTTTAATTTATATATTTCTCATTTGAATCATATTTAAATTTTTATTCATGTCTAATATATATAAGGTGTCCCGGTGTCCTATATTTTAGAAGTTTCCCGTGTCCGTGTCGTGTGTCTGTGTCAGAGTCAGTGCTTCGTAGGTTTGTGCTCTTCTTTTGGCAACAGTAGTGAAGTCAGAGACAGGTGAGAACATAAGGGCAAGATTTTTTTAGTACAACGCCATAAATTGCAGAGCTCATAGTGCTTCATTGACAGACAGATTTTGGTGGTATTGGGATAGAAAGACATCAAATACAAAGGCCTTTAAATCTACAATCAGTCATCTGAGTCAGTACGGTTCTTGTTCTAACCTTAAGATCACCAAGATAGCATCAAAGATGCTGTTCTCCTTGCATATGACGTATCTATATCTCACATAAATGTTCATTCTTTTGATCACTAAGTAATTACAAATATGAGATTCATAACTCTGTCAGTGCAAAAATGTGGTGTGATCTAATGGACATCTTTCTTTTTGTTTATAGTGCAACAGTTCCTGGTGTGACAGATTTTGGCACTATCATGTGTGAGACGAGACTAATAGCCAAAGTTTTTCCTGGCTAGGATATTGAGTGACCTGTGATGAAGCCACTCCCATCGTAGGATAGAGGAAGAGACGCAGCTGAAGGTACACCAGCTTCATATTTGGAACAAACCTCACCGATGTTATTGTCACAGTGACAGGTGTATGCAAACAAAAAGTTACATGCATCGAACAATTATCAAACAAGTGGTTAAGGTTGGTGAACCTTTTCAGAAAACATGTGCTACGCATCAAAACTTTGAATTATAATTCCCAAAAACTATTAACTACGAGTTAATAATTAATAATATATTAAAAACTTTGTGATGCTATTTGTCAGTAGGGATGTGAAAACGGGCTAGGCCCGGCAGGCGGGCTGTGGGCCAGCCCGCTCTAATATGGTAGGGTGGGTTGGTGTTTTCAGCCCATCAGTCCGCTTTGGTCCGCCCGCCAAGCCCGCCAACCCGTAAGGCCAACCCGCGAGACGGGGTGGGCCAGCCATGACCCACCTAATTAATAAAAAAATAATTTTTTATTATAATAAAATTAATTATAAAGATAATATATAAAGTTAAAAATTTTAAAAAGAAAATTAAAAAAGTTTCATTCTCACGAGAAAATATTCTCCTTCCTGAAATATAATCTTTTCTCTTGTTCTCCTTATTTATCCTAAGTACGGATTATATTTATCATTATTATTTGAATTAAAGGTATAAGAATTACTCAATCAAGAATAATATGAAGTTTTATCAAATAAAAAAGATATAGGTATTTGAATTTTTCAATATAAAAAATATAAATTTTATAAGTTTAACGTTATTTATATATATATATATATATATATATATATATATATGTTATTATTTATTATTATGTAAATTTTATTATTGTTCTAAATTATAATTTCTTAAAATAATGTATTGATTTATATTATTAAATTGAAATAATATATATATATATATATATATATTGAATTATTGACAAACAAATAATAATCTTATTATTAAATTTATTAAAAAAATTATTTTTTCTAAATTATGGCGGGTCGACCGCTAACCTGCCACTTGGCGGGCGGGCCAAAGTCTACGATCCGTCATGACTATATCGAGTCAGCCGCCCGCTTTTGGCGGGCCAAAGGCGAGGCGGGCCAAAACGCAGGCTGACCCGTTTTGCCATCCCTATGTGTCAGAGGTTCAATTAAAGGATCAGATAAATTTTGTCATAAGTTCTAAGTGTATCTCAAATGTTTTTCTTGAAAAATGTAAAATAAAAATTTATCTTAAAAATATAAAATATATTATCATCCTACGTTAATTTTTTAAGTAATTTATTATTGATTTTATTCTGTTATAAATTTTGTTAATAAATTTTAAAAATTTTATTTTCTTTCTTATTTTTTTCCTTATTTATTTTAATTTATTTATTTTTTAGATTGAATTATAAAAAAATTTAAACACTTATCATATTACATAACATTTTTCTAAAGAAAAATTATATTATCAAGCATTTTAACAAGCAACCCGTAGAAATGTTTTAACCTCTGATTATATTATCAATCTCAATTAACTTTAACACTATATCACTTTTGATCATGAAAAAAATTATTAGATTTTCTCAAATGTATTTTAACATTTCCACTAATATCAGTCAGACATGTAATCAATTTTTTTAAAGAATTAATTATAATAATTACAAGTAATATACAAAAGTTAATTGATGTTTTCGTCTTTCAACTAAGTATTATTACTTTTATCGAATTAAGTGTATTTATTATATTTAATGAAATATTTATCAAAACAAACTAATACAGATTCTCTGTTTCTCTATTTCTTAATTAATTCTATTGCTACAAACAAGATATATTTTTAATTCTATGGTTTTCCTATATTTTTCATTCCTATAATAATATTTTTCCTCAATTTTTATTATTATTTTAAATATTTTATCATTTAAGAATAACAAAATTGGTCAACTCGTTCGACCCGTCATAAATGAGGTAAAGCAAGATGGTCCGTCATGATCAAGATAGGTTAGAGAGCTAGTTTACCTCGCGCAAGGGCGAGTTGGGAGCTAATTGCCAACCTATCAATATATATTTTTTTAATAAAATTTTTTATATGTATTTAAAAAATATCTTTAATTATATAATAATTTTTAAATTTTTATTTATTAATCAAAATTTTTATTAGATAAATTGAAAAATATTATATTTACATATCAATACTTAATTATAATCAATAATTTTAATTTAATTAATTAATTTTTATAATTTAAATTATAAAATATTTATATATTTTAATAATATAATAAAAATATATAATATTTTTAATTATAATTTTTTATTTTAATTTTAATAATAAGCTAACTCACCTACATTTGACCCTTGACTCGCTAAATTGAATAAACCAAAATAGATTGACGGAGTAAACTTACCAATCCCTTCACTAATTTTTAAGCAAATCCATTTCTAGCCCTTAACATGTTTTGTCATCTTTATATTTAATCAAGACTAATTATTTTTTTATAAAATAATTGTCACCTCAAACTAAAAACATTTTTTAATTTTGTGATTATTTGTACCACGGAGAGGAGCCTCAAAACCACCACAAAATTTCTGCGTCTATGAAATGTGTCGGCAATAGTGGGGATTGGCGTGGGCGTGAAGGGGAAGAAGTAAGACTATATATTTTAATACCACACCAACCCAATATCCCACCATTCTAAACTTCTTTCTAAATTCACAAACCATAATCATACCAACAAAACTGTTAAATTCTTACATCCATTATGACTATGATTAAAATTTAATAATAGTTTATGAAGAACATAGAAATCTCACTTATTATAGTATGACATAAATCTATTTCTACAAATTTTGGAATAGACGTTATGAAACATTTTGAACATGTATGACTTTTGGTCACTAACTAAGGACATTTTTCACAATAAGAAAAAGACATTGATATTGTTCTGTTAACATTTCGTAATAATATGACGACAGCAATAATGAGAATGAGTCGTGATTTGACATAGCATCGCATGAACATTCAAATTTAACATAACTACTGTTTCATGTGTCTTGGAACAACAGTTCTGACCAGAAATTACTTATGATATTAAATACGTTTATTTTTCATTTAATACTTTATAGTAGTGCTCACAGATTCTGATATTCCTTTCTCCTTAAGAGATTCTAACTGAACAAAACCTTCGAAGCAAATGGAAAGAAACGAAAATTCACTCATGAATTCGGGGAAAAAAAATAAACATCCTATTTGAAGTTGCAACTAAGATTGAAGCCTTGCACGCAACAAATACAGTATCATTCTTTTGGTACATCATGGCTCCTAGAGAAACAAATAACTTGGACGTGTATGTTTTGTGTTTAGGAATGTGAAAAAATAGTATTTGGTACATAGGTTATAGGCATATTTACCAATTTATTTATCTAGAGAGTAAATAATCGTTGCTTGTTTTGTTAAATAAAATCCTAAACAATAATCATCCACCTTTTGAATGTTGAGAATTCATGAACCTATTGAACATATCTAAACTTTCCCTATAAATACTTGACATAGCTGCTTCACTCTTCACCATATACCTCAAACAAATACAAGGATGAAACTCTTCTGGAAAGCTCACATGAGGGTGGGTATAAGAGAGACCCTTTTTCCTCCTGTGTCATTCTAAGTTGCATTTTGGTTTCATATATGCAATTTTTTGCTGCGTATACTTTTATAGCTTATGCATGGAAACCCCTTGACAATATGCAGAATTACATGCATACATATGGCTTAATTTTCAAAAAAATAAATTCTAAGGGGTGTTTTGTTTTTTTTACAGGTAATAAGATTGGCTTGTGCTCTTCTTTTGGTGACACTGCTAAGCTCAGAGGTAGCTGAGAGCAGAAAATCCAAAACTGTTAGCACTTCCTTTGAGTACAAAGCTATAAATTGCAGGGCTTATAGTGCTTCATTGACGGATTTTGGTGGTGTTGGAGATGGAAAGATATCAAATACAAAGGCCTTTAAGTCTGCAATCAGTCATCTGAGTCAATATGCTTCTAAAGGGGGGGCTCAGCTCTATGTTCCTGCAGGAAAATGGCTGACTGGGAGTTTTAGTCTTTTGAGTCATTTCACTCTCTATCTGAACAAAGATGCCGTTCTCCTTGCATCTCAGGTATCTGTCTCATTTATGTTCATTCTTTGATGACCAAGTAATCACAAATATGAGATTCATGACCTGGTCAACATTCAATTTATTGATTCGCAACTAGTATAGCCCTGTTTCTCTTGGTGAGATCGGCTGCATAGATTACTTGACACCATTAGTTTCAGTTTAAAATCAAATCCCATAAATATTGTTTATTAGAAGATCCTTTTTAATAAGTTCTATGTCTTTCTGAGTCTCCTTCTACCCTTTTGCACAAAAAATCTTGTAATCTGTGCTTTTCGTAAGTGTTTTTAGTAATCTTCTCCTCACATGTCCAGATAATGTTAACTGATTTTCTGACTAAGCCACAATTTCTTTGTATGTCCTCAAGGTGCTATATTGTTCCTCTATAATGGAAAAAATTATTCTACTGATTCTGTCATTTGAACTATTGTTGTTTCATCCAGTTGGCTTCATCTGCCCTTTCTTGCACCTTTCCTTTTGGCAGCATTTGGGGAGAATTATTTCCCAAGTCTGATAAAAAAACAAAAGAAACAAAAAGTCAAGGAAGTGATTAGGTGCATGGGAAAAGAAATTCTGAAAGTGGACTTCATTGATGGAAAATTAGTAATATGTTCTTTGGTTTCATTTCAAAATTAAAAGGAAAAAAGAAACTAGTTTGTTGTTATTTATCGCTGTCACAGAGTCATAGACTAATGACTTACTGATGAAATTGGAAATATACGTTTTTAAAGGGATTCACTTGAGTTACAAATAAGGTAAAATGTTAAATAAATGAAATTCAAATGTCGCAAGGCTCCTCACTTCCTACTGTTACTAGAAAACTAGGCCATCAAAGCAATGTTGTTAAGTAACTCGTGAAAGCAATTTACAAACTCCCAAACCTTTGATAAACGAAAAACTATTCACAAACTCATTTAGTGACAATTTGGTTCAACAGTAAAGGAATCTTTAATCCCCATAATCAAGTCAATAGTCATCGTTCACTAACTCTGTCATTGCCATAGTGTGGTCCAATACACTTTTTTCTTTAGTTTATAGGGGAACAGTTCCTAGTGTGGCACATTTCAGCACTTTCATGTGTAACACCACTAACCAAAGCTTTTCCTTGTATTAATATTAGCCATTAATTAATATAAATTGGTGTAGGATATTAGTGAGTGGCCTGTGATAGAACCACTCCCATCGTACGGTAGAGGAAGAGATGCTGCAGCAGGAAGGTACACCAGCCTCATATTTGGAACAAACCTCACTGATGTTATTGTCACAGGTATGCAAAAAGTTGCATGAATGAAACAATTATCAAACTAGTAGTTAAGGGTTGGTGAAACTTTTCAGCAAACATGTGCTAGGCATCTAAACTTTGAATTCCAAGTTGCCAAAATTTACTTGCTCTGATTCAATGCATTCCCATGAGGCCTTTTTTTTTCATTAAATTTATGTTTTTGATCATTTTAGATTAGTTAATTATTCAATTTAATATCTGTACTCAATGTATCTCTCAAGAGCTTCTTTGACTATACATATAGTTCTTTTCAGAGCAGGCTGGTTAATCATTAGTGACTAATGATCATACTACACCCCTTTTCTTTCACATGTGATGATTTCTTAAATGGCAACAGAAAATAATATCAATTTCATTTCATTGAAAAATTTAGTTTAAGTTTGATGTTACATTAAAGTTCATGTTACTTTGGGGGTGATAGGTGACAATGGCACCATAGATGGCCAGGGAGCATTTTGGTGGCAGAAATTTCACAAGAAAAAGTTGAAGTACACTCGCCCCTACTTGATTGAATTAATGTTCTCCGACAACATTCAAATTTCGAATTTGACCCTCCTAAATTCTCCATCATGGAATGTTCATCCTGTTTATAGTAGGTAATTTTTCTCGTAAGGTCTTTTTCTAGTTATTCAAGTTGTAAATGCATTCAAAGATTACTCTACAGAAGCACTATTACACCTCTGAAATGTTCCAATTTAAAGATTATAACAACTTTTTTTCCAACACCATACAGCAATATTATTATTAAAGGCCTCACCATTATCGCTCCTGTCCCATCTCCAAACACTGACGGCATCAACCCAGGTGAGTAGATTATTTCTGACATATATATATATATATATATATATATATATATATATATATATATATATATATATATATATATATATGTCAATGTATGTTGAGTGGAGAGTGCCAAAGTACAATAGTTAAAGGAATTCATGTTAATCATTTAATTTTACGTAAATGTTAATATTAATTTAAATATTTATAAGATATTGTAAACAAATTAAAATATATAAATAAAAACAAATTGAGAAGAACATTAATAACAAATATTTGAAGAAGTAAAAGTTTTAAACTTGCGGAGAAAATTATGAGCAACATGGGACGACCAAACTTTGAAATTTGCATCATTTATACAGAAACGTCACTTCTATTGATATGGTATGTCAAAATTTAAAAATTAAAATAATTTTTTTAGATTGAAATAATCGGAAAATTTGTTAAATTTAATATATTGGATGAAGATTTAAAATTTATATTAGATAAATATTTTAAAGCAAAATTAATTTGATTTAGAAGAAAACGAACAAATTTTAAAAATATTTTCAGTTTAGAGTAAGGGTTCAATAGTACTACTTTTGTCCTTTCTAGGAAAATTTTAAGAAATTTGTCTTCATCCATTTTTTGAGTCTTCTTTCAAATTGTTTAGTTCACTAATTGCTTTTTTAACATTAATTAATCAGAAAGAAACTAAAAAAAAAATCAAATTGTAATAAGTTTAAGAGAAATTCTAAAAATATGCTATTTTAGGACAGTCCAGGGTTGGACAGTGAGGGGATTTATATATTCATCTTTCCTTGTTTTTGGCGATAGATTCTTGCACAAATACCAGAATTGAAGACTGCTACATAGTTTCTGGGGATGACTGTGTAGCAGTGAAAAGTGGGTGGGATGAGTATGGCATAAAGTTTGGATGGCCCACAAAACAACTAGTGATCAGACGGCTGACATGCATTTCCCCAGAAAGTGCAGCCATTGCCTTGGGAAGTGAGATGTCAGGTGGAATCCAGGATGTCAGAGCTGAGGACATCACAGCCATCCATACAGAATCTGGGGTCAGAATCAAGACTGCAGTAGGGAGAGGAGGGTATGTGAAGGACATATATGTCAAGGGAATGACCTTGCACACCATGAAATGGGTGTTTTGGATGACTGGTAACTATGGTTCCCATGCTGATAGCCATTATGATCCTAATGCCTTGCCTGAACTACAGAGATGTGGTGGCTGACAATGTGACCATGGCTGCTAGGTTGGAAGGAATCTCCAATGACCCTTTTACTGGAATCTGCATTTCCAATGTGACCATTAAGATGGCAGCCAAGGCCAAAAAACAGCCATGGACATGTACTGACATTGAAGGGATCACAAGTGGGGTGACTCCTAAGCCATGCAATTCTTTAACTGATCAAGGGAAGGAGAACATCAAAGCATGTGATTTCCCCACAGAGAATCTACCAATTGATTCGCTGAAGCTTAAGAAGTGTACTTACGGAATTAAACATGAATGATTACACTTGTGTTACAATGTGTCATATCGTTATTTAAAGGCTAGTCTTTCCCATCTTATCCACAATCCAGAAATCGTTGCTCAAGATGAACAATGAATTTTCTGTCAAATTATTGTAACGAAACAATTTTCTTTTTGCTATAAGTTTATGAAATGGGTTTAAGCTTCTTGGATAAATATTATGTTGTTACAATAATCAATTTTTGGTAGTTTAGTTTTGTAAAAAGCATCACAACACACGTCTGAATCAGGAAAAAAAATTAAAATTATTTTGAATACTAACAAACCATTACATTTTATGTGTCATACAATGAGAATAGTGGATAATGTCTGTCCCCACAAATGAAAAGTTGTGTATTTTTCTTGGTGTGAAGGAGAGAAAAACTGGCAAGAACAGTTCAGTGCATGGTCCTCGAGTCTAAAATGAAGGATAGAAGTACAACCAACAAGGATATTCAACAACATCCAGGATATTCTGCTGAAAATTGAGTAAAGCTGCACATCTTCTGATCCTTTCGTCAGTAGATCTCAACAATATGATTATCCAAGAATCTTAGATGAGACTGAAATGAAAGAAACCTCACAACAAGCTCAGTGAATCACAGTATGTGCAATATGTTTCATATTCTGTGGTGCTCTGCAACTTGCCAAAGTAGTGTCATAACGTATATTAGTTATCAGGTATTTCACTAAGCATATACAACATAAATACAAAAAAAAACTCAGTAGACTGGTGGAAGAGGATTGAACTTCACAGATTCTCTCCAGATGAGTTCCTTGATATCTTCTTCAGTGAATGACGGTTGCTCAAAGTCAAAACTGAAAGGTCTAGTGCAAACAGGTTCCTCATTGATGTCATGGAGAGGTGCCATGTATGGATGGCTCAATGCCTCATCAACTGAAAAGAATCAAGAAATGTGATACAATTAATAAAATATAGGCAAAAGAAAATCTCATTATTTATAGAGTTTAATGTATAAACACTCTCACTGTAAAGTATTTATACAAAGACATCTAATAACAAATCACTCTATTATTGCCACATCATCATTTCTGGTATGCATATTGTTAAGAAACATGAGAAAAACATAGAGTTTAATAAATTTACTAAACTAGTAGCCTTTACACTAATGTTATGAGAAGAACCTTGGGAGAACCACACCGCAAAAGCTAATTAAGGTCTTTATAAACCTTGGGCTTCAAATTTGGGACTTAAGTCTCATACCTTCCTAACATGTTTTACACACATGACCAAATGGTAACAGGTTCAAGGTAACCATACAAATTTTAATAAAAAATGAGTATAGGACACTTAAACCAAAACAAACTTGTCATTGAACTGGTTGTTTTAAACAAAGAAATCATTCTAGGCCAGCAAACACTACACAGACTTACAATACAAGGGGGCCCTTCAAAACAAAATTGGAAAAAATTATAACAGATTTTAACTATTTTTCCGTTTTTTTCTTGTGGTATATTTGGTGATGAAGTTGTCAGTTGGCATAACTTGGTCTTTCACATCTGTACCCATATGATTCCAATTCATATACTGCTTCAGGAGCAATAAGTCATAGCAATTCAATAAAACTGGGGAAAATGTTTTACATGCTGATTACCTGTAATACGCCTGTTAGGATCAAAGATAAGCATCTTCTCTAGCAAATCAACCGCCCCAGGAGACATGTTGGGAAATCTAGCGGAAAAGTTTTGCTTTGGATATTGGGGAAGCTGTCTTACATATCTACGAGCATTATCACTTCGTAGAAATCCAAGGCTAGCATCATCGGGTGAACCTATCAGCTTTTTGAAAGAATGGAAAGGTGTTAATTTTAAATAAGCAAGAAATAAATAAAAAAAAGCATCAAAGAATGAAAATTTACATTCTACCAGGAAACTGTAAATCTGAATCTATTGATTGCAAATGTGAGTGGGTAGAAAGGTAGAACAGAATGGGTGAATGACTATATAAGCAATCTTAATTTAATCAAATTTCATCTGACATATATGGTTTCCTTTTCCCCAAAGACAAAATGAAAGCAAGGGGACAAAAGTAGTCATAGAGAGTATAATTATTTGATGTTTTTCAATAAATAACTATATTATATGGCCTAGAAAAACTACTATAAAGGCAACACAAATACCATGTCCGATAAATACTAAGCACTACAACATTTCAGAACTTCAAAACTGGTATACAATTTCATAATTTTCCATTTAGATAAGGTAATACAAGTTCTAAAATCCAGAAGACATAAGCATAAAAATCTAAAATCTTACTAATTTGATTCGTCCTTTTTGTCTTGCGCATAAGTGGCAAGACCTGAACCCAGACACCATTAAAATATTCAACCCTTCAAAAACTTAGGTGTGTTTTCCTTGAATTTTCCCCAAAACCTACCATACTCCAAAATCCAAATCCTTAACTCCCACACATTTTTAACAGCACTTATTGTCCTTTAATCATAATCCTAACCACACAATAATTCAAACTCTTCTATATCTCTTACTCTAGTAATCTCCTAATATCTAGAGTTCCATTAAAATTTAAGTGTCTCCCTTAAGGAAGGAAACATCATCATCATTTACATTTCCCCTTTTATTAAGAAAGAATTCCTGTCTCTTCCAGTGACAAGATTACAAAAAGGTCAATACTGATGGACATAAACCAAAAGCTTAAAATAATCAAAGTACTGACAGCATTTCAGCAAAAAACTTGATACCCAAATTCACAATTGCATAAAGCTTGAGAAGTTGGAACTCTAATTTACAAGTGGATCCAACTTTTAGATCTATAAGAGAGAAAAGAAATACAAATAAATACGAACATAATCAGTCTCAATAGATTTATGCTAGCAATTCAGGAATGTGATATCAAGCTAATACCTCTGTGACCAGTCTCAGCTGATGAACATAATCTTTGCCAGGAAAGAGTGGTTGTCTTGTTATAATTTCACCGAGTATACAACCAACAGACCATATATCAATGGCTGCAGTATATTCTGAACAATTAAGAAGCAATTCGGGAGCTCGATACCATCGAGTGACAACATACTCAGTCATAAAATCAGTTTCAGATGTAGTTCTAGCAAGACCGAAGTCTGCAATCTTAAGGTCACAATTGGCATTCAATAGCAAATTGCTAGGCTTTAGATCGCGGTGCAAAACATTTGCTGAATGTACATATTTGAGCCCACGAAGCAATTGATACAGAAAATACTGGGGCAAAAAGAAAGATAGTATAAGTTACTGTAAGAAAATATAAAGGCTATTCTTCAGTGCCTGAAGCCTTAAAGACCACACTAAGTCCAAGCAGTGTAATAGATGATGTTGACCCCACAAGTGAGATAAGAGACCAACACCACCCCTAGTACACAGAATGAGCTTCATTCAGTCTTCCAAGGTTCCAGGCTCTTCAGGATGTTCATAAGTATAATTACATTTTACCTATTGTATTTGATACATAAAACCAAGAATGCCACTCACCCATTTAATTCAAAACAAGAAGATTAAAATTACTAAGTAAATTCTGAGAAAATTCAGCGTATCAATGTAAATTTTAAAGCTAATTCGTATTAAAAAAATTTCACTGGTCTTTTGAAGAGGAAGTGAACAACATCATACATATTCAGCTCAGATACTGATGAAAAGAGAAAGCATAGTCTTTCTAATGATTGAGTTCATTAACAACAATGTAGTGACAGCAAAGAATACCTCAGATAAAAATTAATAATAGGTCTATACTTTAGATAGTGGCATCCATATAATGTTTATATGCAAAGGAAAACAGAATAACCAGGTAAGGAATTATTCATGCAAAATGTAATTGTTCAAATCCTGTCCATAAGAAGATATGTATCATTGTAAGGGCACAAATTCATATATTTAGTGTCATGGAAATTCATTAGTTGGCTCAAGTTTAGAGCATACTGAAAGAAATTTATTTACACCATTTACAAGATATGGGAAGTAAAACTTTGCAGAAAGTAAAATCAATGCCACTACATTATTGTAGTTGTCACGGTGTTGAACATTGAACTGAAAACAAAAAACTAATTTTGTTTGATAGGAAAATCTAAAATTCAGGCCTATCAGACTAAGACGGTACCACATGACACATGTGTGATATTGCATACTTGACACCACAAAGATTTATGTTCATAATAATTATTATCTACTTAAGCACTTTATTTTGGGCTTTATCGCCAGTTTGTGCAACTATACAACCAAAGGATAGTAAATTAATAAAGCTGATTGCTATAAAGTCTTTCAACTGCATATATTAAAAGTCATATGCTAAAAGCAATTAAAGTGCTAACCCGACAATGATCATCAGTCAGTGGTTGATTGGACCGTATTATTTGATGGAGATCCGTGTCCATTAACTCAGAAACAATGTACACATCATTGAAGTTTTCCTTCTGTGGAGGTCGTATAATATCTCTAATGGACATGATCTGAATTGAAGAAATAATTGATAAGTAGTAATCTTTGCAGGTTGAATGCTAATGAACATTTTAGAGCCAAAATCCAATGAGGAAAATCCAATTAAACACCTCAAAGACAAGTATAGCTTGGTAACTATACAAGTATTTTCTACAACTAAGATCAAAAGATTTTTCCATAGGCTGACTAATAAATGAAACCCTTCATACTAAAGCTAATCGGAATCTGCATTTAAGCATACAAAAAAACCTTTGAATAAAATTCGAGCAATTATGTCAAGAAAGTCCAACTCAAAAGTATGCTTATGATATATATTTATTTAATTTAAAACATATTTGAATATGCTAAATTGAGACTGTAATAGATAGATATATAGCATTAAATAGGTTGCTTAGTTTGTTAAATCTCAAGCCAACAGAGCACAAATCTACACAAAGTGTAAATATCATGTATACGAAAAAACCATAGTGGTGCATCACATTAGAGGATGATGCACTATGTCACTTGTTCTTGTTCAATATGCAAAATTAAACGTTACTTTTTAGAGAAGCAACAGAAAACGGAGGAAGAAACAAAGAATAAACTGAAGAAAGAAACCAATAATAATAGGCCAAATAAAATTCACAAGCCTCACACGGAAGAAAATAATTTAAATAAGCAATAACATTTCAGAAAACAAGCTGTAGATGAGAGCAAGTAAAAAAGCATAAAAAATTACGTTTGCATGATCCATGTGCCGAAGAAGTTTAATTTCTCGTAAGGTCCTTTTGGCATCTATTCTGTTGTCAAATGCATTGCCAACCTTCTTAATGGCAACTTCCTCGCCAGTCTCTGCATTTACAGCAGCACTGAAAGAAACAAAAAGTTGTTAGTGTTCCACATCTTTGATAACAGAAAATCTATGACATATGGACGACAAAGTGAACTCCCTAGTCAGACCCCAAATCTAATACACCATCCAGAACATATACATTGTACTCCATGTAATTGAGTCTTACAATATCAAGAACTATGCTATTAACAGCATCAATATTTCATGAGCACCCAGAAATAAAAAAAGAATGATCCCATCTCATTTTCCACTTTGACTCAAGCAGAATGAGAGTTCAATACAACTAAAGAAACAAAATTGGCAGAGATATGAAAGTCTACGGCACTTGGCCAACATTTTAAAATCTACGAAAACAGTGTCTGGGAAGAGGAACACATGACACAGCTCATGAATCCCATCAAGAAATGGCAACTTGGTAAAAATCAATTAAGAAAAATGCAACAATTTGAGCTCAAAATCTGTCTCCCTCACCATCAAACTAAAATAACCAATCCAATCTTCATTCACTCAACAACCAGGCCAAACGTAATAAAAGAATGACAATTTTTTTTAGCAAAAAAGGTTAATTACTTAATTATTAACGAAAGGGGCTTAAATCAGTAACAAAAACTAGTCCTTGCTCCTAAAGTCAGCTAATCCTAGACCAGAAGATGAAAGTACAACAACATAGCTCAAAGGCAGGATACCCCTTTACACAAAAGGCAACAAACAACAAAACAAATGTAACAATTCAGCACATACACACACACACACAAAAAAAAAAAACTCCCAAAAGAGGAAAAAAAAAAGGACTTTTTTACTTACCAAACAATACCATAAGCACCTCTACCCACAGGGCGAATAGGAGGAACATACTTTCTGGAAACTTCGAAGAGGTTGCCATATATATTGTACTGAATGTAGCGTCCACCATGAGTTGGAACCCCTTTGATGTTGTTGTGTTCACCGGACTCAACAGTCGACATGTCTTGTGTCTATGACCTGTTCTCAACGCAATTCAGTTCCACAACTAAGATGGAGAAGGAGGAAAGACCCAATATAAATAGAGTGATTCAGAGTGGAAATAGGAGCTAACTTTGAGGCACTTGGGTTTGAAGACATAGAAAGAGAAAGAAAGGTATGAGTATGAGGCTTTTGTAGCGGACACGCATGTGTGAACCCGTGATCTTATTGACTTTTCTTTTCACTTCTTTTTCATCAACGTTGGTGTGCTGTCTGTGATTTTCCTCTTCCAATCCTTTCTTCGCCATTTTTTTATTATTCATTACCCTTTTTGGTTAACTTCATCCTCCTTCGTGGAAAATGATAATATTTTTATTTCCATATTTAATTATATATCTATTCATACATCTAAAATTTATTCATTTTAATTCTCATAAAAGTGATTCATTCTAACTTCTACACATATTTTTTAATCTATTTTAATTTACATCGTAACTTTACAAATAATAAATCAAATAAAAAAGTGTATACATAAAAATTAAAATGAATTATTTCTTAAGGTATGACCAAAATATAAAATTGTATAAATATAGAAATTAAATAAATAATTGAATTTTATATATTATTTTTACGCGGCAAAGAACTACAGAATATTTATTTGTTGAATGGAAAGCTCCAACTTTGCAACTAGTTTATGCAATTGCAATGAAAGTACGAGATTTTTTATTATTATTATTATTTTCAAACACATGATATGGAATTGAATAGAGAAATTAAAAAAAAAAAAAGGAAGACAGGAAGTTAAACATTAAACAATGTCTATGGGTAAAGAAGAAAACCATTATTTTTTATTTGTAGCAGTATATAATCATCTTGACATATAATACCAAGTATTTAATTTATTTTTTCTTCTAATTCTGCTAAGTGTTTAAAAAACATTTACGCCAAATGATTTTGTTTTACTTCAACAACATTATAACATCAATTTAATGAAAGACATGTTTGTTTTTTTAATAAAAAATTCAATAGAAAAACTCATATTTTAAGTTCACTTCATATTTGTAAACTTTTTATCTTTTGACTGTAATTAGAAGTATTTGAATTTTGGGATATATATTTTTAAATTATCAATTCAATCTTTTAAATATTGAAAATTTGTAATTTTAATTATTTGTTATGCCTAAATTTAATATTTAATTATGATTTTTCACTTTAACCAAACAGAATTGATAAAGGATTAAATATGATCTTAATTATTTTTTATTATATAACCTTCTGCCGTATTAAAGGAAAAAGCGCGTAAAAAATAATGTAGAAGAAACGTTATTCTATTTTGCAAACACATCGTTTTATTTACCATATTTTCATATACTGCTAACGTGATTTGCACTCATCAAAGTCAAGTCAATGAAGTTTCAGCTTTGCGATATAAAACGAAGAAGTCCAAGTCTTCGTCAGCGCGCTACATGTCAGGAATTGGTTTACTCTTTAATTTGAACACCCAAACTTACAAGATTAAGCAAAACAGTGTCATCAGAAATGAATTCTCTGCAGTAACAAAGTGCAAATTATCTGGAAATTTTGCAGTCAATGTTCATTTTTAATCAAAATCTGCGTTTTGCCATGCAAATTAGTCAGTTTTTTTTTTTTTTTGGTCTTTAGTCAGTCTTGGTTTCTTCTTAGACTTTTGCTTTCAGTCCTTGTTTCCATCCCTGGCCCAAAGTATGGCCATTGAATTTGCAAAGATAGAAACTTCCCAGTGGTCCAAAAATGAATAGAGACAAAATCCATAAGACATGCCTCGGAAACATAGGCTGTCCTCATATTAATGTCATGTTCATCTGAAAACTCTGATACTCTGATGCTTTTATCCAATTGACATTGTCATTCACTCCATGATTATAATTGTCCAGAATCTTATAGATAAAATCTCAATAATATGCTAACATCAATAAGAACCATAAAGAAATTATCATACTATAAATTATGGGACAATCCCTTTTAATATCTGAGTTGCACTCAAAACAATTTTTGACTTTAACAGTTGAAAATATCAGTTTCGGTTACTTTAGTCCATATGTTTTTTCATTATGAAAATATGCAATGTGAAGAGTTTACAAGTTATAGTAACACACAAATAGCATCTGAATAATTTTCCAAAAACGAGTGAAGATAGTAAAATCTATTATTGGTGGCAATTATTAATTCACGAATCAAGACGAGTCAACCAAAAACAGATCTTCTGAATAACTTAGACAGGGGTTAATGATAAGAGGTGATTGAATAGCGAGGTAGATTGACTTGTCATAGGCTAAAGCAATTTGACAGGTCAATCGACATGTCAATATAACACAAGGTAATAAATAAGCTTCATCTGTTTCCATCCATAATAAAGTAATGAAAGCTTGATATACAAAACAGATAAGGTTCCATTAATCAGTGAAGCAAGAATCAGAATTTCACATGACGACATATCAGTTTTCTAAAAAATCTTGCATTTATTGAACATATAGCTTGCAAACAAAATAATTCAGATTAAGATAAATTCTCAAAACCGAAATCATCAAAGCCGCATTCATTAAAGGCTCAACACATCCACTTTCATCTGCATGATATTTTGAACAAAATAACCCAGACTATGATTAATTCCCAAAACCGAATCATCAAACTCCCATGCATAATAGGCTCAACACATCCAATTCCATCAGCAATTCGAACAAAATAATTCAGACTACGATAAATTCCCTACACCGAATCATCAAACTCGCATTCATAAAAGGCTCAACACATCCAATTCCATCTGCAAGCTACTTTGTACAAAATAATTCAGACTACGATAAATTCTCTACACCGAATCATCAAACTCGCATTCATAAAATGCTCAACACATTCAATCCATCTGCATGATATATTAAAAGTGTGTTTCCTTGGAATAGTAAGAATTGATTTCGACTGCAGACTTGATTTCATAAAAATATGGTTTTGATTATTGCTAGGTAAAATTGGTTTGCTTCAAAAGCTTGATTTGACTAGAAGTGATAAATAGCAGCTTCTCCACCGGATTGAAAAACTTACCAAGATTTATAGCAAACTTGCTTTCAGAATAAAAACATCTAAACATAAATCACTTCACTTGAAAATCAACTTTAACCAAAGTCATTTTTACAAAATCTATTTTACAAACGTGAGAAAACATATATACTAATTTAAAGTTGAAGTAGGGAATAGAATTATAAGCTACAAACAGTTCCTGCAATTTTCGAAAACTTCTGCAAGAGACCACTAAATTTAGAATCCAAGCATCACTTAACAGTGTGCCATAAACCCACAAAGCAATCACCCAATTTGAGATACGTAAACACAACAATGCACACATAAAAAATAATGCTTAACTGTTTAAATGTAAATCAGCATACACTCAATCAGGCTTCTACTTGCATAACCCATCAGATGATCATCAACCCAAATTCACAGATTAAAATAAGCGAAAGAGGAAACATAAATTTAAGTTTATTGCAACATCAGAAAAATACCACATTGTTCACCCAGTAACAAAAAATAATTTCCCCGATAATCATTAAAACTTTTACATTTAATCATATGTACAATTTGGGTCATGTTTGTCACAACCAAGAATTACAATGTAACAATATTACCTCATACCAACCCTTCATGGATGTGAATGCTGAGTCCATAAATTCAATCTGATGTATATGAGCTGACCAGAAGGACAAAAACAATAAAAACAAATAAGATGGCTTGAATCAGAGTGAGTTTAATTCGTGTGGGTTTGAATCAGAGATGAAGAGACATGATTCCTACTTCACAGAGATGATTTGGGGCTAGCGTTTGAAAATTCTGAAGTAATGAGTTTATATGGAGTTTGCATAAAAAATGAAGAGACAAGGCTATGATTTGATGGCATGGTTCAAATAACAGTGAGTTCAGAATCTTCAAAAACACATGTAATTTGGTATTCAAGTACTTCTAAATTTGCAGCAGCTCAACAAATTACTTAACTTAGTTTGTGTAGCCGAACTGTTTTGAAAAAGTGGTTTGGTGATTAAATTGCTTTTCGTTTTGATTATTTGTGGTTTTTTCGGTGTGGTTGACAGTTTGGTTTGGTTCACAAGTGGTTTCTGCGTACCACTAGCTGGTAAGATATATAAATAAAGTTATTACAAACTTGCAATCATATGGATTGATAAATTACTATAGCATACAGAAGGATACAGCTATAACATAACAGGAAACGTTGAAAAATAGAAGATGGGAGTGTAAGTCTATTTTACTGAGTATATGATAAAACCCAACCGATACAAAGCTTATTGACTAGATATCAGAGGCAAAGTTTGTTCAATGGATTTTATTACAAAATTTTGATACCAAAACTCTAGCATACTGCCATCACCATATAATTTATCAAGCCCAAATACATACAGTTAAGGAACAATGGGAGCAGGAACAATTTGCAATTTTCTGCGAACATCTTCCAAGTCTTCATGAAAATGCCGCTCATAATACACACACATAAGATCAGTGCATTGCATGCCAGCACGAATAGCCCAGGGGAAGTAATGCTGATAAAACAATTTCCTCTGCTTTTCGCTAAATCTAGCAGTGCCCCCTACAACAGACAGCAGGCACATAGGAAGGCCCATCTGCTCAAACTCAATAACCTTCAAAGCTGTCTCCCCAATCAAGTTAGTAGGAAGGTCAAAAAGGGTATGCCAGAAGTCATGCACTTCACGAGCTCGCATTGTTACATAGGCCAGTTCATCTGTATCCATGAACCGCACAGGAGGTCGGTCATCTGGTGAAAAGTTCCTAGATCCCATAAACCTAGCATAGGCAGCACCGAATGTGTTTGCAGGCAGGTCCCAAGCATGTCCGACTTTTGCAGAAAGAACACGAGGGCGCTCCAATAGCACAGCCTATCATCAGAATTATAAAAAGAAAATGATTGCTTGTTGCACATTTAGTGATAACAATAACAGTGACTGTTTAGTGATAAGTTATAACTAGTTAAAATCACTTCCATCAATTAGTAAGACCAAGGGCGAACCATCACCTGGTCCTAAACTCTTTATTTTCCCCAGAATAAATAAACTATTTGCTATAACATGCCATAGAGCATCCAATATAAGGTGAATCTAAATAAATCAAAATCCAAAACAACATGGGCAAGGAGAATATCCACATTAACTAAAACATATAAGAGTAGAATTAAATAAACTAGCTCACCCGCCCTTCAGGGGAACTCTTCATCCTCTGAAGAACTTTCTCAAAAGCAGGCTTTCCAGTTGTCTCACCAAGAGCTGCTATCAAATCTGCTCTTCGAGGGTCCAACAATGCCCCCACTGCCGAACCCATTGCCACAGCAGCCTGCTGCCATCCCTTCAACCGGATTCTACCACCTTCTATCATTGCAGATACTAACTATAACTACCCTTGCCAATCTGATTCAATACATCATTATCTGCCAGAAAGAAAACCAATTTCATCAATTTTGATTCAACTAAAGCTGATAAGAAGAGAGCAAATCAAGGGGAGGGAAAGTAGTAAAATGTGAGTGTTCTTGAAGGAATTAAGCCCTAGTTGTAAAGGAAATCAAGGGGAAGTGAAACCAAGAAAATACGAGTGTAATAGAAGATCATGAAGGCCTCACTGAGAGTCACTGCTTCAACGAAAAAGTACTTCTGCAAACCTTAATACAATAGGTTTTTGGTCTTGCCGAAAGATAAACATTAAAATTAAAGTTGACAAGAACAATAAATATGATGGACCAAAACTTTAGTATGGAATTAATTATCGGAACCTTGGAAACCATAAACATCAAACATCAAATTATCAACCAGGCAAAGCCTATAAATCGAGTAACCGAAAAAAAATTGTCAGAATGGGTAAAGCTTACGAACACTTTCAGCGCAACAAACCAAAGACAGTAATCGATTATCAGATTAATTGGCAAAAGGGCACACAAAAAGGACGAAAAAGAAAATTAAAAACACAAATTATGGAGAGAGAAATAGTCAGAAGCAAAGAGCGAAGGTGTTATTACCTTAGCGAAGAATCGCCAACAGTAGAGGGAAAAAGTTTGGAAACTGAAGAAAACTGTGTCTGGCTTGATTTTAGCTCAAGGGAAGACACGTGAGATTATATTAAACTAAATAATTAATTTAATCCTTACATATAAGCTTACATTTTTTAAATTATAAAATATTACATAAAATATAGTTGTATTTTTTTCTTTTAAACATTTTTGTAATATCATATTTAATATTTGGATTAATTAAATTTTGTTTTGGTTTTAAAACAAATAATATTTAGTTATTTGTTGTTATATTTAAATAGTAATGACAATATTATAATGTCATCATTTCAGTAAAATTATCAACTCGGTGATAATAATAATAATATTATTAAAAGAGTCACATTAATATGTGTATTAAAATATACGAGTTAATATAAAAATGTATTTTATTTTATTATTAAATTTTTTTAATAGAAAACATTATATTTGTCTCCTTTAAAATAATGTCAAATCACTGATATTTTCTTTAATTTTAAAATAATCATTCATATTCCTTAAATTTTTAATAAAATAAACAATAACCACATCCTCTGCTTCTTAAAGATGTTCACTATCTTATATTCAAGATAAAATTTATTTTCCTTTATGTGTTTTAATTAATTGATATCTAGTTTTCTTAACTCATTTAAAAATTAATTAACAAAAAATTATGAAATTAAAAATTAAAGTTTTAAATTATAAAATCTAAATGCTTTAATTATAAAAAATTGCATTCTCCAGTTTTGAATTTATTTTAAGTGACATTAATATTTTTTACAGTTTTAAAATAGAAATTTACACTTTTTATGTTATTAATAAAATAATACTTATACTCCTATTTAATTTATATTTATATTTTTTACAGGATAATTTTTTTATTAAAATCATAATGTTAATATTATTTAGCATACGTTAATAAAGAATGAGTACAATTTTTTAAAATTTAATTTTCTTATTTACAGTTAAATTTTAAATGACCTTTTACTTACCTTGAAGTTAAATGAGGTATGTTTTTTTTTTTAATAATAATGGGGTTGGGTAACCACGTTCAGGAAAAAAAAATTGAATAAACCAGTTAAATTTTGAAAATTTTAATTTTTATTGAAAATTTTCAAAATTGTTCTATTAAATGTTTGTATATATATGTGATTAAAAATTTATTTGATTATACAAGTAAAATAATATTATATATTTTATTAAAAAATAAAAATAAATTGTCTGAATATATATATATATATATATATATATATATATATATATATATATATATATATAAAAGACTGAAAAATTATGATAAGTTTACACATTCGATTAAATTATTTATTACATTTGATGAAATTAGCTATTAAAATTGTACTTGATTGTTGAATTAATACACCTATTAAATTAAGTAAGGAGAAAGTAGTAGAGGGAAAAATATTAATAGAAAATATAAAATATTAATCTTGAAAAGTTTTCACAATTTGATGACTTATTTAGTTGACATTAACAAATGAGTAATTATATCCACCAATAAGAAACACTAAAGCATTGAGTACACATAACCTCATAATTGTATATTCCTTATAGATGTAATAGACCAACAAATACTCAATATCCTTGTAAATGTAGAACAACAAAGACTCGATAATATCATAGTTAGGTTACTGCATAATTAATTACGTCAAACCTTATTGATGCAAACAGAGTTTTGTGACAAGTTATCATGGCATCAAAAAAATCCTTCACTCCTTTAATAAGAAGATCTATTTCTTGTGAGAGTTTCTTTGTAGTTGCACTTAATTCCTCCCGTGTTTCACAAGTGATTCCGTTTCAATTGTCTACATAGTTGATTCTTTCCCAAATGTCTTAACAAAAGTATCAACTTCCTTCAACTCATTCAATATGGTAAATTTACCTCTTGAAAATTTAACTTTAATTTCCTCATTTACAACAATATGCAAACTTGTAAAGTTTGATGCCCATGAATGTATGTTAGTCAGAATCAAATATGATAACTTCTTTAAAGAGTAAGTGAGTCGTGCAACAAACACCTTACAAATAATTATAGTCTCCAACTTAACTTGGTTAGAAAACTAATAATTATGATCCTGATTTTGATTCTAACAATAAAAATAAACATTATCTCATACTCATAAACATATTGTAGACTGAATGCGAAAGCGTACCTGAATTAGCCATAATGATGATGTCCCTTTTAGAGCACTATTGATCTTATGGTCTTTCACCTGAAGAACACTTTTATTTTTCCTCTGAATTTTCTCTTTTAATAGGGATAGAAAGAAAGGAATGGAAACTAAGACTTATGTTTTGTGTGTGTGCTCTCAAATGGGGATCATGACCCTTTAAATAATCAGAATTAAGTTAATTACTTAAATTTTAGTATTTCTAATTTGACCTCTCATCAAATTAGGAATTATTCTATGGTCTCTACACAATTTTATTTTCATGACATATGTCTTTAGCAAAAATTTTAATTTAGTCAGATCACTTTATTATTTTGCTTAATAAATAATAGCACTAACACATTTAAATTATGTATCATATATATACATGACCCAAAATTTGCCAACAATCTCCCATTGGTCACAAATATATATGTCTTTACAACCTTACAAATTTGTTAGACTTTATGAGCTCAAAATTATCATTATATTCCTTTAGTATACTTCAAAAGTCTCGTCAATTGATCATATTAGGATATTGAACCAAACCAGTTTTTCATTGCATCATCGAAACTAAAACCAACAATGACTACTAATCCTGACATAACCAAATGACATGGATTCATCATGAAATGTGTAGCATGAAAAATTACGTGAAGGTGATCTATACACGTCTATTTTCAACTGGTCCAAACTTTAACTTATCGAGATCGATATAATAACCTTAATGTACAAAGTGTAATGAATGAACAAAAAATCGTATATCTATAGATAACCAAATATGTCCAAAAAATCAATGTACACATACATGAAATTAAACATAGAACATAAAATATATGAAAATGACTAACTCCCACTAAACCATAAATTCCTCAAACTGTAAAACACCCATGTGAGCAACATGTTCATGAAAGACCTTAGGCGGAAGTCCTTTAGTTAGATGATCTGCTATCATGGAGGTTGTCCCTAATTGTTCTATGGAAATTTGTTCACTCTGTACTCTTTTCTTAACAACTAGGAAATTAATGTCGATGTGCTTTGACTTAGTCGAGCTCCTATTATTGTTGGAATGCAATACAACTGATTTGTTGTCACAATATAACTTAAGTGGTCTTTCAATGTCTTTTACAATTTGCAGCCCTCTGACAAAATTTATCAGCCATATTCCATGATTTAATGCCTCATAGCATGCTACAAATTTTGCTATCATAGTGGATGAGGCTATAAGGGTTTGCTTGACACTGCGCCAAGAAACTACACCACCTGCCAACATGAAAATGTAACCTGAAGTGAATTTCAAACTATCTTGACATCCTGCAAAGTCTGAGTTAGAAAACCCGGCGATCTCCAACTGGTCTGACCTCTTATATGTTAGCATATAATCTTTTGTTCTCTTTAAATATCTCATGACCCTTTTTGCTGCTTTCCAATGGTTCATTCCCAGATTGTTTAAATATTTGCCTAGAACTCCAACTATGTATACTATGTCTGGACGCGTACATACTTGGGCATACATCAAACTCCCTACAGCTGATGCATAAAGAATCTTCTACATTTTCTCAATTTCTAAATTCCCCTTTGGACACTGATTGAGATTAAATTTTTCTCCCTTAGCAACTGGAATATTTTCGGATTTACATTCATGCATGTCAAACCTTTTAAGAATTTTTTAGATATAACTTCTTTGCGATAATCCTAAAATACCCCAAGATCGATCTCGATATATCTGAATTCCTAATACAAAAGAGGCATCACCAAGATCTTTCATTTCGAAATTCTTTAATAAAAATTTCTTGGTTTGGTGCAATATGTCTATATCATTAGTAACAAGTAGAATATCATTAACATAGAAGATTAGGAAAATATACTTACTCCCCTTAAACTTGTGATACACACAATCATCAACAATATTCATCTCGAAGCCAAATGAGAGAATTACTTGATGAAATTTGTAGTACCATTGACGAGATACTTATTTTAGTCCATAAATGGATTTTGTCAGTTTGCAAACCATATTCTTTGGATCTCCCTACACAAAATTTTCTGGTTGTACCATATAAATTGTCTCATCAATGTTGTCATTGAGAAACGTTATCTTGACATCCATTTGATGAAGCTCCAAATCATAATATGTTACAAGAGTCATGATTGTCCTAAAAGAGTCTTTCGATGAAACTGGAGAGAAAGTCTCTTTAAAGTCAATCTTTTCCTTTTGAGTATAACCTTTAGCTACCAGACGAGCCTTATACCTTTTCACATTATCCCGTTTGGTCTTAAATATACACTTGCAACCAATGGGTTTCACACTACAAGAAAATCGCATATTTTCGACGAATTTTTACCGACGGATTTGTAACCGTCAGAAAATGAGTCATTACCGACGGAAATTACCGACGGATATAAAGCATTTGTGGAATTTGGTCTTACCGATGGATATATTCGTCGGTAAATTAACAATTAATTACAGACGGATATATCCGTCGGTAAATTAACAATTATTTACCAACAGATATTTTCATCGATAAATTAACAATTAGTTACAGACGGATATATCTGTTGGTAAAATTATATAATAATTACTTAATATATTCTAATAAATTAATTATTCACCTAATTAAAAATTAATTTTTTTATTTAATAATTTAATTTATTCATAATTAGATTAATTTATAATAATTTATTAAATTAAATAATTTAAAAAAATAAATATTTATTTATATATAAATATATAAATATATTTGTATTTATATATTTACATGGATATAAATATAATTTATTTGTAAATTATTATTAAAAAGTTTTAGTAGTTTAGTGGTTGGAGTATCAGTCTCCAACTTTAAGGTACTGAGTTTACAATAATTTTCTTAATCTTCTAATCTTGTTAATTACAATAATTTTCTTAATCTTTGAATAATAATTCAAAGCTATAAAAATATAATGAAAATATTATTTTCAGTATTTCAAGTAATGTCATACCTTCTGGTAATGGGACAAGTTCTCATCCTCAAAGAACATAGTAGTTAATGTGGGATCATAAAATTTATATCCCCTAGCATAACCAATATTTCATGTAATGTCATATCTTCTGGTAATGGGACAAATTCCCATCCTCAAAGAACATAGTAGTTAATGTGGGATCATAAAATTTATATCCCCTAGCATAACCAATAAAATAACTACTATTCAGAAGTCCAATTTCTTTTTATTTGGCTTATAAGGCCTTGTCTCAACTAGATAACCCCACACATGAAAATGCTTCAGACTAAGTTGTCGTCCAATCTAAAGCTCATAAGGTGTTTTGGTAGCTATTTTAGTTGGTACTCTGTTTAGAATATAAATTGTATTGTTTAGAATATAAATTGTCGTCTTTAGTGCCTCTCCCCAGAGTGACTCTGGTAAGGTGGAATGTCAAATCATATTCCTGACCATATCTTTAAGAGTCCAGTTTCGTCTTTTAGCTACACCATTCATACTAGGTAATCTCGGTATGGTATACTGTGGGACAATTTCACACTCCTCTAGTTACCTGGCAAAAGGTCCTGGATGCTTCCGAACTTACTTTATCAAAAGTAACTGTTTGAATCGGTTCTGGAATTGTTACCGATTCTTCCTCCAAGACAAAGTTCCTAATTTTATTCTTCTCCCCAAACTCAATATCCTCAAAGAACATAGTAGTTCTCATCTCAAAAATTGTCTTTAATATGGGATCATAAAATTTATATCCCCTAGATCTTTCAGCATAACCAATAAAATAACTACTTACTGTTCGGAAGTCCAGTTTCTTTTTATTTGGCTTATAAGGCCTTGTCTCAGCTAGATAACCCCACACATGGAAATGATTCAGACTAGGTTATCGTCCAGTCCAAAGCTCATAAGGTGTTTTGGTAGCTGTTTTACTTGGTACTCTGTTTAGAACATAAATTGTCGTCTTTAGTGTCTCTCTAGAGAGTGACTCTGGTACGATAGAATGTCAAATCATATTCCTGACCATATCTTTAAGAGTCTGGTTTCGTCTTTCAGCTACACCATTCATACTAGGTGATCCCGGTATGGTATACTGTGGGACAATTTCACACTCCTCTAGGTACCTAGCAAAAGGTCCTGGTTGTTATTCACCTGACCCGTCAAATCTGTCATAGTACTCACCACCACGGTCAGACCTGACAAACTTAATTCTTTTGTTGAGTTGATTTTCAACTTCAGCTTTAAATGTTTTGAGCACGTCTAGAGATTGTGACTTTTCATATATAAGGACTAAGTATACATATCGTGAGTAATCGTCTATGAATGATATAAAGTGTTGTTGACCATTCCACGAAGATGTAAGAAATGACCCACAAATGTTCGTATATATCAACTCTAAGACGTCTGTAGCTCTATATGCACATAATCTCTTTGTTCTGGTCTATTTGCCCTTAATGCATTCAACAAAAACATCAAAGTTTGTAAAGTCAATAGACTCTAAGATTCCATTAGACACAAGTCGTTCAACTCTATTTTTAGAGATGTGACCTAAGCGCCTGTGCCATAATGCTCCTAAGTGAGTATCGTCAATTTTACGTTTAGTACCTCATGATTCTGTATTAAGTGTTTCATTATAGGTGGTCACAGTATCAAGTAAATACATATTATCATAAGCCAAAAGTGAACCAGTTTCAACAATATCTGAATTAAAATACAAACTGAACTTATTGTTTCCAAATGAACACAAATAACCTAATTTGTCCAAATAAGAAACTAAAACCAAATTCCGTCTAAATGATGACACAACAAAAGTGTCTTTCAAATCCAAATAAAAATCAGTACTCAATAACAATTTAAAATGCCCTATACCTTTCATCTCTACCGATTTGTCATCTTTAACATATATCCATCTTTCAGAATCAATTGGCTTCCGATAGCTTAGGCAACTCTTCATAGAAACACTGATGTTAGTAGTTGCACCTAAGTCTAACCATCAAATGTTACTAGGTACTGACGCTAAATTGACTTCAGAACATACTAAAGTGGGAAACATACTTTTGAGGATCAAAGCAGAATTTAAATTGGCGAGATACATAAGTAATTGTAGCTAAATTAAGAACAAAAGAAACAAACTAATTATTTTCACATTATAAAAATAAATAATTATAAATATATATATATATATATATATATATATATATATATATATATATATATATTAGATAATGGTTTAACCCACTATTAAGACACCCAATGCACCATCAATATCAAGTCTTTAGACAGTAATATTAACTGCTAGGGATATCTTGTTGTAATGATCAAACATTGATAATAAAACACGTCTAACAACAAACCAGGCTTTGGATTGATTTATCATCGATAAAGCAAATCCTTATAATTATCACATGTTTATCATTACAAGTGTGTATGCAATTTGGTCAAATATTAATCTTCCTTTGGGCTGACTAATACTCGCATGAATATACACAAATACTAACATTCAATATTTTTCACGAACTACAAATTCAAGAGAGGTTATTTAGGTGACTTCTTGACTCAATTTGCTCACAAAAAATATTAAATCCCACTAATGATGAACACCTCCCTAGAATCACACTAGGGATGAAACAAAGATAATTATGACCCTCTTTAACACACTGCTCAAGAAATAGTGCAACCACCTAAACCCTAAAAGGGATTAAACAGTAATCACTCAAACCTTCAACAAGGAATTTAACATCAACTTCCCTTAAACCCCCAGAGAATAAAGGCAATAAAATAAGAACAGTCACACCTATGGAAACATTCACCAGTTGCCTAAGATCCTCTGTGTTGGGAACTCCCCCAACATCACCCCCAATTCCAAACCCATCCATATCCACCATGAAAAGAAAGCGAAAACAAAACCTAGAAAAAAAAAACAAAAACAAAAGATTCAAAGAAAACAGAGAACACAATACAAGAAAGATTGAAACTTGAAACACTATTTCTTTCTCAGTAAAACTTGAAATTTAAACCGAAACAAAAGGGAAAAAATGAAGAGGAAGAAGAATCCATAGCTTCCTCTGCTACGATGATGAAACTTTATCTCTTTATGATGAAATTGATTGGGTTTTAAGAAACCCTGAATTAGCCAATTTGGGAATCTCATAGTGTAGTGGATTAGCGCATTCAGATAAAAATTGGGGTCTCCTCCACGATTTCATCAGCGAGCAGAATCATATTGGGGATGTTACCCCAAATTTAAATTTTAGGGTTCACGAAAATTGGGATTTTATAAATTAAACAGAATATGAATTTTTAAATATTTCCTTAGATAGACATGAATCAAGTATGGGCGGCTCTGATATTATTTGTTAGAAAACTAATAATTATGATCCTGATTTTGATTCTAACTATCAAACATAAACATTATCTCATACTCATAAACATATTGTAGACTGAATGCGAAAGCGTACCTGAATTAGCCATAATGATGATGTCTCTTTTAGAGCACTATTAATCTTATGGTCTTCCACCTGAAGAACACATTTATTTTTCCTCTGAATTTTCTCTCTTTATGGGGATAGAAAGAAACGAACGGGAAATGAGACTTACGTTCTATGTGTGTGCTCTCAGAATGGGATCATAACCCTTTAAATAACTAGAATTAAGTTAATTACTTAAGTTTTAGTGTTTCTAATTTGACCCCTCATCAACTTAAAAATTATTCCATGATCTCTACACAATTTTATTTTCATGACATATGCCTTTAACCAAAATTGTAATTTAGTCAGATCACTTTATTATTTGACTTAATAAATAATAATCATAATACATTTAAATTATGTATCATATATATATATATATATATATATATATATATATATATATATATATATATATATATAATGATCCAAAATTTGCCAACAAACTCCATACATGGCTTATATGAAAACCTTAACATTAGAAAGGTCGAAGACTACATAAGATCATGTAACATAGAAGAACATTTCTCAATTCTATGATTCTAGAATTAACATGTTTTCTCCAATCATCAAATAAGGAGCATACCCTATGATTCTCCTTTGAAAAGACAGAGTCTAAAGTATGCAGTGCGCACATAAGTGAAAAATTAGCATTGGAAAGCACAAATTTAAATGCAATACAAATGTCCAGTAATTTGGTACTTATGTCTAACTACACATCTACCCATTTCTCTCTCCAAACATTAGAAGGAAGCTCAAGGTTTGTAATGAGGTTTGCTATGTTATTATAACTTTCAGAAAGTGAATTCATAGCTAAAGTCATCCAAGCCATGGTAAGGATTTCATCCTTACTTTTGGGTATAAGATTTTTCAACCTCTCTCTAAGTGTTCCCTCAAAAGCTTGCAACATTGCAAGAAGCTGTGGAGACATGTGAGAGCCTCTAGGTGATATCATTTTAAAGAGATTTCCAAAAGGGAAGAAACATCCAAAAGGATGTGAATCCTGTGAATAATTCATTGTAATGTTTCGCTGCAACATAGCACAATTAGAAAGCAAAATAAGCAAAATTATTAATCTATTAGTCATATTGTATGTGATTCTTGTGATTATCATTAATCTCTCTTTTACAATTCAGGCTATTAAAAGTTAGAGTATTCATTGTAAATGTCATGCATACTGATATTAAATCATGGCAAAGTCTAAAAGTTCACAATCATAAAAAATATAAAGTCCACACAATGGAGAAAATAAAGTTGTATGAATTAATTCACAAACCTAATGTCAATTATTTTTCAAAAACACAAACTATATTTTATTTTCTTTCCCTTTACAAAGATACAAGAACAAAGGGTGAAAAATGTTACCTGATAGAATAATGAGAGAAAAAAAGTTATGTTATTTTGTGGTAAATGGAAAAAGGTGACTAAATATATACACCACACTTGCATGATTTCTCTGTAAGGCAAAAACATGGTTTTGCAGCGTTGGCCTGTCACGTTTTCTTATATCTCTATTTTATTTTACTTATTTTTTCACTCGTTATTCATCAAGCATTTTGTTATTGAGAAATTTCTAATTTATTTTTGTTAATTAAAAAAATCATACCATTTTGTTTGTTTTTAAACTGTAAAAAATTAGAACCTATATGGAGTTACTGTTGACAAAATTTGGGTCATGTATATATATGATACATAATTTAAATGTGTTAGGGCCATTATTTATTAAGCCAAATAATAAAGTGATTTGACTAAATTAAAAAGTTTGGCTAAAGGCAACGTAGACAGAACATAAGTTTCACTCCCGTTCCTTTCTTTCTATCCCCATCAAGAGAGAAAATCAAGAAAGAAATACAGGTGCTCTTCAGGTGGAAGACTATAAGATCAATATAATGTTCTACAAAGACATCATCATTATGGCTAATTCAGGTACGCTTTCACATTCAGTTTACAACATGTTTATCAGTATGAGATTATATTTATGTTTGATAGTTAGAATCAAAATCAGGATTATAATTATTAGTTTTCCAACAATTGGTATCAGAGCCGACCATACTTGATTCATGTCTGTCTTAGGAAATATTTAAAAAATTCAAATTCTGTTTAATTTATAAAAATCCTAATTACCATGAACCCTAAAATTTAAATTTGGGGGTAACATCCCCAATCTGATTCTGCTCGTTGATGAAACCGTGGAGGAAGCTATGGATTCTTCTTCTTCTTAGTTTTTCCCTTTTGTTTCAATTTAGGTTTTAAGTTTAATTGAGAAAGAAATAGTGTTTCAAATTTCAATCTTTCTTGTATTGGGTTATCTATTCTCTTTGAATCTTTTGTTTTTGTTTTTATTTAATTTTCTGGGTTTTGTTTTTGTTTTCTTTTCATGGTGGATATGGATGGATTTGGAATTGGGGGTGGTGTTTGGGGAGTTTCCAACACAGAAGATCTTAGGTAACTGGTGAATGTTTCCACATGTGTGGCTGTTATTATTTTATTATCTTTATCCTCTAGGGATTTAAGGGAAGTTGATGTTAAATTCCCTGTTTAGGATTTGAGTGATTACTGTTTAATCCCCTTTTAGGGTTTAGAGCAGTGTGTTAAAGAAACTCAGAACTATTTTTGTTCCATCCCTAATGTGATTCTAGGGAGGTGTTCATCCTTTGTGTATTGGTGGAAAAGGAGTTGTTTTTCATCCTTTGATTTGTTTAAAGGAGGTGTTCATCCCTAGTGAGATTATAGGGAGGTGTTCATCCTTAGTGAGATTCTAATGATGTGATTGTCTTTTGAATTAGTTTACAAATATTAAATATTTGGTTTTGTTATATAAATAAAATATTCAATTTTTGGTAGTTTAATATTTTTTGTGAGCAAATTGAGTCAAGAAGTCACCAAAGTAACCTCTCTTGAATTGGGCAGTTCATGAAAAATATTGAATGTTAGTGTTTGTGTATATTCATGCGAGTATTAGTCGGCCCAAAGGAAGATTAATATTTGACCGAATTGCATATACACTTGTAATGATAAACATGTGATAATTATAAGGATTTGCTTTGTCGATGATAAATCAATCCAAAGACTGGTTTCTTGTTGGACGTGCTTTATTGTTAATGTTTGATCATTACAACAAGATACCCCTAACAGTTAATATTACTGTCCAAATACTTGATATTGATGGTGCATTGAGTGTCTTGAGATAGGTTAAACCATTATTTTAATATATATTTACAATTATTTATTTTATAATGTGAGCATAATTAGTTTATTTCTTTTGTTCTAATCCAGTTACAATTGCTTCTATATCTACCAATTTAAATTTTATTTTGATCCTCAAAAGTATGTTTCCTACTTTGGTCTGTTCTGAAGTCAATTTAGCGTCAGTACCTAGTAACACTTGGTGGTTAGACTCAGGTGTAACTACTAACATTAGTGTTTCTATGAAGGGTTGTCTAAACTACCAGAAGCCAATTGATTTTTAAAAAAAATGGATATATGTTGGAGATGGCAAATCGATAGAGGTGGAAGCTATAGGGCATTTTAAATTGTTATTGGGTACTGGTTTTTATTTGGATTTGAAAGACACTTTTGTTGTGCCATCATTTAGACGGAATTTGGTTTCAGTTTCTTATTTGGACAAATTAGGTTATTTGTGTTCATTTGGAAACAATATGTTCAGTTTGTCTTTTAATTCAGATATTGTTGGAACTAGTTCACTTTTAGCTTATGATAATCAGTATTTACTTAATATTGTGGTCACCTATAATGAAACCCTTAATACAGAATCACGTGGTACTAAACATAAAATTGAAAATACTCACTCAGGTGCATTATGGCATAAGTGCTCAGGTCACAATCGAATCGTGGCGCTTGAGCTTGTGTTACACTCTTAAAGATATGATAAGGAGTATAATTTGTCATTCCACCTTACTGGAATCACTATGAGGAGAGACACTAAAAACGACAACTTATATTCTAAATAGAGTACCAACTAAAGCAGCTACCAAAACACCTTATGAGTTTTGGATTGAGCGATAGCCTAGTCTGAAGCATTTCCATGTGTGGGGTTGTCTAGCTGAGGCAAGGCCTTATAGGCAAAATGAAAAGAAATTGGACTCCCAAACAGTAAATAGTTATTTTATTGGTTATGCTGAAAGATCCAGGGGATATAAATTTTGTGATCCCACATTAAAGACAATTTTTGAGACGGAAACTGCTACATTCTTTGAGGATATTGAGTTTGGGGAAAGAATAAAATTAGGATTTTTTTCTTGGAGGAAGAATCGGTAACAATTCCAGAACCGATTCAAACAGTTACTTTTGATAAAGTAAGTTCGGAACCTCCACAAGACATTGTTAGTGAACCCCTTACTCAAAATGATTTGGTTATTCATGAAGAAAAAACTCAAGATCCTCAAGAACATGTGCATCATGAGCCAATAACTTTGCGGAGATCCACTAGAGAAAGAAGAAGTGCTATTTCGGATGATTACATGGTATTTCTTCAAGAACATAAGGAAAATAATGATATAATGGAAGATGACCCAGTTAACTTCCGTCAAGCTATGCAAGGTTCTAACTCTCAAAAGTGGATTGAAGCAATGAAGGAGGAGTATAAGTCCATGCAAGACAATAAGGTTTGAGAACTTGTCCCATTACCAGAAGGTATGAAACTCATTGGTTGCAAATGGATATTTAAGACCAAACAGGATTCTAAAGGTAATGTAGAAAGGTATAAGGCTCGTCTGGTAGCTAAGGGCTATATCATAAAGGAAGGGATTTACTTTAAAGAGACTTTCTCTCTAGTTTCATCGAAAGACTCTTTTAGGACAATCATGACTCTTGTAACACATTATAATTTGGAGCTTCATCAAATGGATGTCAAGACGGTGTTTCTCAATGGCAACATTGATGAGACAATTTATATGGTACAACCAGAAAATTTTGTGCAAAGAGATCCAAAGAATATGGTTTGCAAAGTGACAAAATTCATTTATGGACTAAAACAAACATCTCGTCAATGGTACTACAAATTTCATCAAGTAATTCTCTCATTTGGCTTCGAGATGAATATTGTTAATGATTGTGTGTATCACAAGTTTAAAGGGGGACAAGTTTAATCTCAATCAATGCCCAAAGGGGAATTTGGAAATTGAGGAAATACAAAAGATTTCATATACATCAGTTGTAGGGAGTTTGATATATGTCCAAGTATGTACACGTCCAGACATAGCATACATAGTTGGAATAATAGGCAGATATTTAAGTAATCCAAGAATGAACCATTAGAAAGCAGCAAAAAGGGTCATGAGATATTTAAAGAGAACAAAAGATTATATGCTCACATACAAGAGGTCAGACCAGTTTGAGATTGTTGGGTTTTCTGACTTAGACTTTGTAGGATGTCAAGATAGTTTGAAATCCACTTCAGGTTGCATTTTCATGTTGTCAGGTGGTGCGATTTCTTGGCGCAGTGTCGCAAACCCTTACATCTTCATCCACTATGGCAGCAAAATTTGTAGCATATTATGAGACATTAAATCATGGAATATGGCTAGAAAATTTTGTCACAGGGTTGCAAATTGCGAAAGACATTAAAAGACCACTTAAGTTATATTGTGACAACAAATCAGTTGTATTGTTAAGGAAAGAGTACAGAGTGGACAAATTTCCATAGAACAATTAGGGAAAACCTCCATGATAACAAATCCTCTAACTAAAGGACTTCTGCCCAAGGTCTTTCATGAGCATGTTGCTCACATGAGTGTTTTACAGTTTGAGGAATTTGTGGTTTAGTGGGAGTTAGTCACTTTCATATATTTTATGTTCTATGTTTAATTTCATGTATGTATACATTAATTATTATTATTTTTTGAACATATTTGGTTATCTATAGATATGCGATTTTTCGTTCATTCATTACACTTTGTACATTCAGGTTATTATATCGATCTCGATAAGTTAAAGTTTGGACCAGTTGAAAATAGACGTATACAGATCACCTTCACGTAATTTTTCATGCTACATATTTCATGATGAATCCATGTCATTTGGTTATGTTAGGATGAGTAATCATTGTTGGTTTTAGTTGCGATGATGCAATGAAAAGCTGGTTTGGTTCTATATCCTGATATGATTATAATGGACATGACTTTTGGAGTATGTTAAAGGAATATAATAGCAATTTTGAGCTCATAAAATCTAACACATTTGTAAGGTTGTAAGGACATATATATTTGTGACCAAAGTGGGAGATTGTTGACAAAATTTGGGTCATGTATATATATGATACATAATTTAAATGTATTAGGGTCATTATTTATTAAGCAAAATAATAAAGTGATCTGACTAAATTAAAAAGTTTGCCTAAAGACATATGTCATGAAAATAAAATTATGTAGAGACCATAAAACAATTTCTAATTTGATGAGTGACCAAATTAGAAATACTAAAACTTAAGTAATTAACCTAATTCTGGTTATTTTAAAGGGTCATGGTCCCCTTCTAGAAGCATGTAGACAGAACATAAGTTTCAGTCTCGTTCATTTCTTTCTATCCCCATCAAGAGAGAAAATCAAGAGGAAAATACAGATGCTCTTTAGATGGAAGATCATAAGATCAATATAGTGCTCTACAAAGACATCATCATTATGACTAATTCAGGTACGCTTTCGTATTCAGTTTACAGCATGTTTATATGTATGAGATTACATTTATATTTGATAATTAGAATCAAAATCAAGATTATAATTATTAGTTTTCCAACAATTGTGTTTGATCACATTTTTCTCCCTATTTACAGAGTGTATGAATACATATTTAAAACTAACCACTTAACTTCTATTTGAAGCTACAATGTTTACGTCTATGTGTCTTTGATCCATAATTGAACCATAAATAATGTGTCAAACCACGTTCTAAAACACATACTCTTTGCTTTGATGGCATGTGTTAAGCTTGTGAATGGAAATTCAAACAATTATATATAGATTTCGCATATCCTTGAATATATTTCATGCAAAATTTACATGATGTAAAAATTATCATATACAAAGGGACATAAATTAAGATTATTACGATCTATTATTATTATATTTAAAGTATTTTTTATTTTAGAGTTCTCGATCACGATTTTATTTTTAAACATCATTTGAATAAATTAAAGAAAAAAATATAAATTATTATTGGTTTCCAATCTTAATAAGATTATCAAAATAATTATCTATTTTTAAAAATAATGATAGAAATTTTTTATTTCATTAAAAGATAAAGAAAATAATAATGATGTGATGACGGAAAATATAATCTCCATGTAATAAATTTAAATAAAAATATTAAATATTAAATATTGTGTATTTGAATTTGAATAATAATAATAATATTATATATGATTTATGTTTTTGTGCTGGATAAAAGTGAATACTTTTTCTATTATATTTTTTATTATAGAATATATTAATTTTTATTCAAATGAGTTGTTCTCACACTTTTTTCATTCATTAATGGATCACATAAGGCCCAATTATAAGCCTTAGTCTTGCCATCTATCCATTTGAACCCAACTCGGTAACTCACCGCCGACTTCGAAGCTACTCGCCAGCACCGTAGCTTAGGGCGACGCTGAAACCCTTTCTGTTCGTTCATATTTTCTCCGATTTGATAACAGTGTCGCCGTCGTAACCATGGTTCGTTCTTCAGCTTCAGTTAAAGCCTCTTCGGATTTTTCCAAATCCCTCGCATGCATTTTCTGATTCCGTTTTCTTGTAATTGTAGCCGCAAGGGGATTACATAGAGCGTCACCGAAGAGACTATGGCTACCGCCTCGATCACTTCGAGCGGAAGCGCAAGAAAGAGGCTCGGCAAGTTCACAAGCGCTCTGCAATGGCTCAGAAGGTTTCGCTACTTTTTATTTGGAATTTGGAATTTGTGATTTGAATTGCGTTTATTTGAGCTTGTTATGTGGTTGTGTTTTCGCGAATATAGTTGGATTTTATTTTTTAATTCGTGTGGAACAGGCCCTTGGTATCAAGGGAAAGATTATTGCCAAGAAAAATTATGCTGAAAAGGCGCAGATGAAGAAGACGTGCGTATTTTCTCTTTATTGAGCTTTTACATGTTTCTGTGTGGACTGATTCTATGTATATGCTAATATTTCAGTGTTTTGTGTGAACGGATTCTATGTATATGCTATGTTTCAGTATTTTGCGTGGACTGATTCCAGTTGTTAATGTGCTGCATTTTTGTGTAGATGTAAAACAATGTTTGTGGTCGGTTCATTTAGTCTAGATTGTTTTGAATGATGTGTTTATTGAAGATTTGTCGATTGATGTTAGATAACTAGCTCGGTAGTTGTTTAATTTATGAGATAATAATGATTTGCCTGTTGTGTATTGACAGTTTGGCCATGCATGAGGAGTCAACATCTAGGCGCAAGGCCGATGATAATGTTCAGGATGGAGCCGTTCCTGCTTATCTACTGGACCGTGATAACACGACCAGAGCAAAGGCATGTCTCACTTGAAGTATTGAATGATAATTTTTATTTCGTGATTTCTTTACGCTGATGTCATCTGAATTGAATTTCTGATTTCAGGTTCTCAGCAACACCATTAAGCAAAAGAGGAAGGAGAAGGCTGGGAAGTGGGATGTTCCTCTACCCAAGGTAAGATTGCATTGGATACTTTATGCGTGGATGATTTTAAATGATCTCTCTTGAAATTTGTTTACCACCTGTCAGAGAACCTATGCTCTACATTCTTTACGTAAACTTTAGATAAAATTGCTAAAAAATCAATTTTATCTTTTTGCACTTAAGAAAAAAATGGAATGTCTAAACACCTAGTCCGAATTGAAATGGGCTTCAAGCATAGATAGAGACGGCAAGATTAAAGAAAAGGAAAGGTGAAATGTGCTGTGAGAATAAGTGCACGACGCAATAGAAGAACTATTGGTATTGGTTGTGGTTACTGATTGTTGCCTGGTTGGAACATGGTTGTCAACAATTGAAACGGCGTGGAATTTTGTTGTGGAGGGGCTGGTGCATGTTACTAAATTTGAATAGCAGCTGTCTTAGCTGTGATAGTGGAAAATTTGTGTAAAATCGCAGCTGGAGCAGGACTATTTGAGTGAGTCACGAATAATCTATCTTAACCATGAAATAGAAACATTTAGGGCTATTTAGGGGGAAATTCAAGACTTTTCCCCTTCCATTGATGAATAAGAACTGAAATCCTAGTTTCTCAGTCACTTGCATGCAATCTATTATGAAGTAGCACCCACTGTTCCACTTTCCCTTGAACACCCACCCTTCTCTTGCGACATTTCCTGCATCTCCCAATGTTTCCCTTTCTAGCTTGTGACTGTTTTTGGCCTTTCTCAACCCTTGCATCCTGTGTCCTCCATAGTATCTGGTCATGTCTTTTGTGACCATTTTTGGCAAACACGTTACTGTTTCTGTCCAATCTTGACCTTTGCTACCTCTCTCTGTTCAGTTTTTTAATATCTATGAAAAAGTCTTATCTCACGTTTTTGTGCTCTCTTCTAAGTTATATCCTTTATTTTTTATTCTAAATTTCTAATTAGTTAGAATAGAGAATGTGTGCATGAATGTGTGCCTTCTTCATGTTTTCAGGTACGTCCTGTGGCTGAAGATGAAATGTTCAAAGTGGTCCGGACTGGTAAAAGAAAAAGTAAGTATCATATTTATCTCTCTAAATTTAACTATTAGCTTAAGTTTGATGTCTTTTCTTTTTTTTTATTACCTTATTCGTACCACTCGATTGAAATGGTATAAATTTCAAGTATTGGTTGCATCGCATTATTGTCATTTCTTCATCTTTCTACAACTCATGTTTTTCTATGATTCATAGTTCATTACTGCATTCTTTGCTTGAATAAGTGAGGTTGAAGGATATTATTGAGGTACTTGAAATCTTTACTTTAATCATGTTCTTGTCATTTTATTAAATGATGGGGGAAATCTGTATCTTGTTTGGGAGGGTGTCTTCCTGTCATTGCTTTTACAGTCTATTACTTCATCATGAGCACTTTAAAGGGTATTAGAGTATTAGACAAAAATCATGATGATCATTCCTGGAACACATCTGATAGTATATATGATTTACCATTTTGCAGCCAAGCAATGGAAGAGGATGGTTACTAAAGCTACATTTGTTGGGCCTGGTTTTACCAGGAAGCCTCCAAAGTATGAGCGATTCATTCGTCCAACAGGATTGCGGTTCACCAAAGCCCATGTCACTCATCCTGAACTTAAATGCACGTTTAATCTAGAAATAATTGGAGTAAAGAAAAATCCTAATGGCCCTATGTACACCTCCCTTGGTGTCATGACCAAGGGAACTATAATTGAGGTATTTATATTTCATTCTCTTCAAGTTGATCTCAATTTGACTCTTTTGGTCTCTCATGTATAACTCACTATCACACTGTGTTACTTATTTCTTTGCTTTTACTTATTTCTCTGGTTAATGTAATTCAGGTGAATGTTAGTGAACTTGGCCTTGTCACACCTGCGGGCAAAGTTGTGTGGGGTAAACATTTTTTGTTTGTTTTTATTTTATCACTGCTGGCTGAATTTTCAGCTGAGAAGTTTGAAATTGACCCAAGGGAAATTTATTTGCCATGAACGCAGGAAAATATGCTCAGGTTACCAATAATCCAGAAAATGATGGTTGTATAAATGCGGTGTTACTTGTCTAAGGTCATAGCAACTATTGGAGATCTAACATGACTTCAAACGCGGTGGTCAAAGTTCCATTCCTATGCTTTTCGCTGTCTTATGCTATGACTGTATCATCACCACCAATGTTCGAGGGAAGTTGTCCAATCTTTGTCGGGGCATGAGATTTTGTTTGGGAAAACGGTGAAAGCAATTTTGTTATCAGATTTGTAATACTGACATGTTCGATTATTCTTTGGATAGTCAACGCTAATCATCAGTTATAGCACTAGACATTTTGAGGTAACTGTTGTACAAGAGTCGGTCAGGTCGGATGAATTTATATACTTCATTTGCAAGAGAAGACATTTTAACTAGCTGCATTTATATGTTATGGTACAACTTTTATATCATTTATTGCCAGAGTTGCCAAATTCTCATGATGGCCCACTAGTGCATTTCCTAATGGATCACAGACTTTTTAAGCATTTTGGATGTTTGAATTGTTAATTTTCAATTCTAACAAACTTTTGGAGCCTATACGAAGGAATTGATAATCAGTCTGTTCAAGTCTTAGAGCAACATGGATCCCATTTCTATGCGAATATACCTTTTTTTATGGTCAGAAGGCGTGTTGCTTTTCAAAGGGAGTGATTGAAACTGTAAGTTATTTTGCTTTTGATATTTCCCAAGAAAAATTGTTTCTTTTTAAAAAGAAGACAATATGTGAACAAGTTATTATTAATGAAATCAAATTGTTTTGATGATAATAATAATAATAATAATTAGCATGTTAAAAAGACTGCTAATAGCACTATACTTTGGTGGAAAACTGAAAATGTCCAATATTTGTTAAATAAGTAAATATTATTTCTATCAAATTGCATCGACTTTTGAACAGATATTTCTAGAAGGAAAAGTGTGCAGTTATGATTATTCATTAAAATATAAAATAATTGTAAAGATTGTGATTCAAAGTATGCACAAAAACAATAAAAATTTAAATACTCAATATCAACCATTTAATTAATTATAAACTTTCTTCTTTCAAAATGAATCTCGTAATTCAGGAATTTAACCCAATACTCCAACGTGAGAGATGTCGGAAAACCGAAATAATATCAGATGGTATAATCCATTAGAAAAGAAAAATCAAACTTACATTTAATGCAAGGGAATGAGTCATCAGAATTTGACATCATGTGACAAATTTGTTTTTTTGCATCACGTCCATTTAGACCCGTGAGCCTGAAGCAACTGAAGCTTGTTCGAGTTATGTTATTTACTTGCTTTTGACATTAATTCACGGACTAACGTGTATCTTGAACATTGATCCAAACATACAATTTGAAACATTTATTTTAGATTCAATTTGAAACGTCAGTCACATAACTTGATTTCAACTGAATATTTTTAGTTCCTCGATGACCTGGGTCCAAACTAACATCTTACTTGAAATTATTTTAAATAAATGCAAAGTTTTAGAATAGAAGGGATCCAAGTGTTCACATGCGAGTCATTGGATCCTCAATGGCCCAACAATGTCAAGATCTTCAATCATAAACCGAATCCAAAACTTCAAATAGAGAGATTCTTAGGTGGACTGAGAGAAATACGACCCACCTATTTGTAGTTTTGTGCCATTGAATGTGGATAACAATTATTTGTCTTCCACCTAACCACTACATTTTGGTGGTAATTGATGGTTTAGATGTTGAAAGACAATTGTGGCATGCATAGTTGACAAAGACATGTCACATGTTGAACAATACAATGTAGGAGGATGGCCAAACGCTAGTTCTACCTAATTTTTCTTCTTCATTGGTAACCTTGGCTCCATTTAAAGCTACAATCTTCGCGACTTGTTTCCTAATCATACGTTTCCAATTCCCATTATTCTTACTTCGATACGAATAAGGAAAAGTTTTATGGTCCAAAGTTTTGTCTTCTTCTGCCCCATCTATGTATTCTTTGTTTCAATCCACACATAAATATAGAAATTCACCACATATTTAGATATCTACCTGATTGGTAAATACAGTTAAATTTAATCAAACAATTTTTAAATTAATCTATTTAATGCATGACCTTAAGTTTTATAATTATATATTTTTTTTAAATAATATTATTTTATTAAACATTATATCATAATTTATACATCAAATTATTATATTTAAAATTTAATTTTATTATATAATTTAAAATTTAAAAATATATTTTATTTTCATTTTTCTAAAAACCGGTCAAGATAACATGATGTGAAATAGAATTAGACTGAACCTAAAAATTATAATTCATTTAAAAAATGAAGGCAATTCATTCCTTTTGATACTTTTATATATTAAAATATTAAATATTTGTATTTACAATAAAATTCCTAGCATAAAAATTGACAAAATTCAAACACGAATCACAATTTAGATTTGATTTGTTTGAAGAAAGGAGAGACTAAAATTTAAGAGTGCAATAAGGAATGTGTTTTTTTTTTCTTAATCTAGCAATAAATTACAAATTCATTTGTTTTTATTTCTATTAATCCGCCATAAGATATATATCTAAGATTTGTTGGATTGTTTAATTATTTTTGGAGAAAAAAAAAACAATTCAACGTCTGTCATATATAGCATCCATGCTAAAAAACACATTACTAATTAACTCCATTCTTTTTCCTTTCTGCAAAAAGGTTCAACTGAATTCAGAACACCAAGAAAGTCACGCATCAGTTTCTAAATTTCCACCAATATGTCAAGAAAGAGTGCAATCAAGGACATAGCATAATTTCTTTCACGTCATGTTACCTAATTCGAAACAAAAGCAAAAATGTTAATTAAGAACACTCTGAATAGAGTATAATTATACACTACTTTCTTGTAGTGAATAAATGGTGTTTTGTTTATCAGAAAGTAGAAACTACACATTATCTTGTCCCTTCCCACCATTCACGTGCATGCACAAGTTGGAGTACTTAATGACTTAAAAAAACAAATTCAACTTCATTGTTTAATACTCATAAAATGTGTAAAAAATTATAGGACCGAATGTGGATCTTTGATATTAATTCTTATCTGCAACTTGTGGAAAATCTTTGAACTTTGCCAGTTTAAAAAAATATAATTAAATCTCAGGTTTGAACATACAAGATTCTCGTGTGTCGTGACTTTAGAAGAGTTTGAAAAACAATGCAAAAATATCTAAACGCATCGTCTCATATTCATGCTGGGTATACAAAGCTTATTTTTATTAAATAAATGTTTTTTTTTCTCAAACTGTTGTTTCCGACAACTTCTGAAAATTTTGTCTCAGTCTTAATATTTTTTTAATGGTTCAAAATTTAAAAATACTTGTTCTTGTATTGTGCTGAACATTTTTTTTTCCTTGATCCAATTGACTAGAAGTTTTGAATCACACACTTCCCAGGACAAACCATATATGACATGATCCCTGGTATATTATATAATATGAGATATTAAAGTGCCATGAATAAGCCACTAGAGATTGTTTCAAGCTTCTAATTTAACTTTATAGGTTTTAAATTTTAACCATGAGTGAGTGATTTTTTTACAAAAATGAGAGATAAAAATGTAATGTTTAAGGAGTGATCTCAATTATATATTTAAATAAATAATTACAACAATCTTAAATAGTTGTACATAATTATATTATTAAAGTTCATTTTTACTATAACTTATGATGCTCTCATGCATATTTATTCATGTGCATTAAAAGTAAAAAACCATTAAGAAGTTGGGCACATAGTTAATGTATTTAATATGCTAATTCATTTTGATATTGATTAAGTTTATTTTTTCGTAAAAAAATGTTTTAAGGAAGTAAAATGATGGTTTAATGAAACGTAACGTATTAAATGAATTTACTACAAATAATTGTATAAAACCTTGAATGAAAACTATTTTTGAATAAAGAAAGTAATTTCTATAATTTTAATAATTAAAAAGTACACTAGGTATAAAAATTTATGAAACAAAAAAAGTTATGTAATTATTTTAATATGATTGGTTAGTGCACACCATTTGGATACATTCAGGCAACATTTGACATGAAACAAAGTTCACTGTTGTGCTCCACTTCGCTTTAATAGGTTTAGCGGTTAACATCAATGGCAAGTGTGTATACATCAATTTCTGTAAGAAAACGACTTCTGAGATTAAAAGGAAAAACAAGAACAATGAAGGTGCTAATATCTAAATGATGCTGCTAACACGTAATTGGGTACTTATGAGAGCGGAAAGGTTAAGAACATGGAATGATTGCCCGTTTTATACTATGAAAGGTTATAATAATAACAAAACAAGAAATTTCAGGAGAGGATGAAGGGTTTAGGGTTTATGTCAGTTCAGGATCAAAGGGTCCACAGTTGACAAAAAGTCAATAATCAATGTAGCTTGGCAAATGCGTTTTTTTGACAAAGCTTTCTTAGTTGATATGAATTATAATTACTAATCCAAGTCAATGTCAGGTTCCAATGTACAGAGAAATTAACACTTGAAAGGGAATCAGCAGTGTGAAAAACTTACAGTGGTTTAAGCATTTCAAGGGGTTGGTGCAGTCATGTCATGAAAAACTAACTAACCATTGAGGAATGCAGAAAGAGACAAAAAAAGGGTGTCCCATGATACACTCATAATCAGACACCAATCAGTGCCTGTTGCTTTCTAATTAGAAAGTGTGTACTGGCAAGTTTGGCATTGACAATGAAACCTAAATCTCTGACCAAGTTCCTGCACAGGTCCATGCTCTCAGTGCCTGTTATTCCATTTGGAAAATGTAAGCCATTCATGAAGAAATGATACAGTTGATATTGATCAGCCATCCAGCATGTTCATTTATCACAAGCATCCAATTATGAAGTTGGCAATGATGTTAATGGATTGAAATTGTTTCCATCATGATAGCTGGATGTAGCCTGTTGCTCAGAAGCATCTAACTGGACCCACCAATCACACTTATAAAATGCAAGTTTTCCAACATATGGATGGGTCCGGGATGCAGTGCTAGAAACAAAAAATGGGAGACAAAGGTAGTTGATAACATATTTTAACCACATGGGAAGTACCAATATTGTGTAATGCTTATCCTACTTTGTCTAATAAACAGAAACACAAAATAATTTTGAATTTTACAGTAATGAATCAGAGTATACAAAAGAAACCCCCAGATTGAGGTAGGTAATTGGGGACATTATGCAAATCAGGGGGGGAAAGAACTAATTGCTTCTTTCATCATTGAAGTAAAAATAAATATTAGCAAACTACAAGGAAGAAAAATAATATGGCACATTGCTTTTCAATTATTATGCTACAATTATTTCCATCTAGTGGGCTGCTGCTGGTGATATCTACTACTAGTACTGTCATCTTCACTCTGATCAGTGATTTCTCCACCTGTCTGCCTTTTATCTAATCCTGAGCCCTTATGCTCCAGTTGATAATCACGATGGGAACGGGAAGACTCTCCTCCAACCCTTCGTTCCTACAGACAGGAACAACAACATAAAAGAGATAAGGATCAGATTACAGCAAAACTCAACTTTCTGTTTGTTGGTTGAGTCAAGTACAATGTAAAGTTTGACAGGGAAAAAAACACATACATCACGAAATAAGAGGTCCTCGGCCTCGAGCATGTGGATAACATGTCCTATTTTAGGTCTCTTTGCTGCATCAGGGTCGACACATCGAAGAGCAACCAAAAGAGCCCGTTTAAGAGCCCTTGGAGATGGCTTTTCGGCAAGCTTAGGATCAACTACTTCCTCAGATTTTCGATTCCCAACCATACTTTTCAGCCACTCTATTAAATTAACCTGCAACAATTCAAACTTCCACAGTTAGGTGAAACAAGAGAGAAAGAACACTGTGCAGACATCATTAAAATGAACAATCTCAGAACTGTTGATTGTGTTGGCGATGGTTTCTAACCTCTCCTTGTGGTCTACTATAATCAACAGGACTTCTTCCGGTAATTATTTCCATGATAAGTATCCCAAAACTATACACATCACTCTTCTCAGTCAGCATTCCAGTGCAAGCATACTCAGGTGCAACATAACTGAAGAGAAAAGGAGATAATCACTACATGTGGTTGTGGACTTAAATTTGAGAAATTCAACCTCCTTCTCATATATAAGACAAAAATCATCACCCTTTTTTTTCTCAAATATTAGCAAATCTAAACTACTTTTATTTCATTTGATATTTTTCCTAAAATACCCTAACATTAATTATTATCCAAACTTTGGTTATACCATTATAATATGTACCTTTTGTTTTATGGGAAGGACATTGTAGGAAGAATATTACAAAATTAGTAAAAATTAATACACTTAATATATGTGAAGTTAGTTTTTTGTTTGCTTATATAAGAAAAGAGGTTGTAATAACTAATTATAGTTGGAAATAAAGTAGGGAAATGCTTAGATAAACCATACTAACCCAAACGTCCCCATCACTCGAGTAGTTACATAACTATGATCAGCAGACAAAAGCTTAGCAAGCCCAAAATCAGAAACCTTTGGATTCCATTGGCGATCAAGCAGGATGTTGCTCGACTTCACATCTCGGTGGACAACTTTCGGTTCAAGACCCTCATGAAGATAAGCCAATCTGAAAAGATACACAGAAGAAATCACTGTGATCAAAGCCTTTCAACCATTGAAATGGATATCAGAATGCATACTAGACCACGGATACAGTACCCTTTTGCCATGCCCAGTATAATGTTCATGCGGATATCCCAAGTTACAGGGCTTACAGTTCCAACATCCCCATGCAGCCACTGTTCAAGATTCCCATTGTCAACATATTCATACACAAGCATCCTGCGATAAAATAACATACATCAAATCTTACAACCTTCCAACCAAACAAACTTTCTATCTTCAATGTTCAAAATAAATTAGAAAATACCTGTACGCCCCCTCAACACAGTATCCAAGCAACCTAACAAGATTCTTGTGCCGCACACGACCAATAGCTTCTACCTCTACTTTAAATTCTCTCTCAGCTTGGCCCCTGATAATGAGTTAAACATTAATCACTTGTAAGAGAAAGACAAACCCAAGACCAACATCACATTATTTTCACTATACACAAAAAGTTAGTAAGTAACCAAAGAAGAAAGTAATCGCGAATCCCAACAAAGTCTGATACTAAAAAAACTCCTGAAAGTGACTACATCATCAATTCAGTAGTAACAAACAAGGAGCCGAAAAGAAAAACGATTCTTTTCTTCACATAAGTGACTTTACAACACAACACCCAGAAGCAGAAGACAAGGATAATACACGAAAAAGAAAACAGGTACAAGAGAACACAGTAGTAGAAAGAGTAAAACAGAAGGAAAACACGAGCAAAGAAAAAAAAAGGAAGTACTGTTCACCATAAGCACTAATTTACTTCAAGCAAGTAAAAGCCGCATTCCAGACCTTGCACAAGCATCAATATAGCTCAACCCGAGCAATAATTTTCTTTTAGAAAACACCCAAAAATCAAATTAAAAACCACAAGCCCAAAACCCCAAAAAAAAAATCACTTTATCCTATGCCAGATTAAAAATACCACATGAAAATTTCAACCACAGACACCCAACCTAAGAAAAAAAAAAAACCCAAATTATAAACACATGAACTTCCCGTAACACTTTTACTTTAACACACACAAACCCAACAACAGATCACAGAAACTCCATGTTTCTTCACCCACCCAAAATAATCTTCAAAGTAAATAAGATGAATTTACTACTATTTCCTCCAAAAACTTGATCTTTAATCAAGTCAAATGAAATTGAGTGATCCATGTTGTCCACATCACTTAAGCTGAATTTAATTATTACACGAAATTGAAGCATGTAATGAGAAGAGAGACATACTTATTATTCAAAAGGTTCTTGACAGCAACCTTGGTACCATCAGGTAACAACCCACGATACACGATTCCATAGCCACCTTCACCAATCACGTTCTCTTCGCACAACCCGTTAGTAGCAGCTTCGAGTTCCCTCAGCGTGTACCACCTCCCCCACCCAAGATGCGACACTTCGGGGCCCACACTCCCGCTCCCCAGCGATGAAGCCGTTTCGCATGCGCTCACAGTTCCCCTACTCTCCCCACTGGAGTACACTACCGCGGCAGAGGTAGCGGCGGCGCGGGTCTCCGGCTTCGGCGGCGGGAGGTGGACGGTGTCAGGCGGCGGGGGAACGTGGACGATCTCGAGGATTTCCTTGGAGATGGGCGGCGTAGGGACGGCGGCGGTGCGGCGGCGGAGGGGGTTTTTGTGGTGGTGGTGGCGGCGGCGGGAGGTGAGGCAGAGCGAGAGCAGGAAGAGGACGATGACGATGAGGGATCCGACGAGGATGCCAATGACGACCCAGAGACGGAGGCCGAAGATGGAAGTGCGTTTGGAAAGCTCTGTGTCGACGAAAGCGGCGTCGTATACCGACATGGTTGCAAACACACAGTGTGTGGGAGTTAGTAAATTGGTGGCATTGGTTTTGGTTTTGGGTGGGAAAGTGAGGTTAGAGAAAGTTTATTGAATAAATTTGAGAGTGAGTGAGAGAGAGTAAAGAGGATAAGTTTCCTCCTTATTTATTGTGTTTGTCTTCTTTTTTTTTTTTTGAGAGAGGGAAGGGTTAATGTTATTGGATTTGGAGAATATTAGCTTCAAATTATATTTGCTATCAATAGTAGTTAGAAATATTAATTTATTATCATTTAAAATAATAAATAAATCAATTGATCAATTATTATATATAGATATAATTTTTATATATCTATATAATATTAATACAGATATTTTCTTTTTATTTTAAAACATCCTATATAAACTATTTTTCAAACAATAATAAAAATAAAAAGGTTTCGCATACACTTTAATGTGAATATATATATATATATATATATATATATATATATATATATATATATATATATATATATATATATATATATACACACACACACTAAGATGTTATTGCGTGATGAATTATTTTATAAAATATTAATAACTATAATATTCTCTTGAACTATAGTTATTAATATCTTATAAAACCAAGATGTACTTTTTGGGTTAATGAGCACTTAAGAAGTGGACTTCATGTATAAAGCTCACATTCTTATGGGTTTCTTACATTTATAACGATTTATTTCATTTTTATAACTAGTTTTAGTTATATTCATGCTTTCGCTTATATTTAATTACGTGGTTTATTTGGTTGAAAGTGAAATTTAGTTATATTCTTTATCAATTCTATATTCCTGAGATGTTAATTTGGAAATGAAATCCTTTCTGAAAATGAGAGTTCATGCAGTGAGAAGGCAAATCTATTCATAGCTTGACTGTGAGCAGATAAGTTTCAGAGGATTAGAGAAAAAGGTTGCAGATGTTTTGATTCATATCAAAATGTTTTATCATGAAAACAAAATTCAAATGAAACTTAATATCAACATCAGTGATAACCATACATTTATATTTCTACTTGATTTGAAAGTAAAAATAAACTCAATATGATTGATTCAACCTCAGTGGACACAACATCTTCATGATCTATATAAGCTAAATCTACTTTTCAAATGTCAAACCCAGGGTTTCTTGTAGATTTGAATTTCTCAAATAAGGTTCCTGTAGATTCTTCCATCTTATGCTAGTAATTACTGAGGGTTATATACATATAGTTGAAACCAGGTAGCAAGAGAGGTTTCATAATTACTATTATTATTATAATATATACATGCAGGAAAGGAGAAACTTATCTACACTGTTTTATTGCTTTATATATATACAAGGCAAACGGGTGCCCTAAGTCCTAACACCGCTCTTAAACATTAAATGCTGATTCTAAGCTTTGCAGCATAACCACACAAAACCACTCACCAGACTGTACAGTAAAGCCTCCAGAAGTGACCTAACAGGACTTCATTGTCCTGCATTCCAAGGACAGCCATCTTCAAAAGATATACACAAAACACCAGACCATACCTACCATCTAACAGTGCATTAAACAAACAAAAATTCAATCCAAAAGGTATACATATATAAATATATATATTTATATATATATACGTCTTATATACATATGCAAGCATATAGACACTGCACTTCCTTTGAGCAAAACCTTGTCTTGTTTTCGCCTTCTTGCTCCCATTTATGTGCATTCAGCTTGAAAACAATTTCAGCGAACCCCCCCCCCCAACATCCTAAGCAGACAGAATAGCACTCTCAGATTTATTGGTGAGGGATTCGCTGCAAATATTAACAAACTTCGACTTATCAGAGTTGGTGTCATATGATGAAAGCAGCCTCTTCTGCATTAAAGGTTTGGAAAGAAACGAATCAGTCAGTAGAACATGAAGAAGTACATGTTATGAAAAGTAAAATACAATAAATGATGCTAGAACTAGGATTTTGTCAAGCAGAATAATAATTAGACAACACTAGCATGTGCGTGAATTCGGAACATACAGAATAAGAATAGAATGCAGCGGATCTGTGCATGCAATTCAAAATAAATAAATGCAGAGAATAACGAATTCTACACTTCAAGAGCTAACTTTTCTGAATCTATTCATGTGTGTGTGAAATTAGTCATCTCCAATGGGTTTTATGTGTTGATTTTATACTAAATAAGCATTTTTAAACAAATTTCTCCATAAAGACTTTTAAGAGAAAAATAATATAAAAGTCACTTCTCCAAAAATTAAAATTAGATTATACATAGGCTAATTTGTAAAAACACTCTCCCATAGCTTCTCCAAATTTTTATTTTTAAATTGTACATAAGATAATTTTAACTAATGGAAAAATCACCTTCACTTCTTTTCTTTATATTTTTCTCTCTTAGAAGTCCCACAATATAGGCTCGTACAAATAGATCCAATGTCAAATCAGATATATACAAATTCAAAAATGGGAATCAACTAAGGGTCTCTTGTAACCAACTTATTCAAACTTGGTGCAAAGTAAACACTAATTTATTAGTATGACAGAACGGCAAGTATGTAGAAATAATATTTATCTGGGCAACTTATTTCAAAGTAGAATAGCCAAAAGTCCGAAATCCCATATCATGCTCTAGAAAACAAGTTCAAAATTGAAAACCACCACAAAATATCAACATAGTGATATCAATTTGTTTACTAGTTTCAAAATAATCCAGCCAGCTGGGACCAGTCTTATATCATCTCCTATCTTTGTCATGTTACAGAATAAAAGCAAGCAACAAGGATTAAAAGATGACTTTGGCATCAAGCTAATATGATGGGCTAAATAACTATATCAGTCGAAAAATAACAAGAGAAAATGAATGCTAACTTGGAAACAAACTTACATGACCCTCAAACTCAGGACTCATTAAATTGACTGAGAGATTTCTCATCAACAACAATACCTGCAAAACAAAACAATATAAACTACTCAGGCAGACAACAAAGAACTTTGACCCAAAAATTACACTCCCTTCCAAACCTTGGACCTGTACATTAAAAAAAAAAAAAAAGAGGCAATAAAAATGATGGACATGATGTTAATTACCGTTTCCACATTTATTGGGTCCATCTGCCTTAGTTTCTGTAGGTGATTAGTTGAATTTGGATCAAATACACTGCCAATGAAGCTGTAGACTTGAGCAAAATCAGGCATTACTGCACAGACAAGTCAAACTTATCAACAAGAGCATGGCAAGAATCATGAACATAGAAGGGAAAAGATGCTCAACAATTGCAACACCAGACATATAACATACCGCGACATAACAAACTTAACATTGATACTATTCATAAACATTTCTATTTATACACAAATAACACTATGCAAGAGTTAAAAAAGAATATCGTAAATGAATAAAGCAAACTACCATAGCTTCAATGTTAGGAAAACTGTCAAAATTTACAGTTGTTTATACGCACTACTCACTTCAGAAATTATATTATGATAGGAGAGCAATGCATATTATTCAATGATCCAGATGTCTTGGATTAAATATATCTACTCTTGCCCAGCCCTACTTTTTTCTTGAAGCCCCAGCAACACATTAAATGCATGTGTTGAATTAAGGCCACAGCTTCAACTCTTGGGTAGTCAACCATAAGCACACTCTGAAGTATTTTATGTAGCAGTGGTAGCAGCTCACAAAATAATAATTTTACTGTTTGTCCTCCTGTTCCCTCGATATAGCAGCTCTGTAGTTCTATATATAATTAGGTTACTTTCATTGTTTTTGTACTGTCTCTACTTGAACACGATCGTAGATTAACAAATGCAAAGTTCAAGAAATGTATTATTTTAGCATGGTTTTTGCTTCCTTGAACTAAAAGCCGTAAGGAACACGGTGACATTCCTTGTGCATGTTTCCTATCAACCTTCTCAAAACTGATATAAACAAATTGCCGTTCAACATTAAATATTCTTCTTGATCTCAAGTACAGTTAGAGCTTATTTGGACGTGTTTCTCCATAAACTCCTTCTAAGAGAAAAATAGGAGGAAAAATTAAAATAAGTTTCTCTATATGCTAAAATTAACTTATGTATTAGCTAATTTATAGAAGCTCTCTCACATAACTTCTTTAAATTTATTTTTAACTTGCACATAAGTAGAAGGTAATCTCATTTATTTCTTCTTATTTTCCTCTTCTAGAAGGGCTTATGGATAAACTCATCCAAACAAGCCCTTATGAAACTCATTAATATCTTCAGTTTATATTTTAGGCAATTCAGATTTCATTCTCATGTTCAGTCCAATGTGATCAGTCACCATACTTTATAGCTATTGATAAGTAAAATCTATATGAATAAGAAGCTGATTTCCGGTGAGTCTTTCTCCACTCGCCATTCACACTGGCCACCTGAACCCTGGTTCCCTGAGCTCAGGCAAGCTTTTGTTGCAAAATTTTCTAACAACCTGTACATAATAGGGTTCTTTTTTTGTTTTTCTTTTTTCTTTATTCTATTTCTTTCTTTTTCTTTTCTTGTCTCATCTTTTCTTGATTTCTTGAGACATGCTTCCTCATATAAAGTTCTTCCTATATTGTCTCTCTCTTTTGTTTGCTCTTCTTATTCTCTTTTGTTTTCTCTTCTTATTCTCTAAGTGGCTGCTCTTGTATCTCTACTCAATATTTTTGTGCTCTGTTTTTTAAAATTTCAGAATTTTAGTTCTGTTGTTCTCAGTTTTCTTTATTAAACCTTGTTCCCAATTCTTCTTTACTTTTAGGATAATGTCTGGCACCCAAAATCAGTCATGCATCCTCAAACTCTATTACTAAGGGTAATTGTTGTATTTAATTTTTGTCTGTCATGGCTTCCACCATATCCCTGCCATCCACTATTGATAAACTTGATTTAAAAATAACAAAAAATTAAAATTTCAAACTCCCCTACTTCTGCTTATAGTTATACAATAGCTACAAATATTAAACTGAGTACGATTGGAACTCCAATATCACGGTAATTTCTTTATCAAATCATAGCATAGCTCGGATTCAGTGATGGTATTCTAGATTTTGGTGAAATAAGTCTATTCTAATGGATAAGAAGCTGATGCGTTAATTCTTTTAGTTATTTGCTCAATAGACAACATGCCAATGAAAAGAAAAGCTTTATCTTTTGCTAGTTGACTTGATTCCTATAAAGCAATTCACAACTAGATAAATACTGTACGAGACAGTGGGGACAATCGGGCAAATGCCTAAACAACAATCTTGTTACAATGGATGTACAAATTTCAGGACTTCCTTTTCTGTTTTAGTTGGATCAAAACTCAAGTGGCCCATATTTCCAAACTACATTCTCTAAGTTTTTATTATAAAATCCAACTGTATATTTCAAGACTGAGCAATCATGTCAACTTCAACAGAATCAAGTTCAGATTAAGGTAAGAAAAAGTATTCCAACCTTTAGTTGGCTTGCCTTGGTCACCTTGATTAATCTTCTTGCTACTTGGCCAAGTCGGATGGGTGCTCTCATTACTACTGCTATAGCAACAGTTAAGAGGAATAGCTTGTCCAGCTCCAGTCAATCCCATGTCATCTAACAAACAAACCAAAAAATCTTTCCACGTTAACAGAGCCTTCCTCAATGAAATACACATTTGAATAACAAATAAATGTAAAACAACATTATGAGTTCAGGACAAACAAAACCTCTCGTCACTTGTGGCACATTGACTGGTGGTGGTACAGCATTATAATTCCAAGACGACAAGGGCATGTTAGTAACTGGAGTTCCAAGCACAGATGAAGAATCTGGGCTATAAATATATGCAGGTTCAATGAAAGCAGATGCAGGTTGCAGTGGGCCCATAACTTGGGATACTGTAGGAGCTGAAAAAATGCAAAAATATAAGCATTGTTGTTCAAAATTAGATCCAATAAACAAAACCACTGAACATTAAATGTGGTTGACATTGGCTATACTAACTGATTTTAGGAGCTTTTTGAGGATACGGGTGAGTAGCTTTTCTCTTAGGCCGAGGAGGAGGAACATGTTCACTTGTTCCATTCTTCTGAACTTTAAGAAAATACTTCTGCGCATGACTTCTTATCTGCCAAATAGAATTTGACATAGAATGGTGAAGAAAGGATAGTTAGAGGAACAAGTAATGAATGTCAGAGATTCACTTCAAGAAAATTGATGAAATAAACACTATACATATTATATAATCCAAAAAGAGTTACTATATAACTTTATGTCCTTTCTTTTCTACTAAAGTAAACATGCAACAAAGTAACAAATTACAAGTTTATATATGTCCTTAATCCCATCATCAACCCTTAGATTTTAGAGGAAAAGACATAATAAATAGCATTTCATTATGATGCAACCAAATCTGGACAACAATATTTGACGAACAAGAATTAAAATGATTTGCTAGTTAAAGAAAATATAAGAGCTTAAAAAGTAATGGGAAGGTCCAAACTCAGGCAATGGGCTTTCAATTGACAGTCTCTTGGAAATGATATTGTCACCATTTACTCATCTTCAATTCAAGTATGATATTCAGTTTTAACATTAATTTTTTTTTTCACTAAATAGCCAGTATGGAATACAAAATTCAAGAATAATGTGAATTTGTGAACAAATTTATTGTTGTCAAGGTCAAGCGTCACTTTTTAAAAACACAAACACATAATCAGATAGCATCCGCCAGTAACTTGTTATTTGTTTTCCCTTGACTTCTATATTAATTACCTGGATAACAGTTTTGGAACCAACAAATGCTTCAATCTTTTTCCAGTCCCGATCAAATCTGAAATTAGTCAAGAAGAAGTGAGAAACACAGAAGAAAATAAGCAAAAATAAACAAAAAACTGATAAACCATCCTAATTATTTCATATACTGTTTTAAGATGCCATCAACAGAAAGGAAAAAGAAAAGCTTCGTTTTCAGGTGCATAGATGATGTTATCCAGAAAGCATGGAATTGCATTTCTTGGTGAGCACAATGCACACTTGCAAAATGACAAAGTACCAACCATATGGCTTTCGATATTCCTTAAAAAGTAGACAATTGAAGAAAGATGTGGAGAACAAAAGTTTAGGCATAATAACATAAGGTGTTCCCCAGAGCTGCATTTAATGCATCAAGAATTGACAAACTGTTCCAACAATCTATCCGCTCCCCTTTAAAAACATTCCATTACAGAATCTGCACTCTGCCACTCGTTCCTTGATTGGAAGGGGGCAACCTATTGTTGAAAAAGTCTAAACAGAACATGTTGCAAATAAACCATTTACGTGTGAAACGATAAAAATAATGGCTTAAACCGCTTTGTCCTCTGAACTAGTTCATGTATGGATGCTCCTCTTTCAGGATTTCAGTCAGTCGGGTAAAATTGCGTGTTTGCAATATGATTAAATACAAAATGTCAAAAAGTAGCAAGAATTAAATTGCTTCTCACTCTAATACCAATAACCTGCCCTACATGAACTAGTTCACACGCTACCAGAGTTGAACTTAAGCAAATGAAGTTGATCTTACAATTATCAAAGAAATCCCACATAAATAAGTTTAATTCTCCCTTCCTAAACAATTTCCTTTTAAACTCCATCTTACTCAAAACAACAAACCCAAATCATATCAGTAAAAAACAATACAAAAATCATTTAAAACAAAGTAAATAATTTCCAAAACTCCAATAAAAAAGCGAATCTAAAAATAACCCCAAACAGTTCTCACTACAGCCACCTATTAACGAATCACCTCTAATTATCTAGAAACCTCCGGAACTGCCAAATTCCCAAAAATGAAAAAGAAAAAAAAGAAAAAAGTCACTAATGCTCTAATTCTTTGCCAGTGCGTAATCCACAGCACAAGAATTTCATTTCCACGAAAAAGAGGAACAAAAGCATAAAAACGAACTCACAATTGGAGAGCTTCTAGAAACTTGTCGTGCTCCTGCTCGGTCCAGCTCTCCCTGGACTTGGTAATCGTGTAGGGTTTCCGGATCTTCTTATTCGGATCCTCCACCACGGGGGGTGCAGTCGGAGTCTGCGTCGGCGGCGGTGGCGGCGGAATAGAATTGACACCGGGAAGAGTCATATTGGATGGATCGAAGAAGTAAAATCCTTGCGCGGGGTTTGGGTTGAGCGACACCATCAAGAAGACGGAATCAGTAACCTCAATTCGATTCCGTTAGCGTTTCGTGTGCCAAACACTATTCTGTTTCGGTGTTTCCCAACAACTACGTATCTGTCACAGTGCTCTGTTCTCGTCTTCCGTTTCGTTCGTCCTCTCGCGATTTCGTCTCCGTAATCTTAAACTCCAACCAACATTTGATATAGACGTGGAGAAGCAAAGGAAATTACTTTTCTGTCCTTGGACCCCTTCTGCGTCTAAACAGTGAGTCACCAATCCTGTGGCGGTTATCTTGTTATGCTTGTAGCAATTTTACTAGAATAACAACAACCACTATATTTTAATAACACAAGATTTTCAGATGATAAATCAACGCAATTAATTGTGTAAGTGGATTTAATAGTCCTAAATATTAAGTTCAACAGTGACTGAAAAACTAAGGAGAAAAAGAACAGAAACGTAGCTTCAAAGATCCTATGCTGACTTTCCTTATGAAAAATGATGTCTTCTTTAGTCCTTACAAAATCTAAAGTGATAAGGTGGAAGGGCATGAAATTAATAGAAAATTGTGACAGTCATTGAAACTTAGGGTGAAAAACAAGGGGAACATAGCTAGCACACTAGATTTTGATAAGGATTAACTTGATGGGTTTTGTGCATTCTTAGCTTAAAGGACAACTTATTATTTTATGCCATTAAGAATAAAATAGTCTATGTTGTGTTGATGGATGTATATAATATTATATTCAACTTGTCATCCTTTTAGGGCTTGTAGGATTGAAACGTGGAAGGTTTAGAGCATGAAAGGTAACACTTTCCGAAAGGCTACAAAATCAATGTCTATTTATTATTTTTAAAATTAGTGATAATGGGTCTCATGATGGTGATTATCATAGATAATAAGAATGAAACATATGAGAAGGCAATGGAGTGTGAGTAAAGAAAGTTACTTTATGGGGAGAAATTTTAGCTTGATCCAGAACAAGAATCACGAATTAGTAAAGTCAAGTAATATTATACTATTATCCTATTTCAAATGCCTTAAAAGGGAACAAATATATTTAAAAATTATAATATAAATAAATATTTTTTAATGACCATATAAAAATCATAATCAACCTTATAATATACAATTTGTCAAGTTAGTTAAATTAAATAGTGTTGATGAAAAATAATACCTTTTTACATTTATTTTCAATTACAACATGATACTGGATATCTCAAGTTTGTTGAGATTGTCTTTTTATATTTCATCAACTATACTTGATGAAGCTTCCAACTATAATTAATCGCAATAATATGAAGAAATTAAATAATTAATTTTGTTTCTTATCTAATCTGCTGTTCGATGTTTTTAAAATATATTATTCATTTAATCGATACAAATATGAATTTAAGATTTTAAAATATTTACTATTTAATAATATAATAAGTTGATTAGTGTACTTGGTTTACAAAATAAGACTAAATAAAAGAATAACTAAATTTGTTATGGTATTCGCTCTAGATTATAATAAATATAAAAAATGAGAAATCAATAAAAATATAATTAATATATAATAAAATTATTATTATTTAAAATTAATATGACTGTTATAAGATAAAGGAAGAAAAGTAATTAAAAATATTATATTATTTATAAAAAATTATATTTTATTTTAATTTTTTTATTAATAGTTGAATTCAAAAACTCAATTAAACCTTTTGATTTTTTTTAATTTATATTGATTTTATTAATTTTATATTGGTTTAAATAAAATCTATCTTTTTAAGGTAAAAGAGCGATTTTCAAATCAAAATCAAACATGATGAAAATAATTATTAGAATAATCATATTTACACGATATATTTAATTCAATGGATTATCGTGACTATATTCTAAATCTTCATTCACTTAATAAATGGAGCGATACAAATATTATATTATTTTTACTTCAAAATTGTAATTCAAACAATTATAAAAGTGATTTTTAAAACATTTAATGGAAAATAATATTATATTTTAAAATTTTAGAATAAGATTTGACATGGTGCATCCTAAATTCTTCAAACATGATAAATTTAGATAATTAATTAATTAGTTTATTTGATATTATAATTGAAAAAAAGAAACAATAATAACGAGTGATATAAAAAGTAGAAAAATGATTAAGATAAGGAATGGTGCATGGGACCTAAACGGGTTAAGGTTTCGGTGAGGCACATGATGTTTTGGTCCAAAGCCCCATCACTTTGGATAGTACAAAACCTTGAACTTCACAGCCACATGCACATGCTTCGCTAATACGCCTTTCCCTTCCTTCATTCTTTGCGACAAAGCAATGTCTCCCATAAAGTGCACTTCACTTATTTATTTTTATTTTTTTTCATTTGTTAGACTGTGAAGATGTTTGTGATGGAATTTCATGATTGGAAAATCAACCTTGAGAATGATTTAACCACGTTAAAAAACTGTGTTTGCTTTCAACACAACCAAATCTCATTGCCAAGAATATCAAGCAAATACGAGTAGTCAAGTAGCACAAACCGAAAAGCTATGTCCTCACCACAACTACCAAACGCAGAGACATTGGAAACCAGGAAATGATGCAACAGTGTTGCGTTATGCAGATATTCACCAATCAAAAGACAATCCATTATTTATCCTCTCTTAAGTTTGTCCCATTTGGTCACCACATCACAGTCGTCAACATCTTCTATGATTGATACATGATGCTATGCATCTCTCTGCACTTCCTCTCTTCTTTCTTCCTCATCTTTATTCCCTCTCTTTCTATGTCCCTTTTCTCTCCATTTCTCCATTATTTATTCATCCTCTCCATTCTTTCTCTTATCCCACTTTTGTCTTTTCTCTGTGGAAGCTAAGAAACTCAAGAAGATTCAAATACTCCTTTTCAACACTACAAAAGCTATGTTCTGTTTGGATTGACCATAAGAATTCATAGTAAGGAAAACCTCATGTGAGTTGACTCACTTGTTAGTTACCATTATACTCCAACTTCTATTCTCTCATATAAGAAGAAATATAAGGTGTTGTTTGGTTTAAAAAGATGAGCGAAGAAGAGGGAGAGAAAAATAAAAAATAGTTATATAAAAAAAATATGGACACGTAAATAAGTTAGTGTTTATGATTTTATTCGTATTAATAATATTAATAAATAATAATATTAAATATTACTAAATAATATTATTAATTTTAAAATTAATTCATTTAAAAAAATAAAATTATCTTATTTAAATTTTTACTTATTTTTATAAAATAATTCATATTTTTTCTCACTCCATCTATTTTTAAATGATTTTTTTATCACTCTTTGTTTTTTTTTTTCAATGCTGAAATATTTAAATTAATGTTGGACTCTGGATTTCTTTGGTACCTCTTTTTTCTCCGACGCTAAATTTGATTTTAAATTTGAAGATGGATACAAGAGAATGAAAATAAGTCGTTTGAAAAAAACGCTAAAAATTAAATTATTTAAATTAAGAGAAAGTTGATGAAAAATAAAGAAAATGGAGAAAATTTTGTGTAAATCTATAAATAATATGGTTCTTTTGATAGATTAAAAAAATATTTTAATTGTTAAAATTGTAAAAGAGTACCATTTTACACTTATGTTAAAATAGAAATTTAAAATAAAATGTAATTGGTGTAAATTATATTAAAATAAATGTGAGTTATTATTTAAAATAGATAAAATCTAATTGATGAAATTATATTAAAATAAAATGAAATTTGTGGAAATAAATTTTGGGTGATTACTTTAAATAAAATAAAATTATACTTTTAATTGATAAAATTATTTTAAATTAAAATATGGTTTTTAAAATAAATTTAAATTAAAGTGGCTGTAATTTGTTAAAAATGGATGTATTATTTTGATGAAAATAAATATTTGTAAAATATGATTACTTAAAATTATAATTGAATACAAATTTTGTCATTAGTTAACTAAATTGTTTTGGTCTGTCATTAATGTTAAATAAAATATTAAGAATGAATTTTTATAAAATAAAATAAATTACATACTATAGAAAGGAAAATTAGAAATAATTGAAAAGTTAAAAGAAAAAATCATACAAATTTGGTGTAAGAATTTGGTAATCATGTATCATATTAAATATTGAATAAGGAGTAAACAAATAAATGATAAAATTTATTCAAAGAGTATAGAAAGTTATTAAATCATTATTCCAGATGGTTCTCATAATGATCTTGCTGAAACCTTTGTTTATAGTTAGATTCAAATTAGTTAAATCATTTTTCATCTACTAATTCTTATTTGCATGTCCTAAATATCCCTAAAAATTTTGTTAGCATTTGACTATGATGGGGGACTGTATTTGGCTAGACCGGTTCATGGTGGACAATCCATGTGGTTTAATGTCGGTTGCGTCATCTTTTGGTATTGTAAAGTTTTCGTTGTCATCATCTTAATTTACCTTCCATTTTGTTGTACGTCATTGACATTAATAATATTTAATTTGTTGAGTGTTTTTCTACCAAATTATATGTCCAACCCAAGACGATGGAAAAATCCAAAGTAAAGTTCACATCATAATGAATCATTATGCGTGTTAAGAAAATGGTTAAGAAAATGACGTATCAAAGATACATGTTATTATTCCTGCATTTCAACATGTGTTGCATAATATGATATGACCAATTAATTGAAATATTATTTTTCATTGTTCACAACATAAAAATATCTTTGTGCATCAACTTGGTAAAGTTCATGGCCCTGATGAGTTAACATATAAACAAAGACACAATGTAAAAGTTTGTTATTGATTCAAATAAAACTAGATCAAATCCAAAGGTCTACTAAAGGTAAAGCGCGACTAAAAATGATTGTCAGTCAGATTTTCTCACCATGATTAATCATCAATATTGCAAGTGAATACACATTATTACAAATAACATGACAACACAAAAAAAAAATTAAAATGATGTTCCAAGCATGATAATGAAATGCAATAACAAATTAAATATTGCTCGATGGGGTTTAAAGAGAAACTATTGAACAAATAAAAGAAAGTAAATAGATGTTGAATTTATAAAGAAAGTCAACAACATTATATTTGTTTCGATGAATGACAAAGAATATAACATATATATATATATATATATATATATATATATATATATATATATATAATAAAATAGAACAAAATTTAATATTTAATAGGATCACATATTGTTACTCGGTAAAATTTGGTTTTATTTCGATTCTCAAAGACTCCGAGTTCTAACCAATTTTCAACCATTGTGAATTCTTTTTATTCAGAGTTAGTAAACAGAGTTTTTCAATTAAAATGTAAGAGATAATAAATTTAAGTACGAAACACCGAAAATGAATTTAAAAACATACAAACATCAATGCTACTCAAATAAACAATATCTAATTGAAAAAAAGGTTGTTCAATAATAATGGATAAATAAATTGTATTCATTAAAATTAAAAAGAAAAGGTTTTTATTATTAAAACTTCGAATGTTAAAATAGACAAAAGTAAAATTAAAAAGTAAACGATATAAAATGAAAGATTACATAAACTCATGGAAACGAGAATACATAAAAACAAATCGAAAGATAGAATAAAGAGGAAATAACTATGTGAAACTTTGATTAAATTAATTTTAAGGAAGTAAAAAGAGTCAAATAAATAGCGAAACGAAGAAGTAATACACAAATTTAAATTACATAAAAATAAATTGTCAAGGAAAATACAGAAAGCGGTAACAAAGATCAATGAAAACAGAAATTCAAATTGCTAAAAATCTCATGATTGTTGTCGTTTTCTCGTAGACTTGTCCAAGAAATGTCTTAGACCAAAATGAATTTCTCCTACCCCTAAAATACTTAGTTCTATTTATAACCTACTTCTCATAACCACCTAAAATCTATTGAAAAAACCGCTACTCAATATTCTCATATGCAGAGATAACTGTTTCTTTCAATTTCGATCCCAGAAATCGAATATTTGAACTTCATGGTACCTCTGATCTCCTTCAAGTTTCTCCTCCAACTTTAACTTTATACTCGATACTTCAATTTTATCGATTTTTTATCTCAATATGATCATCGAATTTCTCTTATTCACTTTTCAATTCTTTTATCAATTTTCCACTAATAGGTGTTTAAAAGCATGGAGAAAAAAATAATTCGAGAAAATTATGATTATTTGAGAAGTGTGTGACATTACAAATAAGTGTCAAACACAAGACAACATTTTTTGTTACTCCTATTCCTATTACTTTTTCTATTCCAATCTATGAGAATGAAACCAAACTGAATCCAAATTGACGATCCAAGTTGGAACATTCACATCAAATGAGGAGTGAAGTACGAAGCGTTGATTGAAAGGTTTGGGATTGAGAGAAAGAGACGATGAAGAACTATAATAAGAACGTAGGGACTCACCCTTATTAAAATATGACTTCATTGGAGAGAAAAAGTTAGCATATTTTTTTTACTGTACTCTGCTCATGGAGAGAGCAACAAGACACTACCACCAGCACTATGGAGAAGCAGCCTCCCACCACAATCGCTAACCATAACCATCACAAGCAACCAACACTCACAACATAAAGCCAAAATCACAAAGAACACATAGGAATCGATTCTAGTGTAAAATGAGAGGGAGAATCGATTCTAGGTGTAAAATGAGATAGGAGAATCGATTATACGTGTAAAATGAGAAAGGATAATCAATTCCGATGAAAAATAAGAAAGAAAAATCAATAATTAGTCCAAAAATAAGGGAGAAAAGAATTGATTGTTGATGCCATCCGTCCATTCTTTCTTACCTCACCAACATATACCTATCGATTCTTTACCTTAAAGGAACCACTATGTCATGCCAAGGATACCAACCCAGAACCTGAAACCAACACTGTAATTCAAATGACAACTCTAATCACAACCACATTCACCATAAATCTCTCAGAACATAAATACACAACCACCACTTATTCATGCGTTTTTAATATGTATTTAAAACTTTAGCTACCAACTAACCATTTATTTAATCAATGCATGCAGACAATCTTGTAGGAATCTTTGCATGCTACAAATGCATGCCATGCACAATCAAAAGCAAAACTCACACGTTACAAAAGTTGAAAGCAAAAACTCACGCTGCAAAAGTTGAAAGCACAGTTAAAAAATTGAGGAACAAAATTATAATTTAAAATATCTTATTTGGCATTCTACTTTCTTATCCTCACGTGAGTGAAGAAACCTCCTCCTTTAATCCCGTAAATTCATCCTTTCATTTTCTTTTCTTTCACATCGCTTGATCCAAACTACTTAGGCACCCGCTCTTCCATCCTAAATAAAGGCACATAACTTAGTTTGGTTATCTATAAGGAGATATGATAAAGGAAGAATGGTAAAAAGTGTGGTTGATTTCATATGGTACAATGTTTTATTTACTTATTTAAGTATGTGATAACTAATTATACATGTAATCTCACGTGATCAATCGAAGCATACAGATGACGGATCTTGATCTATTGATCTTAGAAGCTAAATAATATATTATTAATAAATAATAAATAAATATAAAAGGAAGAAAGAATATGAAAGGTTTAAAAGATAAAATTGTAGATATATACTTAAATATATTAAATTATCATTAAGTTTGAGGGAAATAAAATCATAAATTATATGAAAGTTACAAAACCGAGAAGGATCGAGAGGATAAAATTGTAAATATACAAGTAAATATATTAAATACTAATTATGTTTGGGGGGGCCAAAATCATTAATTACATGGAAGTTACAAAACTTTGGGGGGGCCACGGCCCCCCTCAGCTCCCAAGAAGATCCGCCACTGCGAGCATAAAATATAATTGATTATGACGTAAGGTTGAAAGCATAGTTTTGTTCTATTCCTATCCTTTAGTCCTTAAGTTCAGGGTTTAGATTCCGATATACTTACGAGTTCTACATTGTTAAAGAGTTAAGTCTAAAAGTAGTTTATATATATTTTTCTCTCTCTACTCACTTAAATGTCTTTTAAGGATAAAATTATAACGAATTAGAGTTATAAAAGTATAATACCTCATACATAAAATTTATCTTAATAAGACGTTTTTTTCTAACAATTTAACTAGTAAAGTATTTAGGTGAATTTTTTTTCTATTACTGGATCAAATTAAAAGAATTCATATCCAATAATTCGTTATTAAAATTGATTAATCAAAATTATTTTCATTATTCTTTTCCAAAAAAAAAATCTAGACTTCACTTTATCGCAGGAAGGGATTGACAAAATTAGCATGATTAAATATAAATTTTTATTTATTATTGTTTCCATAGTTAAACAACTAAATAAAAAAATAAAAATATAATTCAATAAAATTTATCATCATTTCATTTTTATTTTTTTAACTAAACGTATGATTAATATTAATTTTTATTTTCTTTTTCATTTTAATCAAATAATTGTTTTAGTTTTTCATATATTTATTTTCTTTTCCACCAAAATTCATTTTAATCAAAATTTATTTTTTAGTTTGATAGTGGATTTTATGAGGTCTGTTTGCTTCAAGAAAAAGAAAGGGGTACGAGGGTATGAAAGGATGTGTTTGGATCCGTTCAGAATCAGAATAAATAAGTGCAAGAGTCTATTTATTTCTATCCAAAAAACAATAATAAAATAATATAATAATTATATTTCTATCATAATTAAATATCTTTCTACATATTATATAATTATTTTTTTCATATTTAAAAAACATTAAAAACTTAATTATGTAATAAACATAATTAATTGTCATTTTTATATTTTTAATAATAGAATAATAAAGATACTTATATAAATATATAAATAATAATAAATAATATTATAATAAAAATATTTATCTTATTTTTCTTAATTTTTTAAATTTAAGTTACTTTTATTTTTAATATTTTTTACATGTATTTCTCATTCATATAAAAATATAAAATATATATTTATTATGTTATATTATTCTTAAATAATTTTAAAATAAGAAATTAATTTACTTTTATTTTAATATTTTATACATTTATTTATTATTCATATTTTATTTTAAAAAATATAAATATAAAATTAGCATATTATATTATTTTAAATGATTTATAATTAATTTTATTCTAATAATTTTTTTTAATAAATTTTAAAAGACTCATTGTATGTTTTATTTATTTATTTTATTTTACTTATTTTTATAAGTTATTTAATAAATTGATTATTAATGAAATTGATTGAATTTACATAACATTCCTTCTATCAAAATATTATTTAAAATAATTAATATTTTATTTAAATATTTCACTGAAGAAGCGAATTTGTAAACGGTGATTAAGACTCAATCTCTTTCCGTGATTAATTCACCATCTGTCTTATTCGTAACATAAAAACACAACACAGAAAACAGGAAGAATAGTTTCAGACATAAGTACACGCGGTTCTCCTTTCTTTCACTGAATATGTGGCAGTAGCCAAGTTCAAGTACTATTTCCTCTCCCTCTTTTTTTAATAAAACAAACAAACAACTCTGAGTACGTGGGTCTATTCTGATTTGGTCTACTCCTCTCTTTAATCAGAATAAAAGGATTATAAATCTTAATTTATTCTATAAAAAATATTAATAGATTAATTCATTAATACTTTTTTATATATTTTTACAAACACATTTTTCATTATATAAATATTTTTAAAATTTTATTTATAATTAAATACTTTTAATATGGATTCGATAGGACCGAGCGTATCAGACTTAGAGACTCAAATTACCACCAATTCAACAAATAGGCACCTCTTGAGATACGAAACTTAAAATGCTCCCAACTCAATTTTGCCAAACAAACCTCTCAATAAACACTTTTCTTTCTCTGGTAGAATAGTTTTTTTATTTTTCCAAGGAAACTACATCAAGTAAACTTAAATTTCCAGTGCAAAAGCATAAAACTTATCATTGAAGCAAATCGAAAATAACATTTATTAAAAGTGAAGATAGTTTTATAAAAATCATTTATCATAGGAACAAAAACACACACATGTATATGTATATTATACGTATCAAAATTTTATCAAATGATAACATATCTACAAGGCAATAAATAAACAAACAGTAAAACCTCGGTACATGCTCTCAGTCAAAACCTCTTGCAACCTTAAGGTCCCTAAACATCAGATCCTGCTGCTACACCACATCCTCAAAGCAGTTGTATTGCATTGCTCTTTTATTGATATCTATTGTTGTCGGAGGATCAGACAATAATTTCACGAAATGCAAATCTGCAAGGCTACGTGAACGTATCTGCAAGTAAGCTACAAAACAAAGAGGGAGCCCAATCTCCACTCATCTACAAAACTTACACTTCATGCACTTGGCTTGTTCAATTTTTGGATCCTCCCCCAGGAATTCAGCTCCAATGTGTTTTCTTGCTCTTGTCATTAATCTAGAGTAGCAATTTCCTTATTACAGTTTAGAAAAATCTCCTCCTGAAGTTTCTGGTTGTTGTTTGGTATGAACGCATGAGCAGTCCAACACCAATCCCTATCCCCACGCACATCCCAAGGCCAATTCCAACACCGACTCTAACCCCAGCATTGAACCATGAGAGCTGCCCATCCTCACCGAGATACATTTCTTGAGTGTAGAAACCATTCCCCATCTTCCCATCACAATCATAATCATCAACCTCCGACTCTGTTATCTGCAAGGTATCATCATTGCAAAACAATTTATATTTCAGAAATCACAAGGTTCAGGTAAGACGCAAAGGTAGACCTCTACCACCCCATATCTTGACCATTTGTACTAAAAGAAATCAATGCATTTGGAAATCAATAAGATCTAGAAAATTAAATTATTTATTTATTTTATGGAAAGGTGTATGATATAATTGCATGCAGCAAGTCAGGTCTTGGGTGAGTTGATGATCATATTAAACACACAAGAAATAACCAAAATTAAGACTACTGTTTCTGTATGTTCAATAATAATGGTTCAAGCAATAATCATAGTTGAATACTGGAACCACTTCAATAGACAACAATACTTGACATAAATTTTACATGACTGAGTTTAAAAGCATAAGAATTCATCACTTATCAGTTATCAGCTTGATACTGATCCATCTAAAAGCGTGTTTGTTTTATTGTTTGCATACATTCCAAATCAGTTGAACAGAAAAACATGCGAGGGAGGATTGGCTTCAGCATCTATTTACGCATTCCTAACTGAAATCCAAACAGAGGGCCTCATTGACCAAGGCGGATACCTAGTTCCAAACTGTGTTACTGTTATACATGTGTTGCTTCCCAATGGGGCTCATTACAAGACTAGCAGCAGAACCAGAAAAAAGCTTGACTATAAAATCATCATACTATTGGGCGGTAAGAGAACTATCAAATATGCCTCATTTTAAAACCATTAGAATGACACTTGTTTTAAACTACTAATTCAGAATGAAATATACACATGATCCAATTTCAGTGTAGTTGTTTACACTTTCTTTCAGCTGTGTTTAGCATACTTCCTTAGTGGTTCCAACTTCCAGCAGTCAAACAATTTCCATGACTTGAACAATACAGGATTACATGGTCACATAAAAATATTTTAAACTGGTAATGGATGGAAATTAAATCCATTTAAGTTTTAATACGGTCTAATTATGATGCAGAAAAATAATCAAACTTTGGATTGGAACTAGAACAGAACTATCAATTATGGCTCATTTCAAAACCATCAGAATCTTTCTTGTTCTATACAGTTCATCAGTCCTTTGCAAAATAACAATTGTTGGTATTAGTTCTCACAAATTTTAATTTTTTTTATTAAGGTCCCTGTCTAACACTAACACCACTCACTAATCACAAGACATGTCATTTGTAAATCATCCTCAAAAAAGTCGCTGGAAAAAAACAAATATAACAGTATCTATGTTTTCCAGCCTATCTAAATTAACCATTGATTAGACATACATTGCAAAGTTAATTTTTTGGAATGACTCAAGCAACGACCTTGACTTATCGACCACGAAGTCTTCCACATTTCAGGCATAATGCAGACATTATGCATTACAAAATGTCATGCCCATAAATAAACTGTCATCATCATGAAGCACCGATCAGCCATGTCAAAAGCTTAAGCTGGTTTCCATGTGAAGAAACACAACACCACACAGTTATACACACACCTCATGTTCTGCCTAAATCCTTTCATTGTGTGTTTAACATCTATGAAAAATGCACGTAAAAAAAAGTAACTATTGGTCGCTTGGCAGATTCAATCCCAGCGGTAACAACCATGCAACCAAAACACGGTCACACACCTAGCTAAAAATTATTAACTGCTTCAAGACACAATTGCAACTCCAAAGAAAACCCAAGTTAATTTGAGAAATGACACATTCCACAAAAGTAAACCCCACGCAATTCCTGGTGACATTTGCCTCAGTTAATTCATTCATAAGCTTCACAAATTCGTTACTTCACAAATTAAAGCTGAAGTTAGTTTTACCACATTGCAAGATAATCCAAACTCCACTACGTAACTTTAAAAACTTTGACAATTTGGATAATTTATGATTCAACGATAGTGTTAGAAAGATTTCAAATTACGAATGCATTTTAACTAAATTTATGAAACCAAACTAAACTAAATTACTAAAGTTTTTAAAAAGTGGGAGCCCTTACAAATTCAACTTCGGGACCAATGTTGCAACCATAAACTCAACAATCCAATACCGGTAACACTCACAATTCACAAATATCATCACAAATACATAATAATTCATTCAATCCGCATACCTGCAACTTCCGGTTGGGAACAAACCCGTTGACACGGTTCTTCTCCGTCGTCATCATTTCCTCGTCCTCGGGAATCGCGTCCAGCGTGGCATGTCTCGGCACCCTCCGCCGCGGACTCATCTGAATCGTCTTGCTCAGAATCACCGGCACGCCGGAGCAGCATCCGGCAACGTAGACTTCTATCGACGGCGCGGAAACCCCGAGACGCGGTCTAAAAAACGCGGAGACCCCGGACCCGACGGACCCAGCCGCCACGTGGCAGTCCATGCCCCATCCCGAGCCGGACCCGTTTCCCCACTCGGAGTCGAGGCGTTCGAGGGAGCCGCAGAGAAAGAGCGCGTCGTTCTCGTAAACCTCGAAGTCTGCGCTGCCGCTGAGGCTGACGGTGTCCGTGGCTACGTAAGTGACCTCGGCGGCGTGGCGATCGACGCGGCCGCGGCGGAGGGGGAGCGTGGCGGGGGCAGAGGCGGGGACGGGAGCGGCGTTGACGACCAGCGAAACCGCAACGTGGCGGCGCGCGTGGCAGAGCGTGAGGTGGTCGGGAAGCGTATCGACGAGGCAGGGGGAGATTCTGACATAGAAGAGACGAATTTCGAGGCACGCTGAATGGTTGAGGGAAGGGAAAGTCGTCAACGACGTCGTTTTCGCAACGATCGGTTTTTTCTCTTGTTGATCCATGCACGAGCTTGATGAAGCTGTGAGTTGGGAATGAATTGGTGGGTGAATTCGGAAATGCGTTGAATCAGGAGATGGTGATTGTGATGACAAAAAGAATGGAAAACGCGGGTGCGGAAAAAAAGGGTTTTAACTGAAAAGACATGAACGAGGAAGAGAAGGATGGTCAAGGGCGTGTTTGGTTTGGAAAAAATAAGGTTCCGTTTGGCTTATGTTAAATATACTGAAGGGAGGGAGATATTATTGGGAAGAGTGGGAGAGAAAAAGAAGAATGATTAGAGAGAGACACGCGTATTTTTTCTCTGCACAGTGTCACTCTCTCTCTCTCTCTCTCTTTCTCTTGCACTTTGCAATAAATAAATAACACCACTCACTACTACACTACTTACTAACATGCTAGGCCTTCCTTTTTCTTTTTCTTTTTTTTTCTTAAATATATTTATGTGTAAAATTTCTGAATATTAAATATATTTTTTAAAAATTATATTGTATTTTTACTTTTTTAATTATATTTTTTAGATTTATTTAAAAATTATGTCTTAATATAATATTATATATGCAATTAAAATAACTTTTAATTATAAAATTAACATGTTAAACTTATTATTCATCTTAATATTTCCTCTGTATTTAAATTTTAAATAAGTAAAAAGCAAATTTTTAAAATATATATATTAAATTTTTTAAAGGATGCAAAAAATATATTTTATCGCACATCTATATTGTGCTTTTAAATTTGATAGTAATTCTTTTTTTATTATAAAGGGTATATTTTTTTATTTTACTATGTAGTCAATACAATTTTAAATAACAAATATATTTATATTATTAATAAAAAAAATTGAAGTGTATAATTTTCTTAAAATATTTAATTATTATTTTAGCGTTTAGTTGTATGTATATATAATAAAAATTTCTTTGTTTTTTTAATAAAGAAAAATCAAAGTATTTTCATACATGCACCATTTTAATTCAACTGGGCAAAAACTTCTATCAGTTGCATTTTGGCAAACTTGGTCCTTTGTTTCGTAAATTTAGGCCTAAAAGTATCATATTTTTTCCAATCCAATTAATTATTTTATATTATTTTATTAAAGGTAAAAATAAAGTCCAATTATAACTTATTTTAAAAAACAAGTGAGCATCATTTAAACAAATATAAAGAATATTGAAACATTCATAATAAACTTCATTTTTTATTCTAAAATTCACTTGCTTTAGTGAAAACGAAAAATTGACTTCATCTTACGGGCTCCGTGGCAATGATATAATATTCACCATAATTAAATTTGTTATAGCTGATTAAGTTTATTTATCAAAATTAAAAGAATAATAATACTTTCATGTTTAATAATACATGGAATGAAAGTTTATATTTATTTTCATATACATGATTTATTAGTTTTTTAGGGTTTCAGTTCGGTTGAAAATAAATACAAAAATCTATCAAAGTTAGTAAAAATTTACATTAAATATTATGGAGATTAAAAATCAATATTTAATTAAAAAATATTAAAAAATAAATATTGCCTAATCTAAATTTTACCATAAGAATATAAATATGCATCTAAATTATTCAATACCGGTTAGGTCATACTAAAAACCTAAGGAAAATATTACATATTTCTTTAAACACACATGTTTAGACACATTTTTTATTATTATGTGAAATTTATTTAAAATTATAATTTTTATAAATTTTACTTTTTATTTAAGAAGTTCTCCTCAGTTTTAACAAATCATTAAAACAAATTATATATTACGAAGTTTTTTTTTCAACCATTATAATCTTCACTGAATGTATTATTCACGATTTGATTTTATCATGGTAAAGTGAGCCTAAATTGAATAAATAAAGTATGTATTTATTAATTTAATTTGTAGCCTAAAATAATTTCGACCAGATTTAATTTAGAGCAGATTTGCGTAAATACTAATAGGAGAATAAATTAAAGATGAAATATAAATTAAAATTATTTGAACTTAATTTAGGTATGAGTTAATCTATACAAGTTATTTTATATTAATTAAAAATGATCTGAAATGTGTTTTTAAATTATCGAAAAAATTATTATTTGAAGAAGTTCGAAAGTCAAGGACGAGGGTCATAAGTACTTCGAAACATAGGAGAAATGCAAGATATTATTTCACCACATATATATATATATATATATATATATATATATATATATATATATATATATATATATATATATATATTAGATTTTGACCTAAAAACCATATTTAAACCTTCAATATTTTATTGTTGTTATAGATTGAATTAGGTTCTTGCATGTTTTTATTATTAATAATAATAATAATTAATTAAAAGGAATTAACATGGTCCAGTCAAGTAGTTTTTTTTTTTTTTAAAGAATGCAGACTGGTCCACAAAGCTGCTGTGTAGAAATAGGCCCACAAACTAACAGGCCCATTTTGATGGGCATATACCAATTGAGGTAATGAGGACCACTCTGCAGCTAAGGTAAACCATATAAGGAAAACATCAAAGTTTAAATTATAAAACAAAAAAATTAATTCAAAAAATTTGACATAAATTTAATTAATAACATTATGGAAAATATTAATTTGAAAATACAAACAAAAAATCATTAATTAAGGGTTAAAAAATATAAATAACAAAGGTTCAGAAAATATATTAATTTAAAATATATTAATTTAAAATAATTAATAACTTGAATATATATATATATATATATATATAATAATATAATATGAAAATATATTGTTGAAGAGAAAAAGAAGCATTATTTCATTTTATAATCAACCTCTTTTACAATTCAAGCATAATTGAAGTAGTTTGTTTGTCAACACTTTTTTAAAATACACAATTGAGAATGAAAAAACTTGACTATTTACTAATTATACTCAACTTGATCCACCTTATCTTTTCAAATGTTTGAGACTTTCGAGAAAAAATCCTCAACAAAAATAGAAGTATTAGCAATATAGTTATATATATTTTTTAAATCATCAGTATTAATTTATTTATAAAATATTAGTATTTTATTTAAAAGTGTGTTATAAATGAGATGATCATGCCCTACAAACAATTATAAGGTAGTGTGTAGCAGTGAGAATGATTCAACTACCAGTTCAGGTTGATTCAGTCCAACCTAACTTGCATATCAGAAAATGCTTATGCAGTAGTTCCCCAAATTATTATGCCAATCACTTAACCCTATAAATACAAAACAAAGTAAAAAGAAAGAAAAAACTACAAAGTTGGTGAAAACAATTATTGATCAAACTGGAAATTATAATTAAAAATTAAGAAATCAAAATTGCATAAATATTTCCGAAATCAAAACAGCATATTTTTAAATAAAAAAAAAAACAAATTAAACAAAAGAGCAAAAACAAATTTATAAATTTTGTAAAAAAAAGACAAAATTACTTGAATAACAGTACACTTTATTTTAGTTGTCCCATGTTTAGTTGAGGTAAAATGGATTGAATGGTGATAATCAAGAGGATATAATCTACAAATTCTAATATATGCCATATTTATCATACATAATACATTGATTACTAGGAACATTTGATAACAATTTTATTTACTTAAATTTTGATTACTTTTGGATAAAAAATTGTCGTTGCAAGGGTTTGGTGGGTTGATTTGTAAGTGAGTAGAGTGGTTACAAATCTGTGTTTCTAAAAGGAGGGTTTTGGAGTTCTTTATATATCTGGGTATCATCAAATCATTTAACCACTTTCCACAAATTTATGTATAGACTCTCTCTTATGACTTATGAGTATAAAATTTAGTGAAGAAACTCACAAATTATTTATTCCTAGTGTTGAATGAATCTAACTTAAATGAAAATGGAACTGTATAAAATAAAATAAAATTAATTAATATTAAAGATAAACATATTTTAATCCATCACATGCATTTGAGAATAATGCAGTTGTTTTTAGACACTTTTAGTTATTATTATTCAATTAAGTTTATGTTATAATGTGCACAGCAAACATTTATATTGAAAAGTAAAACTTAAATTTCAATTAAAGCACAACATAAAAAAAAACAGTTAAAAAAATAAATAAATCAAAGTTTGTCTATTTGATAAAAGTAAGAATTTGTTGTGTTTCTTTAAAACACAACCACACAAATGATATGAATTGGTGTGAGACGTGTAAGGGAAAAAATTTCAAAGAAAAATTCAAAGTTTTCTGTAGTCTTCTAGATTTTACATTGACATTCTTCCTCTTGCATCATGTTTTTGGGAAAAGAAATTTTTTATAAATAACTCTTGGGGACCCAAAAAGACTTTCAACTCAAGTTCTCGGAATGGAAGATGAGTTGTTGGAAAATTCATTCTCTTGTTTATTAGGAAAACCTATGGCAACTGGTAAAGGCTAAAAATAAAAACCCTTATAGTACCCAAAAACATAACAATAACACATGTATTATTTTTTTTTTCAACTTAAACTATAGATATTTTCTATAACAACAAAAAGTTTATACATTTTGAAAATGAAAGTGAAACTAGATTTAAAAATTTAAAATTTTAAAAAATACAAATACCAAATTTTACACATATTTATTGCATACCCTAAAAAAGTAAAGTTAAATTGTGGGTGGGTGTGTGCCAAGATATGAGGCTTAACCAGCCAGTCAAAATCTCTTCTTCTTTTCAAGGCCTACAACTCTTGACCTTTCTATTACAACCATCAATCGTGTCGTCTTCAAATTCATATATTTTTTTCTATATTTTTTATTTATTTTTATGGACATTAAATAACTAACATGTCACTCTTTTAGGTTTTGTAAATATTTATAAATAAATAAATTATATAAATATTTTTAACATGCAACAATTTACTATTGAAATAATGATTATATTTATAGATTTGATTTTGATATTTAAAAAAAATTAAGTTGTGTTTTGTTTAATATTGTTTTCTTGAACATCAGAAACTAAAAATATTTAACGTTAAGATTACTCAGAAAATTGATTTGAAGATGATAAACCCAATTTAGTCTTTAATTTTGATAATTATCGATTCAATTGGTCCCAAAATCGATGACATTCATTTTTCACCTCTCTCCAATCTATCACTTTCTTCCTTTTCTTTTCTCTTATCATATCATGATTTCTTATGATTTCAAGTTCCTCTTTGTTTTGTTCTCTCTTTTCTTTTTCATCCATTAGATGTTAAATATTATTAAAAATTTACAACGTCAGAGAGGAATACACATCATTTTGCACCTGCTCAATAGAAAGAACACGCATTCATATAAATACTTGTACAAAAGCTCTCATCTTTCGTTCTCTGACACTTGTTTCTCCAAACCTACCTTTCCATCTTTTCCATCAGACCATTATTTGATACCCTCTTCACCACTCTCTGCAGCAACACATTTTTTTTTCTCTCATTTTCTCGAAAAACTTTCTCTTCTTCTCTCTTCCTTTGTTCTGCATAAAATTGCATAGATATAAAAAAAATGAAGGTATGGTTCACACTTGCCCAGTTTGGTTCTTTCCTGCTCTTATTTATTTACTTATTCATTTTCTAAAAATGTTTTCTTCTGTAAACTTTTGACTCAGAACTTTAATTCATTATTGATTCTCCGTGAAACTTTATACCTTCCCCTTTTTTCCTTTTCTCTTTTCACAGCCTCTGTTTCCCCTTTTTCTCTTGATTCAAAGATCTGGGGTGGCCTTAAATGATGTTTGATATTCTCTTCATCAGAATCTGGTTTTGCATATAGTTTGAAAATCTGGGTCTATGTAAGGAATGATTTAGATCTCATGTTTTCTAATAAATAATAAGCGTTTTGGTTGGTAGAGAAATTTTTGTTTCAAGTGTTTCACATTTGTTTTGCTTGTTCAGCTGTTGTATGTTGTTCTGGAAACATTCTTCCAGTGATTAATTAGAATAGAATATGGGTTGAAAATTTTCTAATTTTTGGTTTCAGAAGTTTGTACTCAAGTTAGATTTGCATGATGACAAGGATAAGCAGAAGGCCTTGAAAACCGTTTCAACTCTTTCAGGTACTTAATATTTTTTGTTGTTGTTCACTTTGCTAGTTTGGGTTGTTCCTCCACTATTTTTTTATTATTTAGAATCAGTCAACAAGACAGTGGTAGAGGGATGCACGTTTCTTATACTGGTGTCTTTTGTATCTAAAATACTTCATTGTCTAAACAAAAACCTAAAAAAAAGACACTAATAGTAAGATCTCTATGTTCTCAGGTTTGTCATATATATTTAACTATTCTAATTCTTTATATTAACTATAAACCTTTTAATATTGTGGTATTCTGGAACAGAATGGTGCTTTTGGGGGTCAATTGGGAACTACACAAAAGTACCTCGTTCTTTTCCTTAAATCTTACCTAGAAACACTAAGATGATCCACCCAATTTTCCCTTGAGGGCAAAAATATGCTTAATGCAAAACATTAGTCTAAAATGACTGGATATTGCATAATAGTAAATTTTACTTTTTTTAGTTGTAACCAAATCATCTAGGTGTGTGATAGCAATTCAAAAATTCTCCACAGGTTATTTTAAACCTGAACTTTAATGGCTTTTCGAAACTTTGTTTAGAATAGAAATTTTCCATATATATTGCCTAAAGTAATATACATAATAGTTTGCATCTAATATTGATTAAACTGTTCCAAGTGAATTCCTGTCTAAGATTGTTAGTTATTGCTTGAGCATTTGGTTCTGATTGGATTGGCTCCACATATTTTGATGTTTTAGTTAATAATTTATTTCGAGAGAAATATTTGTTCTGCTTGAGAACTTATCTTTTCAATGAAAAAAGTGCTAATAGTGAGCTTGTGCAACATCGTAGGAATTGATGCCATCTCCATGAACATGAAAGAGAAGAAGTTAACAGTGATAGGAACAGTAGATCCAGTAAGTGTTGTGAGCAAATTGCGCAAATACTGGCAGACAGACATAGTGGAAGTAGGGCCAGTGAAGGAGCCAGAGAAGAAAGAGGATACCAAGAAAGCAGAAGCCAAGAAGGAGGGAGACAAGAAAGAGGAGCAAAAGAAGGAAGAGGGCAAGCAAGAAGGAAAGAAAGAAGAAAAGAAGGAAGATGAGAAAAAGAAAGAGCCACCCCCAGATCCTGTTTTGGAATGGGTCAAGGCTTATAGGGCATATAACCCCTACATGACCACACACTACTATGCTCCAAGCATTGAAGAGAATCCCAATGCCTGTGCCATTTGTTAAAGAAAAAAAAATTTAGATGCAATTTTATATGTGAGTTTGGTGTTGCTTTTTTATTAGAATTTGAATTTCATTTGGTAATGTGTGTAAACATTTATTACACATATTACTGAGATGAGATAAAACTTCTGATCGAATAGCAATATTAGAAACACCTAAAGAACCGTATGTAAGTTTTGTCGACTGTTAAATAGTATGCTGTCCAAACACAAGGGAAGGGCACACTTGTTGAACATGATAATGGATTCAATTCTCTTTCATTCCCATATGAAAGACATCAGCCAAGAGTATAGGAACATCTTGTATATAATATGGTGATGTCTTGTTGAGCTATTGAGATATTTTCAATGTTTAGAGAAGGAATAAAATTTTGGAGATGTAATTTAAGTAAACCTTTTTTTCCTGTAATATACAGTTGTTATCTGAATGTATCATCATCCACTACATTAATATAGCGTGTGTTTGTCTGAAATGTTATTTGAAATGAAATGAAAACTAATTTTTGTGGGGTTGGGTGAGGGGAAGCAGCCCCAACCCCATCTATTGCCACATCCTCCTCAACCACTCCAAACCATAAAGAAAATGTCTTTTCTTGTTAGACAGTAGCATTGTCATGTCTTTCTTCTTGTGGGGCATGGTGGCTGAAAAGCATATGCATGGTACCCAATTATTGAGATTCTTTTATCATTTCAGAGCTTTGTCTTTCTCTGCATTTCGTGTTACAAATAAATACAAAACATTATTACTTTGAAGCTATCATAATTCCTATCGATCTTTACATATCATGTAATCGATTGGTACGTGGATTCTGATTAATCTCTGCATAACAAGATTGTTACCTTGATGCACAACAACTGTGATTCAGAGAAAAAAAAAAAAAACAAGGCAATTTGTGGGGTTGGTTTGTCTCATTGGTTACCTTGATGCATGATTGAAGTGTCATGATCCCTAGTTCACTATTAGCTGGTCATAATTGCCATCATCATTCTTTTTCTTATTGTGTTCATGAGCTAATTGACCTTCATTCGGTCTTATCTGCTGAGAAATACATGTATATTAAAGCTTTTTTATATATTAAAGTTTTGGATACTTATGGCTTGTTTTATTATTTTTGGAAAATCTATTCATGCCCATGTATCAGATTTTTACTCGTTTTCTAATACACTAGTTAGTGGAATATGATCAAAGTGGTTTCATCACCTCACTATCAACAACTTTTTGTTTCTTATTCTCTCTCACCAAAGACAGAGCACATAACTTCAAAACCACATTTAACTTTAGTTGTGTATCATCTCATCCAAGCTTTTCTTTTGTCAGAAAAAACTATATAAACATTCAGTTACCTTTTCTTATTTCACTTTCATGTTTCTTTCTCTTTCTTTTTTACCATACCACTTATTAGATTTTGTTCTAATTTCTATCTACTTTTTCCATCTCTTGTGTTTTTGTCTATCCAAATTGAAAGAAACATTTATCACCACTCTTTCCTTTGAGGGATGATAATTAAATTCGTATATATGGAGATGGATTCATTTTTGTCCTGATTTTGACGGAAAAAAACCAAGTCGACCGGACGTGAGAGTTGGTTCAGATATTTTCTGCTTTAAAAAGTCAAGATGGAAGTGGGGATGAGTAATGCAATCACGATCCCGGTCCCGTCCTCGCTCTGACTTTATATTTAAACTTAATTTTTAAATATTAATATTAAATTTTTTTCTATTACATATAAGATTATTTTTTTATATTTCATTATTTTTACTTTTTTTTCTACCCACTTTTTTAAGATTATTTTTTGGATCTTATTATTCTTATTTGTTATATATCAAATTTTATCTTAATAAAATAATTATATTTTAAAGGATTAAAAAGAATTAATAATTTAATCTTTTATTATTTAGAACTAATTAAATAAGAATTAACTTATTAAATATTTCTTTACAAATTATATATTTAATATTTTTAAATAACAACTTAAAAATAAACTAACTTATATATGTAATCAAATGTTTAAATAAATAATAATAATAATAATAATAATGTTATAATTGAATATAATATTATAATAATAGTATTATTATAAATATTTTTTTATATATAAATAAAAAATAAAAAATAATTAAATATTTCTTTTACATATATATTTTAATATAAATATAATAAATTAGAATATATATTTAATTAATAATAATTACAAATTATAAAATTATAAATATTTATTTATATATAAAAAATACATAATAAAACTAATTTATTATAAATATAATTATTTTTTTTAAATAATATAAATCGAGAACAGGAACGAAAAATCTAAAATCCATTGAAAAAAACTTAATTTCTAACTCTAAATTAGAACATAAATAATTAAAAAAATTGGGATAGGATATTCAGGAGGTAACTCTTCCCGCTCCTTTGTCATTCCTACTCAGTCCACGTATAAATTGTCTTCTTCCTAATATATTTTGTATACACTAATGAAACTATATGTATGTATTTTTTTGTTCGTTTTTTGAGATCACTAGAAATAACTAACTGAAACTATCTCACTTGTATTTTAATTCTGTGCTACACATTCATCCTTCTGAAATATGATCTAATTTTTTACAAATTAAAAACAGTACAACTTTTTAGCTAGTTGAACTTTTCTTTTAGATGTGGGCTTAGGGCCCACTTTTCCCTTTTTTTACTCTTTCTCATTTTTACCTTTTCCATTTCACCCAGGCTGTGTCCTTTTTAACCATATATAAATATTTAAAGGCTAGTGACATGAGAATTTAAGTCTAGTCAGATAGACAAATTTAGGGAAATAAAAATCCATACTTGAAAATATTCTTTTTTCTTCTTATATATCATAATAATTATGTGATAATTAGCTTTTTTTTAATACATAAAATTCAACCATACTAAAATTTTTCATATTTGTTGAGATTTTCCCTATATGTATCCTATAAAATTCACATAAAAGTCTGCAACAAACTTATTTTACGTGATTTAAAAAAAAATCGCATGATATATATAAAATATAGTAATATAGGCTGATAATTTCACAAATAAGCTAAACATGCATATAATCTCAATCTAATGATATATTTTTCAAATTCGTAATAGAATTATTACTAAACTAAATTTAATCTGCATGCCTACACAAACAAAAGGGTATAAGATTTTATGCAAATGGACTAAAAAAAATTAAACTAAAATTAATATTAAAATGGGTAAAAAAAAATGAGCAAAATAGTATTCAATTTAGAAGGAAAAACAATGTGAATAAGCAAGGGAGAAGAGTAAAAAAAAACTTGCTAATAAATGGGCAAAATATTTGGTTGAAAAAGTTAAAAAAATAGAAAGGAAAAACTATACAAATAATGAGAAAGAAAAAAATGATGTAAACAATTGGTAGAAAAAATTGAAAGAATTATGAAAATTGATTGTAAAACTTCTTTGAAAAATAGAAATAAAAATTGAAAGAAAGAAAGAAACCAGTTAAGTACACAAAAAATATGTAAAAGATCATGTTAACAAACAGAAAAATTATAAAAATTCAGTGAGTTAATGTATATGACATATATATTATACACATAATACTATAATATAATTAAATATGAATAAGAAAACAGATATTCACACGTTTTACTGTCTTCGTTTGAATCTATTAAAATTTATAAAATCAAGATTAAACTTATTAAAAAAATAGTAAGACCTATGAAAATAATGCTTTATTTTTAATTAATTTTAATCATTTATAGAGATTTGGCTTAGAAGATTGTGTGTTGCTGTAATAGGAAAATGGTGTTTTAATAGAGATCAGTATTTATCTTTTATCAGTAATATTCCTTTTTTTCATTTTTTTTATAATACTTCTTGAATTGTGTATAAGATCATCATGAACCACAATTTTCTATCTAAATATTTAATGCAACTGCATAGATCCATTTAAGGTTGTAACAAAAAGTTTTTTTTTCTTTTATTTTTAAACTAACACATGATTTACTCCTTTTATTTTAATTTATTACTTTTCAAGTTTTTTAGGTAAAATGTATAAAAAAATACAAATTACTTAGTCATATAACACTATCCACAAAAAATAAATGAATCGGTATAGATGTAAAATTCAAGTAGAACACATATTTAATCATTTTAAAATGACTGCATTTTGTTTAAATAAATTTGTTTTAGCATAGAAATTAATATGACCAAATATTTCTTAAAATATGTATATTTCCTTAACTGAAATAAAATAATACGGAATAAATCATTTTTCGAAAACACTCTTTAAATAATCGTTAAAGTAAAATAAGAATGAACATTTATTTCAGTTTCTCATTGATACTACTATAAAAACACTACTAAAATAAAATGAAAACTTCCTATTACACATATAGAGGGTATATTAGAAACACAAAATTTAACGATTTTCTTTTTTACATATGTGATTCAAAATATTTAATAATCTTACATTACATATTTTTGGCTAAAATAAAATATTCAAAGCTTCAATCCCTCTAATAAACATCAATTTCTTCTTCATGTCTGATATGATATTATTACGGATCCCATTATTATATTTAAGGTCTTATTTATTATAATTTTATTGGTGGTTTCAGAATTAATAATATATATTTTATTTGGAATCTTGTAACAAAAATATAATATATATAATATGTTACTGTTTTTAATCAATATGGGACAATGGTTAGGTAAGTCTGTCAGTGATGATGATATCTGCCATTGATTAGGTTTTGGTCGGTTAGTCAGTGTGATTTATCTTCGTCAGCATATATCATTCCAACTTCCATAAACAGATACGATAAGAACAATAAACAGTAGCAGCATAGATGAGAATCATGCATGGAAAAAAGCTTAACGGATTGATTGTTATACAAGTTTTCTGCTTCCAAATTCAAACTGAATTTAAGTTTTGTCGGGGTTTTTTCTTTTTTGGTTTAAATCAAGGAACACGCTAGTGTCAAAAAAGCACGTTGTCACTGTTGAAAATACGTGCAAGA